GGGAAAGGGGAAGATACCATTGTACCCCACCCTGTGACTCTGGAGGATCTCTACAATGGCAAGACGCTAAAGCTGAATTTGGAGAAACAGGCTTTGTGCGGCACTTGTAAAGGGTGCGTTAATGGTAAGATTCTGAGGTCTTCTGGATCGACCGAACACTTAGATCTGGTGCTCGTGGTGCGGCAAAGCCTAAACCTTGCGGGATATGTGAAGGAAAAGGATGGACAACGGCACAGAGAAGTGTTAGTACATCCGTTGCGCCATCTTCCAATCACTGACCGGCAGATTAGGAGGGTTCATATTTGACAACCTCCCGAGTGCCTTGTTCCAGCTGCGATGGTTCCGGAGAACGCCTGAAGGAAAAGGATAGGTGCGTGAGCTGTATCATTCCCTGAAATGTGTGCTAAGGCAAGCAGATGTAAGAAATGCAAGGGCGAGAAGACTGTGAAAGAGAAGAAGCGGTATGAGGTTGTCATAGAGCCAGGCATGGGAGATAAGCAGCGCATAGTGCTTGCGGGTGCAGGCGATGAGGAGGTGAGTTTCCGCAGTTGGAGTTGATGCAGTCGTTGATGATGCCTTGAGCCCGGCTTTCCAGCAGGCGATGTCGTGTTTGTTTTGCAACAAACACCTCATGAGTCATTCGAACGTTCCGGCAATGACCTGCTTGCAAATGTGTCTATAACATTGTCTGAAGCCTTGTTTGGGTTCGAGCGGATACTGATAACTCACCTGGACGGCCGTGGCATCAAGGTCGTCAGCCCGGCTGGGAAGATCATCAAACACGCAGACACCATCGTATTACGAGGCGAAGGCATGCCATCCCACAAACAACATCGGTCGAAGGGAGATCTCTATGTCACTTTCACTATAGAAATGCCAGACGAAAGTTGGTTGAAGACTGTTGATCATCAGGTGGGCTCATTTCTGCATTCCTCTCGTTCTTTGAGTCCGCTTCTGACGCGGCGTCGACTAGGCTTTAATGTCCCTCATTCCCCCCAAAAAGCGCGATTTGGAGCCTCAACCCGCGGTTGTGTCGTCGGCCCCGTTTGAAGCAGCCGATCTGGAGGAAGTGCGTGATCGGTATTTCCCACCAAGCCACGATTTCTTTGACCGGGCTTTTCCATCGCAGTTCGGTGAGGCAGAAGATGATTGGGTCGATGATGATGAAGACGACGAGTTCGGTACTGGCGGCCAGCCAGAATGCCGCCCTCAATGATATCGTGTGACATCCAGTGCTACTCCCTCGAAGTTTTCTCTCGAATATTTAACTATGGTACCAAGTAGTGTAGGTCACGTTCAATAATGAATCCTTCTCATCAGTCTTGATTCGCTTTGACACATCGTTAATGATGTCATCACCGGTTTCTGTTCTTACCACATGAGGATTGCCTTGCTCAAACCTCTTCTGTCCCTCATCTTCTGGGTGACAACGACAACCTCTACGTCGACACCGGCTCGCGTCCTCATTTACACTGCTACGAAAGGCTTTCGGCATGACTCCATACCTACCGCTGTCCAAGCACTCAAAAATCAGTCTCAGTCTCTGAATATCGTTTTCGACGCTACCGAAGATGCTGGTCAATTCACTGACCAAAACCTGGCTGTTTACGACGCTATTGTCTTCATTAGTACCACTGGCGAAGGTTTGTCCTTTTCAGCCCACTGCAGCCCTAGAAATCAAATCCGGGACTGTAGTGCTTGATGACGGTGGGAAAGTTGCATTTCAGAACTATCTGAACCTGGGCGGAAACTTTATGGCAAATTGACCTTGCCACCATTGAAAGACATTCTGATCACGGTGGTTTAGGGTGTGCATGCCTCGAGCGACTGCTTAAACACCTCAACATTCTACGGCAATGAAACTGGTGGGGATCGAGAATCATTTGTTCTGCTGTTTCTGAGATTTTCCAGGTGCCTATTTCGATTACCATCCCTTCCTCCAGAATGCGGTATGTCACGGACGTTTCCATTGGAAGTATAACCCCAACGATCGACAGTCAGTGGATGTATTGGAAGCGTCTCATCCGAGCGTGAATATGCTTCCTGCGCAGTGGCATATACAAGAAGAAATGTACATTCTTGAAGATTTTTCAGGGCCATACCTTACATCCAGTTGCTCAGGTACAACTTCAAATCAGACCCCCGATCTGTTGGAGCGGTGGTGGTTCTCGCGGCCAACGAGTCGAGCTATATTGGTTTGTCAACTCCCCGCCTTCTGCTCGACGAGGATCTAAAGGGTGAGGATGATATGTAAAATCTAGACACCGGTGTGCGTCGATTTGACCAAGGCAGCCCGCATCCATCCGGTGCGTGGCTCGTGACATTCACGTTGCGATCAGCTGACCGCGCTCTGCAGCATGGTATCAAGAGCGCGGGGCCGGCGTACAGAGCGGACACAGCGCTGGGCGTAGCTTCTACACGAGCTTAGGCCACCTGAATGAAACCTGGAAGGTGAACCAATCATGACGTCAACTTATTTTATCGCTCAACATCGTTTCTGTAAGGATTCTCTTTTCATCGCTCACGTCACTGGCGGTTTACTGTGGACCCTCTTCTCCAACACCACGAAAGCTTTTAATAGCAGTGCACTGGTAGGGAACCCGCAAGCCACTTCGACGTCGTCCACCAAGTCAATTCCTTCAGCGTCCGCTACGCAGTGCGTGACGCAAAACACAGACTGAAAGCTTGCTAATCGAAACTCCAGAAGCCCTGTTGGTAATGGCCATTCGTCATCGGTGCGTCTCGCTCCAAGCTTGGCCCTTCCCCTACTTCTCTTCGGAGTTGTGATCGCCGCATTGTCGTCGCATTAGTCGCTGACCTGGTGATGTTTGTGCTTGCTCCGTCTGTATCTCAGTTCTCATGCATCCAAACAGCACATACAATCTGCTTGCATATTACCATTCTTCGTTACACGCATACCTCAATCCAGATTGTAGCTCTAAGCCGTTCAAACTTCGCCCGCACAATGACTACAGGATGACTTGAAGCACACTAAATGGTAGCTGGATCGCTCCTCTACGAATCTGCCTGTCATTTCAGCTTACCGCGCGGCCCACCTTCCCGTCCGCTTTGCGCGGTAGCTTAGTCCGAAAAAGAGTATAAAGACTGTCTCTGCTCGAGAGATCTCAAAATTGACGCCTCCGGCCCATCGACATGATCTCGCAAGTACTCTTCCCTGTTATCATCACCATGCTCGCGTATGTTGTGATCTATGCGATCCAGTTTGTGTATCGCGATATTTCTTCTCCCCTCCGCGGTATGCCAGGGCCCAAGAACCCCAGTTTCATAGTCGGGAACTTCAAGCAGATGATGGTCCGTCACGTGAATAGCCTTTGACATGCAATGAACAACGTTGGCTAGGATGATGCTTTTGTCGTCGACGGATGGAGACGCGCCTACGGCCCAAATTTCCAGTTCAAGGGACTATTCAATGTGCGTTTCCTGTTGTTGGTATATATCCGCTCTATCTATTCATGTGAAATCAGCTTCGAGAACTGCACACTTCGGACGTGAAAGCTATTAGTCATATCATCTCGCATTCTACCATATATCGCAAGGCACATTTCAACCTTCGTGTAGTCAAGCAGCTCTTCGGAGATGGTGAGCTTTGCGGTGTTCCTTGGAGAGTAAAACTTGCTCATTCGTCGAGTCCAGGTCTTCTATCATCGGAGCTTGATAGCCACAAACGCCAAGTAAGTGGATTCTTTACATGTCCCAAGAGCTGCACTCAACATCTATTTAGAGAAGGATTATGGTCGGTTTCATGAACGCATCTTCGGTCGATGCATTGACATTGATTAATCGAAGAATCCGGCCTTTTCGGCAGCCCAGATCAGACGGATGTCGGACATATTTGTCGAGCAGGCTGCGCAGGCAAGATATTCTCAACTTTCAATGCTCCTCTAATCGCATTCTTCAGCTTCGTGACGTCTGGGATGCCCACATTGAGGGTGATAGCACTACCATTGAGGCTCTTTCGTGGCTGCGACGATCGACGTTGGATGCGATTGGACAAGCCGGCGCGTCGTTTTTTCGGCATCTGACTTGACAGGCTAATTTTGGACTGTGCTAGGCTTTAATCATCAGTTCAACAGTCTCAAGGAAGAGCCGGATGATCTCAGCTGTGTTCTTACCAAGCTCTTTCATTCCCCGAACTCTCAACGCAACGGCGCTCTGCGGGTCGCGCAAGCGATGATACCGATTCTGCGACTGATTCGCATGCCTGGAACGACGCAGCTGTTCGCTACGCGCGAGAAGATGTTCAGCATTAGCCGAGAACTTGTGAACCAATGCAAATCACTCACAGAGAAAGGTTCTCCATCTTCTGGCTCGGATCTGTTGTCGATCCTAGTCGCAGCTAACATGTCCGCCGACATTCCTGAACACCAGCGACTGACAGAGGATGAAGTCATTTCTCGTCAGTTGTTTCACTGGGGGTTTCACACTCACTGATTTGTATCACAGAGATACCCACTTTTTTCATCGCTGGGCACGAGACAACCAGGTAAAACCTTGTCTGAAACGTTGACGATATCGCTTCAACGAATACAGCTCGGCCATAAGCTGGGCATTGCATGCCTTATCGCTGAATCAGACAGTTCAATCCCGACTCCGAAACGAACTCTTAGCCATTCCCACCGACACTCCAACTGCCGAACAACTCAACAGCTGCGAGTATCTTGAATGGGTCATACGGGAAAACCTGCGTGTCCATTCTCCTGTCACATTCGTTTCGCGGATGGCTATGGAAGAGGACGCCCTTCCACTGGGAAGGCCGTACACTGACCAGGCTGGAATCCAGCATAACACGCTCCCGTTAGTTCGCTCTTTCACCACTCGGAACAGTTCATCGAGATACATTTGCAGCATTCGAAAGGGACAGATGATACACATTCCCATCCTGGCAATCAATACGGATCCCGATATCTGGGGGCTTGATGCAGCAGAATTCAGGCAAGCCACAAGTACATCGCAAGGCGTATCTGACGGTGCCACCTTCGCAGACCAGAGCGCTGGGCCCAGGTTCCCGACGCCGCCAATGCGGTTCCAGGCATCTACTCTAACTTGTTGACATTCTTCGCGGGACCACACAATTGCATCGGATTCCGATTTACTCTCGCAGAGCAAAAAGCCGTCCTGTTCACGCTGATTCGTGCATTCGTGTTCGAGAATGCGGTTCCTAAAGGCGGAATCTGTCGCAGCAGCAACCCACTGACGAAACCTGTGCTTGCCGGGGATAAGACTATGACGGGGCAACTGCCGTTGATACTGAGGCGGTATCAAGGCGCGTGAGACGGTGAATGTTGTATACCGTTGTATATTTTAAAGACTGGGTCTAGTTACGAGGACGAATCGGGTCGATTGCCCTAGCGAATGAACAGGTTCTGTAATCTAGCAGGCTTTTTAACCAATCTCGTGCTCAGCAAGAAGCTGAAGATCAGTCAGATGCAGATATAGGTGTCAGGGATGCACGGACCATGTTCGGAATGCCGTTCGATATGAGATAGTTGTGGCTACAGTTCGGGCAGATCATGGCTCCCTCTTCAACGTGAATCTTTCAGACAAACAAAGAAGTTCAGGCGATGACTGGATCGATGGAAAGACCCGGCGTACTTCGAGCAAAACGTGATGCAGCGTCTTCAAGAACTCATCGTCCAGCATCTCAGGCATCTCCTCCGGGAGTGAGGTGTCTCCGAGCTTGGAGATCGGTCAATTCGTCATTTCACTTCATTGAATCGACCAAGCACTTCGCGGGCAGCATCCACTAATGCCTTCCATTCCAACTTGGGTATGAACCCTCTCAAGAACTCGGGATTGAATTCGCTTTCTCGTAAGACGATTTGAACATCTTGAAATTTCAATGGAAAGTTGTTAGAGGTACAGTTTTTAACGTGGCAGGCCAGTATGTTGTGTGTTATGAGGCGGACCATGTGAGGGGAGATTCAACGATTATACTGTGAGAGTGTTCAGAGATCCAGATAAATTCGATTGCAAGCACAGACAAACAGATTGATCTTCGAGCGACGTAATTATTGCTCTCCACAAAATGCGTCCACCATCGCCTTCGATCCCTGAGAAGGAGTTCCTCAGTGCAGCTTTAAAAAAATCGCTTCGTTTGGATGGACGTAAACCTCTCCAGTCGCGCACACCTCATTTGAGCTTTGGACCTGAGCTCGGCTGGGTGGAATGTGCGCTAGGAAAAACGCGGTACGTCCACGCGTTATTCGCGTTCTCACTCACCACCACACTCGCTTATTACCCTCGTAGTGTTCTCGCACACACAGAAGCCAAGATGGTGAAGCCGCCCCCCGAACGGCCATTCGAGGGTCTTGTCACGGTGCACTCGGAAATCTCACCAATGGCAGGGATGGAGTACGAATCTGGACGGTAGGTATGTAGAGTAACATGCTTTGGAGGGTCGACTAACCTCCTAAGGGCGTCTGACGAGGAGGTGATGATCACAAGGATGCTAGATAAGGTGCTGAGGAGGAGTGACGCTGTGGATAAAGAGTCGCTGTGTGTTATAGCCGGAGAACGGGTGGGTCTGTGATGTAGATCACGTCCCTCAATCTGAAAGACCCAGGTCTGGCACGTACGACTCATGATTCATTGTTTGGCGGACGCGGGTAACTTGCTCGACTGTGCGTGTCTCGCAGGGATCGTAGCGCTCAAGCATTTTCGCCGACCAGATGTAGAAGTAATTGGTGACGAAGTAACGGTAGTGCGTGTTCCTCGAAGGTGCTCTTAATGTTCGTTCACCGTTCTGCAGCATCGTACATCTGAACGTGCTCCTGTCCCACTGTCCATGCACCACAGCCCGTTCTGTTTCACATTCGCATTCTTCTCCGATTCGGATGCTCTGGCAATCTTGGATCCAACACAACTGGAGCAACGGCTCAGCGCAGGGCTCATGTCCGTTGCTCTTAATGCACAGCGCGAATTGTGCGTAGTGCAAAAATTGGGTGGTGTGCCGTGCGACATATCAGACATCTTGCGATTGATAAATGTTGCTGTCGATGAAGCGAAGCGATGGGACGAGCTGATTGCAACAAAACTAAAGGAGGACTGGGACGAAAGAAATGTGGAATTGATATGAGAGCTCCAACACCACTGTTGGTCACTCCACCCTGGACCGACACGCAAAGGACATGGGTTCGAATCCCAGTTGAAATTCTCATGTCAACTACATTCTTTGCTCCAAGCACAAGTAGTTATGACCAAAGCAGTGACAAAGACAAATCAATTTTATTCCAAGAGTTGCAAGATGCAAGTCTTGTTTGATTACACAGTCATGCACCACTCTCTGATATACTATTAGTTATTGATATATTCATGTAAATCTTATTTGATTATACCTCCCTAGCCTCTTACCAGTTTACACAACTCATGTTAGCTACTTATGCCTCTATTCTATACAATCCATGACTCTAGACCTCTACAAGGGACCAGAAGTATCCAAACTTTGTAAGGGCAATCTTGAGACCTGATCTTAGAGTTTTGGCAAGGGAGAATCCAAAGTGAATAAATGTGGTAGCTAGGTACAAGACCAGCATAACTGGCAAGGGAGAATCCAAAGAGTAACCATGTTGGGGATTCTCCTTGCTAGGTGCCACTATTTATATGATACAAGAATGATAGACTACTGATATGCACAGGCAACATCTGAGCATGTGCCCAAGAAAGTGTCAGAGAAACCCCCGCTTTCATCCAATCATCATGAGATCTTGCATTGTCATAGTTCGACCACTTTTTCATCTTATCATTGACCATCTTATCTTATCTTGACACAGATTATCTTATCATGGATCACGGCATCAGACGGTCCGGATTAGGGGTTCTAGGGATTATCTTTATCGATTCAAGGCTGCACAACATATGCTCCGGAAGGTTCTACTATAACCCATGACCAGTGCCCCATGCGGTACATAGCCTTATGACTCATTAGTTGTAGATATGACTCAGACTGGATTTGGGTATGAATACTGTGGCTACTTGGTTGTATTCTCCAGTCTTCAAATTCACTTCTCTTTTCGACTATTGTTTTTGGTTGATCGTCACATGCATGTGACCACGCACATGCTATTTGTCAAGCATCACATGCTTTGGTCCGGACTTCCCTGCCAAGCACATCTACATAACCCTCAGGCCCAGGCCCTTGTTGTTCTGACAGTCCAGCTCCCATTGTTCTCCCCAATCCAGTCCCCCATTGCTCTCTGGCCTATTGTTCTGTACTTCCTATTGTTCTGATAATCCCCATTGTTCTGTAGACTATATATAGTGGGCTCTGACAAGGAGAGTCCCCAACTCGGTTCCTCTTTGGACCCTCCTGTTGAACACAGAAAACACAGATGGGAGCCGCAGGAGGCTAGAGGCACAGATAGGAGGTAAAAAGCCCAGTAGGTCACATTGATCTGATGCTATATACTATGCATCACGGAGTAATGTCACATCCTTTGTCCGAACCAAGCACACACAAAATCTATACATCAACACAATCAACCCAAAAATAAAGTTGAAAAGAGAAGTGAATTTGAAGACTGGAGAATACAACCAAGTAGCTACAGTATTTATACCCAAATCCAGCCTGAGTCATATCTACAACTAATGAGTCATAAGACTATGTACCACATGGAGCACTGGTCATAGGTTGTAATACAGTTGACTTGCTCATAATGCATATAGTTGAGACAGCCTAAAGTGTATGCATTATTGCATTTATGCAGTCTCAGATTGTCACAATTTCTGTGACTACATACAATAGTCAGAGTGACACTGTCACGGAGTTTCCTTTTTAGTGCTATATATCTCACCTACTCTTTATGCTAGTGGGGAAGAACTTTCCTAGAGTAACCTGTTCAGTGATGAGAAGCTCTTCACAGTGCAATCTGGCTCTGAACTTCCTCAGTTCCCTCTGCAAATTCATTCCCTCTAGTCCAATACAGACATCACCCAGTTTCTCACACATCAACAGAACCTCGGCAGTGCTGATCGGCTTGCAGCAGGATGGAGTGATGTATTTAATGCATCTATTTTTTTTGATGATTTGTGTGGCTGGCTAGACTTCTCATACGGCTTGTTCTTGCATGGTTTCTGTTCATTTTTGTTCAGCAGCATGGAAAGGAGTAGGAGCAGGATATTCAGACTTGTAAAACTTTTCCCAGACCCTCAAAGTTAATTTTATTCATGATGTCATTCTGTATAAATGACCTACCATATGCATTATAGAAATTGCATAAATTTTGCATATCAGGCTTTCCCAACTTGGGAAGCGCCAAATCCAATGCATTATGACATTTATGCAATATGACCAAATGCATTATGAGCAGGTCAACTGTAGAACCTTCTAGAGCCTGTGTCGCACAGCCTTGAATCAGTAGAGATATCCCCCTGAGCTGCTAGCCCAGACCATTGGATGCCGTAATCCATGATAAGATAACCTGTGCCAAGATAAGATAAGATTGTTAATGATAAGATGAAAAAGTGGCCAAACTATGGCATTACCCCCTCTCTAGGGTTAATGTCCTCATTGACTAGGCCAATGGGTGTGAGGACATTTTCATAAGGGTCAAACAGTTGTTGTTGGGGATATAGGAGGCACTTATCTTTGGGTTTGTAGCAATAGATGAGATAGTCCCAATGTCCAGCTTCAAGCGTTGGCAGGAGACAAATGCATGTGTCTGAGTTGGATTGTTTCCTCTGCCAAGCTCTGAAGACCTTTTTCATGTGGGTAAAATGATGTAATGGTTCCCAGATATTCTTGCTATGCAGCCATCTCTTCCATTTAACCAAGTACTGCTTTCCTCGGCTGACGTTTTGTTCCTTCACAATCTCTTCAACTTCCCATTTTTCTGCTCCTCTGATCATCTTGGCTACAGGTCTCTTCTCTCAGCAATGGGGGGTGGTTTATGATAGGGTGTCAACAGTGACTTGTTGAACACTGGGTGTTTTTGGTCCATATCCGGCAGATCCAACTTCCATGCGGCTGCTCCAACCTATTGAACACAGAAAACTCAGATAGGAGCTACAGGAGGCTAGGAGCACAGATGGGAGGCAAAAAGCCCAGTAGGTCACATTGATCTGATGCTATATACTCATGCGCCACAGAGTAATGTCACACCCTTTGTCCATGCCAAGCAGCACTCAATCCACACATTCACACAACTTTCTCCAGAATCTTGTATAGTTCCAACCTCTTGTCGCTCATCTTTTTCAAAGGCCTGTCCATCTCAATATTATCCCCTTCTATGCACACCTTCATCCTAACCTTCAACTCCGGAACTTCTTTTCTTTGATTATCGTAGTATTTTTTCATTTTTTCATTTGCTTTTTCTAATGCTGCTTTTGCTTCATCTTGTATTTCTTTGACTTTTTTTGCAAACTCCTCTGCCAACTCATTCCTCAATTCTATCCACTGCTCCACTTCCTTTCATAGGTGATATCCATGATTTGCATAGAATGGTGATACTTTGGTAGACATGTTCATTTTATCATTACATGCAAACTCTGCCATTTCCAGCCACACCGACCAGTCTGTCTGATAGTAATTGACATAGATCCAGAGATAGTGCTCAATTTCTTGGTTCATACGCTCTATCTGCCTATTTGTGATTAGGTAATATGCAGTGCTGGGATTCATCTCCACTCTCAACATGTGATTCGTGTTGAAGCAGAAAATGCAGAGAGGACTGGAGTCAACAGTAAGAAGCTCTGCATTGCAAGACAGGACAAGAAAAGAATCTACAGACCTGGAGTCAACAGTAAGAAGCTGAAGAACTCCAGGGAGGGAGGAACTATCTATGTGGATAGAGCATGTGACTGTACAGGAATCATGTGACCAAAATGATGGAATGATGGGAACAGTGATGGAATCAGATATTATCAGTGATGTAATCAGTGATAGAATCAGATGGAATCAGGTGATCTTGTGACCCAATCACCAGAGAGTGATCAAGTCCAAAACCCATCCTCAACAGAGCAATGGGCGGAGATAGCCTCCACGACCTTCAGGGCTGGGGACCGAATGCGGTTCCTGTGGGTTTAGCCTCACGGATTGTGGCCATTCTGTAAGTCTTGTCAAACTCTTTCAATTTGATGACCAAGTGTGATAATCACGGTCATTCTGGTGAAATGGTGAGTGATGCTTGCGCTACCTCCAAGCCCTCCATAACGACACATCACTGATCAAGTCTTGGTCTTTGGCTCAGACCTCACTCATTTTCCATTGCTTCTCAGACAAATAAAATTTGGCAAGACATGTATACAATTGCACATGTTGGAGCTAGGATAAATGGTACAAGATTTCTGGGAGACATGCGTAATTTGACAAGATGTATGTTAGCTGTTGAATAAGATAAGCGTGCTAGATTCAAAAAAAGAAACAGCTTTCAAAATAATCACCAAAGACCGAGCAATGTTGATGTCATTCAGCGACCCAGCATCTGAACCTGACTGTTCTTTACCATGTTTTGTACTATTTGCATAACCAGCGCCTAGAGCTGCTCAGGCGAAACGGTCAACAGTGTTGAAGTGGCAGGAACAGCTTCCTGATCAGGCCCAACAGCTTCTGAGACACCCGGAGGCAGTGGAGGCGGTGGATGTTGAAGTGTGGAAAGGATGTCTTGCTTGATTCAGACAAAAGAGTGTTACTTAGCTATGTGACCATCAGTACATAGCCCTAGATCAATGTGATAGACTGGGCTTTTCGCCTCCCATCTGTGCCCCTAGCCTCCTGTGGCTCCCATCTGTGTTTTCTGAATTCAACAGTGGAGGCAGAGTTGTGGCAATGGTTTCTGCCGGCGCTATGCTCAATGACCGCATGGCTCACACATGCAGAGGCTTTGGAGCCGGTCTCTCAGGCATCAAAAAGGCCTGTTTTTTGCTGCTACCGGCCTCCTGGGTGCTAGAATTCCCTAGGTATCATTTCAGCTTGCTGACTAGGAACTGGAATCTGGAATCTGACCCTGGTCACTTCTCAGATTCTGCTTCTTAGCTGTCCGGCCTTCAGACTGAGCGTGGCCTGCTTTCCGTTTTCTCACCGGGCTGGGAGTTGGGGCAAATGAGACTCCTGGTACGTTCTCTACTTGCAACTAGGTTGAAGGACTGTTGGGTGGAGTCGATCTCAGTATGGGATCCAGGGGGATGGCTGAGGGTACTGCGGTGGAGGTCCGAGGTGAATCCTCACGACGGATTTCCCTTGGCATGGTCTCCTCCTCTGACTCTGGTCCTAAAAATTTGGACTCTGATAGAGAGCTGTTGCTGCTCTGCCAAGTCGGCTGCTTGAAATTTGACTTCCCCTTTCCCCTTGGCCGCAGAATCATTGCTCCTCCCCTCTCCTGGACCTGTTGCACAGAGAGCAGGGAAATCTCATTGAAATCAGCTGTTGTGATCTTCTTGCAGCTGCGATTGCAATTTTTTTACTGGCAGCGGTCCTTGCTTTGCCAGACATCTTGCTTGATGGCCGGTTTCTCGCTGTCTTTGAGCTCTCTGCAGCAGCTGCCACCGCCTCCACCGCCTCTACCGCCTCTGCAGACTTCACCGGTACTCGAGCCCGTTGCTTTGGTCTTGGATTCTCCTCTGCTTCACCCTTGCTCTTGCCTTTGACATTGTCCTTGGCTTTGCCTTTGCCTTTCTTCAAAATGTTGCATTTGCGTTTAGAAGGTGGGCTGGACCCTTCTGTCTTGATCTGCCTGCAATTGCGGCGTTGTTGAGGTAAGACAAGACAAATGCTCTAGATACGAGCAATGACATCTGACTTTTTAGAGCTAATACCGTTCTTGAGTACCGTCACATCCCAATAGTGAGGATCCCACATAAGGTCGAATTTGAAGGCGATGAGCTGGTTGAGCCCATCGAGCCCAAGGGTAAGTTGTCTGTTGGAATGATGTCTCAAGTCACGATCTGGCAACTCTGCAGCTTGATCGCGATCGTAATTGTGACAGTAGATGACTGGATCTTCTGAGCAAACAGGATTAGTAAATGTCATGAAGACTTGGAGTGATGTGATGAAATGCTGAGGGCGCACTCACAGGTGAATCTACTATGAAAGTAAACCCAAATATAAACATGTTCACACTTCTTGCAATCAGCTTCTCAGTGTGTGAAAGATACGAGGGCTTTGTTGATGTGTGGATTTTGTGTATACTTGGTTCAGACAAAGGGTGTGACATTACTCTGTGATGCATAGTATATAGCATCAGATCAATGTGACCTACTGGGCTTTTTGCCTCCCATCTGTGCCCCTAGCCTTCTGTGGCTCCCATCTGTGTTTTCTGTGTTCAACAGGCTTTGGGGTGGACAGAGCACCAGTATCACAACTCTTAATAGACGCAGATCCAATAGTCGTGGAAGACGAAGTTGACAACAAGAATTTATATATATAGTAAAATAATGGTGTTTCAACCAATATCTTCTATACAGTCAAAACCAACACTAATCCAACCATAACCAACAATATTACAAGTCAGAGCTTAATACAAAGTATTAAGATCCCTTGTAGCGACAGCGTTCAGATGGTGATGCAAAGCCCAAATATCAAGTCGACACACTACCAACTAACACAACCAAAGTACTGTTGAAGCAGGAAATGCAGAGAGGACTGGAGTCAACAGTAAGAAGCTCTCATTGCAAGACAGGACAAGAAAAGAATCTACAGACCTGGAGTCAACAGTAAGAAGCTGGAGAACTCCAAGGAGGGAGGAACTATCTATGTGGATGGAGCATGTGACTGTATAGGAATCATGTGACTTGGAGCCATGTGACCAGAATGATGGAATGATGGGAACAGTGATGGAATCAGATATCATTAGTAATGTGATCAGTGATAGGATCAGATGGAATCAGATGATCATGTGACCCAATCACCAGAGAGTGATCAAGTCCAAAACCCATCACCAACAAGTACTGAGTCGACGCACTGCCAACTAGTAAAACCAAAATGCTGCGTCGACGCACTGCCAACTAACAGCCAATATCCAAAACCTAAGCACAACTTGTCGATGCACTGCCAAGCAAGAAGTGTGGAACCAAAGTTCTTAAGTCAACGCACTGCCTATTGAACTCAGAAAACACAGATGGGAGCCGCAGGAGGCTAGGGGCACAGATGGGAGGCAAAAAGCCCAGTCTATCACATTGATCTAGGGCTATGTACTGATGGTCACAAAACTAAGTAACACTCTTTTGTCTGAACCAAGCAAGACATCCTTTCCACACTTCAACATGCGCTTGAAAACTTTGAAATCACTCAAACCCTTGTCAGCGTTCATCTCGAGAGGCAGTTGGATGTAATCAGGGTATCTGATAATGACGTTCTTCATGAGAAGAACTTCGGATGCAAGGCTATTCCATGCAAAGCTGTTCTTGGTCTCAGCAAAAATATTGAAGTCAAGGGAACGTTTGCTCCATTCGGTTAATTTTGACCGCAGCTGACCAAACATGCTATTACTGTGTTTGGTCTCTAGATGGGGTGGGACTTTTCAAACAAATAACTAGAAGGATTTGGCAGCGCTGTGATTGGGCAGCAACTGCTGCCTACCTGACAAGGAGGTGGCAGAGGCGGCAGAGGCAAGATTGTACCTCAAGGGCCCATTGTTGGTCCCCAGCTCTTCACCTTCAATCATCTGGTAGTGCAGCTTGAGATTGAAGCGACTAGAATTGGCTTAGATTTCATGCGCAAGAAGGAAAAGGAAACACCTATGTGCAACACTCTGTCACAGCAGAAAACATGATGTCCGACATTCATTTCAAACAGTCAGGGAACTGAAAACAATTGTGTTAGATATTGACAGAAGGGGAAGGCTGAGTGTGATACCTAAGCCATGCCAAAAGTTGCGATGATTTCTCCAAGTCCAGCGTCGTCTTGCTTATGGTTGCTAACAACAACAACAAACCCCTGGAAACCACTGGCCTCCACTTTCATAAACTGCAAAGCGTCAGAAGGAGAAAGATGGGAAGAATCATCAAATGACTCACCATCTTACTCAGATCTTCTGCAGTGTGCCTGAAGCATTTGGTGCGCTCAATCATTGTCTCAGTCACATCTTGCTGCTTCAGGATCTCCCAGTGTCTAAGGACAGTCATGGGATCCTTCCCTGCTGCCTCAGTCTCAGTGTGCCACTGGCAATAGGCCTCATTGAGGTGATAGCCCATGTGGAACTGGACACGGCACTTCTCAAGAGGGATCTTGTCACTAAACACCTACTGTGCTTCCTTCTCAATGTTTTGAGGATTCAAAGCAAACGCTTGATATAAGTTCCAGGAGTTGGAAGGAAGGAGAGGTCCAGTTAGGAGCTTTCAGATATATTCAATAGTGAAGGTGTTGTCTAGCTGCATCTTGTCCAATTCAGCACCGATAGTCCGTAGGACTTCCACCCGCAAGAACAAAAAGCCGGTCGTGTTGCTCTTGCAACAGCCTGTGGGATTAGGGGTTGTTAGACTTGGAAACTGGGTTGCTGCTTCCAGCGTCTTCAGCATCATCATCATAAGGAAGAGCAAGGAGCAAGTCAAACAAGTTGGCATTTAAGTTGTTCCACAGAGATTCAGAGTCTTTTCAATGGCTGCTAGTGGGGGTGGAGGAGTGTAGAAGTTTGGGCTGACTCGATGCACAGGTCAGAGACACACGGGTTTGAGTGGCTGAAGTCGCACCGAGATTGATGTGGTCGTGTAATAACAGTTTGGGGGGTGGCAGCAGGAGGCTGGAATTGTTGGTCTTGTCATCCATTGGGCCACAGTCTTGCCAGTTTGATGAACCGGCTTGGGCAAGTGTTGAAGCAGGAAATGCAGAGAGGACTGGAGTCAACAGTAAGAAGCTCTGCATTGCAAGAGAAAACAAGAAAAGAATCTACAGACCTGGAGTCAACAGTAAGAAGCTGAAGAACTCCAGGGAGGGAGGAACTATCTATGTGGATGGAGCATGTGACTGTATAGGAATCATGTGATCAGAAGTCATGTGACCAGAATGATGGAATGATGGGAACAATGATGGAATCAGATATCATCAGTGATGTGATCAGTGATAGGATCAGATAGAATCAAATGATCATGTGACCCAATCACCAGAGAGTGATCAAGTCCAAAACCCATCACCAACACTCCCCCGGGATGAGATCAGTCTCTCAGCCTCTCCCCCGCAATCTCATCAGTGTGCGCAACCTTGCCACCTGAGGCCGAGGCAGCGCCTTGGTCAGGATGTCAGCCAGCTGGTCCTGCGTCGGCACATACTTCACATCAATGAACCCTCTGGCCACTTCATCTCTAAGCCTACTAGTAGTGTGCCAGGTCCAGATGCTTCATACGCCCATGGTGTTCAGGATTCTTGGACACAGATATGGCAGACTGGTTGTCCATCATCAATGGAGAAGCCCCAGACACACCATGCTCCAGCTCGTGCAGCAGATTCCGCATCCACTTGATCTCCTTCCCAGCATCCACACCAGCCACATACTCTGCCTCAGTGGTGGACAGAGAGATGGTGGACTGCAGCTTGCTCCTCCAGCTTACTGGTCCACCAGCCATCATAATGACATACCCCCCAGTGCTTTTCATGGAGTCCTTGTCTCCAGCATGATCAGCATCAGTGAAGGTGGTGAAGAGGTCGTCAGGATGGATGTGGGTGGCTGGGTCATAGAGGGTGGGCGAGGATTTGGAGTAGGTGATGCGGAAGTCAAGGGTGCCCTGGATATATTGAAGCAGGTGCTTGACTGCCTTCCAGTGCTCTTCACCAGGATTGCTATTGAAGCGTGCCAACACCCCCACAGCATAGGAGATGTCAGGGCGAGTCTGACAGGCCAGGTACATCAGAGAGCCAACAGCAGACAGATAGTTGCCCTTGAACTGCTTGGACTCCTCCTCAGTCTTGGCTCCCATCTCCTTGGTTAGAGACAGACCAGGCAGCATGGGGGTGTCCACAGGCTTGCAGTCAGCCATGCCATACTGCTCCAGGAGGTTGACAGCATACTGGCGCTGGGAGATGCTGATGTCCCCAGTGTGCTCATCACGCTCTATCTTGATCCCCAGAAGCCACTCTGTGGGACCCAGATCCCGCACCTTGAAGGCCGTGCCAAGCTGGGCAATGACCTTGTCAATGTCAGCATCATGCTTTGCAGCAATGGTGCCATCATCAACATAGATGGGCAGGATCACGCGCACAACACCATCAGAGTAGATGTGGCAGGAGCTGTCTGACTTGATGCACTTGAACCCCATGGCAGTCAGCTTGGCAACCAACTTGATGCGCCACTGGCGGCCAGCCTGCTTCAGTCCATAGATGGACCGGTTCAGCTTCAGCACCTGGCCCTTCTCTCCCTGGGGGAACCCTTCTGGCTGAGTCATGTAGACATCCTCATCCAGGTCCCCATTGAGGTAGGCAGAAGAGAAGTCGATGGAGCGCAACTTGAGGTTGTTCTGGGCGGCCAGAGCAAGGATAACGCGCAGAGTAGCAGGTCTAAAGGTGGGTGCAAACACCTCGTGGTAGTCAATGCCATAGCGCTGGCCACGACCATCTGCCACGAGTCTGGCTTTGTAGCGTTCCACAGTGCCATCAGACTTGTGTTTGATCACAAACACCCATTGAGAGCGGATTGGCTTGACCCCTTGTGGCAAGTCGACCACATCCCATGTGCAGTTGCTGAGCAGAGAGTCAATCTCCGAAGCAGCTGCAGCGCGCCATAGTAGACCATCCTCCCCCTTGGACGCTTCAAAGAACGACCTGGGGTTCCCAGAGGCTACAGCAGACAACACAGACTGCACTGCAGTAGCGTGAGCTGCTGCCAGCTTAGGATCTGAGGGGTCACCCTCACGAGCCACAATAAGGGCAGAGGATGAGTTCAGAAGCAGCTCATCGTCACTGAGGTCTTCAGGGATCTCTTCAAAGATCTCTGCCATAGTGCGCCTGGGAGGAGCTGCAGCTGGAGCTGGAGCCCTCCTGGGTGGTGCAGGGACACGATGGATGCCAGCAGCAGCACGACGAGCTGCCACCCCAATTGGAGATTGGGGAGGAGGAGGCGAGGGTAGAGGGTGAAGCGGGGCATCCCCAGCTGGTGGTGGAGATGGAGGTGGTGGAGCTCGACACAAGAAGTCGATTTCATCATCACTGCTGGCTGCAGGAGAGGGAACTGGTGGTGCAGGGAGAGGACAAGCAGGCGGCTGTTGCTGCTCATCATCACCATCGTCATCAGGGACATACACCGGTGCCGGAGCACGAGGGGGATCCACCAGCATGGAGGAGGGGGGTGCCACAGGACAGCTCCTCATCGCTTGAGGGGTACTGCCTGGGAAGTAGCGCTTATCAAACACTGCTCTCTCAGCGATAACGAGTTTCCGAGTCTCTGGGTTGAAGAACATGTTGGTGATGGGTTTTGGACTTGATCACTCCTGGTGATTGGGTCACATGATCATTTGATTCTATCTGATCCTATCACTGATCACATCACTGATGATATCTAATTCCATCATTGTTCCCATCATTGCATCATTCTGGTCACATGACTTCTGATCACATGATTCCTATACAGTCACATGCTCCATCCACATAGATAGTTCCTCCCTCCCTGGAGTTCTTCAGCTTCTTATTGTTGACTCCAGGTCTGTAGATTCTTTTCTTGTTTTCTCTTGCAATGCAGAGCTTCTTACTGTTGACTCCAGTCCTCTCTGCATTTCCTGCTTCAACAGGTTATGGGCCCCGGCCTCTAGAGTGCCTCTGAGTCATCTATTCTGAGATTTTCAAGTTTTTTCCATTCTCTGATTTTCTCTGCCTGCTGCTGCCTGCTTGCCCCAGTCCTGCTACTGCAGTTGACATCTCTGCTGCCTGTTCTGTTCTCTTTTTCCTCTGCTCTTATAGTGTCTGTGGTTCAGGCACTAGTAGTTGGGACTCTATCCTTGAGTGGGTGTGCTCTTTGGTCCATCAGGAAACACCAGGTAGTCATTCCTGTGATCCTGAGGTTGAGACAGCTAGGTGCCTGAGATCAACACACTCCTGAGAGCCTGTAGCTACATAGATACACCCCCTACATCATTCTGGGCGCATTTTTGAGCACAGCATAGCATCAAATTCCCACTCTCATCCATCAGTCTTTTCTCCTTCTGCTGCTCTGGCAGCTGCACCTGCTTCTGCTCAGCCATTGTGTTATGCCTGTTATCAACATGGCCACACACTCCTAAAATGCCCAGAGTTTCTGTCTCTCCTAGAGGACAATGCTTCTGAGCCTGAGCCAGAGCCTGAGCCTGAGCCTAGGCCTAGGCCTAGGCCTAGAAAGGGTGCAGTCAAGTCTGAAGTGGCCACTCATACAAGCCTTCTCTCCCACTCCACTGCAGACCCTGAGTTGAGGTGGATTGCAGATTCTGGTGCTACATCACACATGACCCATTGTGTGCACCTGCTGCAGAACACTCGTCCTCATAGGGCACCCATCAAAGTCGCAAATGGAGTTGTTGTTTATTCCGAACTTGTGGGGGAGATAGTACTTAGGCCACTGATCCATGGACATGCCAGGAGCCGGTCTGTGATCCTCTCCAATGTGCTCTATGTCCCTGCTCTGTCACACAATCTGATCTCCACTACATACCTGTCAGTTCACCATGACTACACTGTGCTTATGAAGGAAAACTACATCCTGTTCAAGCGCAATGGTGAAGTGTACTTTGTGGCAGACATCTCAGAGCAGGGTCAGGCCTTTGTGAGAGAGACTGGTTTCCCTTCTGCTGGTTCAGCACTGGTCTCTACAGCTGGGACTCTTCCCATTGACCTCAGCCTGATGCACAGGCGGCCTGGACACCACAGTGATACCAAGCTAGTCATGGATAAAGAGCTAGTTACTGGTGTGAGGCTTGCCTCTGCTAGGAAGCCAGACCCCACTGGGGGCTCAAGATCAAGGCATTCCAGGACGATAAAGGGGGAGAGTACATGTCTAATGAGTTCAGATCACATCTGGACAAGTGTGGCATTGTGCACCGCCATTCAGTCAGGGCACGGCCTCAGCAGAATGGGACAGCAGAGCGGTCTAACCGCACCATTGATGAGCACTCAACTGCCATGTTACATGAAGCCAACCTGCCCCCTGCATTCAGGGCACTGGCGGTGTCTGCATACATCCATGTGTGCAACATGCACCCCACAGCTCGAGACCCCACCAGGACTCCCCATGAGCTGTGGTTCAAGGCAAAGCCTGATGTGTCTCATCTGCGTGTTTGGGGATGCCTTGCCTATGTGCATGTGCAAAGAGACAAGAGAGGTCCTTCTGGGCATCATGTCCAGAAGTGTATCTTTGTAGGCTATCCTGCAGGGTACAAGGGATGGTTGTTCTTCAACCCAGAGACTCGGAAACCCGTGATCGCTGAGAGAGCAGTGTTTGATGAGCGCTACTTCCCAGGCAGCACCCCTCAAGCTATGAGGAGCTGTCCTGCGGCACCCCCCTCCTCCATGCTGGTGGATCCCCCTCGTGCTCCGGCACCGGTGTATGTCCCTGATGACGATGGTGATAATGAGCAGCAACAGCCGCCTGCTCGTCCTCTCCCTGCACCACCAGTTCCCTCTCCTGCAGCCAGCAGTGATGATGAAATCGACTTCTTGTGTCGAGCTCCACCACCTCCATCTCCACCACCAGCTGGGGATGCCCCGCTTCACCCTCTACCCTCGCCTCCTCCTCCCCAATCTCCAATTGGGGTGGCAGCTCGTCGTGCTGCTGCTGGCATCCATCGTGTCCCTGCACCACCCAGGAGGGCTCCAGCTCCAGCTGCTGCTCCTCCCAGGCGCACCATGGCAGAGATCTTTGAAGAGATCCCTGAAGACCTCAGTGACGATGAGCTGCTTCTGAAGTCATCCTCAGCCCTGATTTTGGCTCGCGAGGGTGACCCCTCAGATCCCAAGCTGGCAGCAGCTCACGCTACTGCAGTGCAGTCCGTGTTGTCTGCTGTAGCCTCTGGGAACCCCCGGTCGTTCTTTGAAGCGTCCAAGCGGGAGGATGGTCCACTATGGCGCGATGCAGCTGCATCTGAGATTGAGTCTCTGCTCAGCAACTGCACATGGGATGTGGTCGACTTGCCACAAGGGGTCAAGCCAATTCGCTCTCAATGGGTGTTTGTGATCAAATACAAGTCTGATGGCACTGTGGAACGCTACAAAGCCAGACTCGTGGCAGATGGTCGTGGCCAGCGCTATGGCATTGACTACCATGAGGTGTTTGCCCCCACCTTCAGACCTGCTACTCTGCGCGTCATCCTCGCTCTTGCTGCCCAGAACAACCTCAAACTGCGCTCCATCGACTTCTCTTCTGCCTACCTTAATGGGGACCTGGATGAGGATGTCTACATGACTCAGCCAGAAGGGTTCCCCCAGGGAGAGAAGGGCCAGGTGCTGAAGCTGAACCGGTCCATCTATGGACTGAAGCAGGCTGGCCGCCAGTGGCGCATCAAGTTGGTTGCCAAGCTGACTGCCATGGGGTTCAAGTGCATCAAGTCAGACAGCTCCTGCCACATCTACTCTGATGGTGTGGTCCGCGTCATCCTGCCCATCTATGTCGATGATGGCACCATTGCTGCAAAGCATGATGCTGACATTGACAAGGTCATTGCCCAGCTTGGCACGGCCTTCAAGGTGCGGGATCTGGGTCCCACAGAGTGGCTTCTGGGGATCAAGATAGAGCGTGATGAGCACACTGGGGACATCAGCATCTCCCAGCGCCAGTATGCTGTCAACCTCCTGGAGCAGTATGGCATGGCTGACTGCAAGCCTGTGGACACCCCCATGCTACCTGGCCTGTCTCTGACCAAGGAGATGGGAGCCAAGACTGAGGAGGAGTCCAAGCAGTTCAAGGGCAACTATCTGTCTGCTGTTGGCTCTCTGATGTACCTGGCCTGTCAGACTCGACCTGACATCTCCTATGCTGTGGGGGTGCTAGCGCGCTTCAATAGCAATCCTGGTGAAGAGCACTGGAAGGCTGTCAAGCACCTGCTGCGATACATCCAGGGCACCCTTGACTTCCGCATCACCTACTCCAAATCCTCTCCCACCCTCTATGACCCAGCCACCCACATCCATCCTGACAACCTCTTCACCACCTTCACTGATGCTGATCATGCTGGAGACAAGGACTCCATGAAAAGCACTGGGGGGTATGTCATTATGAGGGCTGGTGGACCAGTAAGCTGGAGGAGCAAGCTGCAGTCCACCATCTCTCTGTCCACCACTGAGGCAGAGTATGTGGCTGGTGTGGATGCTGGGAAGGAGATCAAGTGGATGCGGAATCTGCTGCACGAGCTGGAGCATGGTGTGTCTGGGGCTTCTCCCTTGATGATGGACAACCAGTCTGCCATATCTGTGTCCAAGAATCCTGAACACCATGGGCGTATGAAGCATCTGGACCTGGCACACTACTAGTAGGCTTAGAGATGAAGTGGCCAGAGGGTTCATTGATGTGAAGTATGTGCCGACGCAGGACCAGCTGGCTGACATCCTGACCAAGGCGCTGCCTCGGCCTCAGGTGGCAAGGTTGCGCACACTGATGAGATTGCGGGGGAGAGGCTGAGAGACTGATCTCATCCCGGGGGAGTGTTGGTGATGGGTTTTGGACTTGATCACTCTCTGGTGATTGGGTCACATGATCATTTGATTCTATCTGATCCTATCACTGATCACATCACTGATGATATCTAATTCCATCATTGTTCCCATCATTGCATCATTCTGGTCACATGACTTCTGATCACATGATTCCTATACAGTCACATGCTCCATCCACATAGATAGTTCCTCCCTCCCTGGAGTTCTTCAGCTTCTTACTGTTGACTCCAGGTCTGTAGATTCTTTTCTTGTTTTCTCTTGCAATGCAGAGCTTCTTACTGTTGACTCCAGTCCTCTCTGCATTTCCTGCTTCAACAGAACAACCATCCCTTGTACCCTGCAGGATAGCCTACAAAGATACACTCCTGGACATAATGCCCAGAAGGACCTCTCTTGTCTCTTTGCACATGCACATAGGCAAGGCATCCCCAAACACGCAGATGAGACACATCAGGCTTTGCCTTGAACCACAGCTCATGGGGAGTCCTGGTAGGGTCTCGAGCTGTGGGGTGCATGTTGCACACATGGATGTATGCAGACACCGCCAGTGCCCTGAATGCAGGGGGCAGGTTGGCTTCGTGTAACATGGCAGTGGAGTGCTCATCAACAGTGCAGTTAGACCGCTCTGCTGTCCCATTCTGCTGAGGCCGTGCCCTGACTGAATGGCGGTGCACAATGCCACACTTGTCCAGATGTGATCTGAACTCATTAGACATGTACTCTCCCCCTTTATCGTCCTGGAATGCCTTGATCTTGAGCCCCCAGTGAGTCTCAGCATACGCTTGAAACATCTTGAGGGCTGCAAAGGTCTCACTCTTGTTCTTGATGTGGTATGCTACCTTGAAGCCAGTGTGATCATCAACAAAAGTCACCCTGTGCTTCCAGCCCTCGCGGGTGGGCACAGAGTAGCTCTTTAGATCAGAGTGAATAAGATCAAGAGGCGCTCCAGAACGACGACCAGTTGAAGGAAACAGGCAAGCATTCAGCTTGCCAAAGAGGCATGGCTCACAGATGGGGTCTGGCTTCCTAGCAGAGGCAAGCCTCACACCAGTAACTAGCTCCTTATCCATGACTAGCTTGGTATCACTGTGGTGTCCAAGCCGCCTGTGCATCAGGCTGAGGTCAATGGGAAGAGTCCCAGCTGTAGAGACCAGTGCTGAACCAGCAGAAGGGAAACCAGTCTCTCTTACAAATGCCTAACCCTGCTCTGAGATATCTGCCACAAAGTACACTTCACCATTGCGCTTGAACAGGATGTAGTTGTTGAACACAGAAAACACAGATGGGAGCCGCAGGAGGCTAGGGGCACAGATGGGCGGCGAAGAGCCCAGTAGGTCACATTGATCTGATGCTATATACTATGCGTCACAGAGTAATGCCACACCCTTTGTCCGAACCAAGCACACACAAAATCCACACATCAACAGTAGTTTTCCTTCATAAGCACAGTGTAGTCATGGTGAACTGACAGGTATGTAGTGGAGATCAGATTGTGTTGAAGCAGGAAATGCAGAGAGGACTGGAGTCAACAGTAAGAAGCTCTGCATTGCAAGACAAGACAAGAAAAGAATCTACAGACCTGGAGTCAACAGTAAGAAGCTGAAGAACTCCAGGGAGGGAGGAACTATCTATGTGGATGGAGCATGTGACTGTATAGGAATCATGTGATCAGAAGTCATGTGACCAAAATGATGGAATGATGGGAACAGTGATGGAATCAGATATCATCAGTGATAGGATCAGATGGAATCAGATGATCATGTGACCCGATCACCAGAGAGTGATCAAGTCCAAAACCCATCACCAACAGATTGTGTGACAGAGCAGGGACATAGAGCACATTGGAGAGGATCACAGACCGGCTCCTGGCATGTCCATGGATCAGTGGCCTAAGCGCTATCTCCCCCACAAGCTCTGAATAGACCACAAGTCCATTCGCCACTCTGATGGGTGCCCTATGAGGACGAGTGTTCTGCAGCAGGTGCACACAATGGGTCATGTGTGATGTAGCACCAGAATCTGCAATCCATCTCAACTCAGGGTCTGCAGTGGAGTGGGAGAGAAGGCTTGTATGAGTGGCCACTTCAGACTTGACTGCACCCTTTCTAGGCCTAGGCCTGTTGAAGCAGGAAATGCAGAGAGGACTGGAGTCAACAGTAAGAAGCTCTGCATTGCAAGAGAAAACAAGAAAAGAATCTACAGACCTGTAGTCAACAGTAAGAAGCTAAAGAACTCCAGGGAGGGAGGAACTATCTATGTAGATGGAGCATGTGACTGTATAGGAATCATGTGACTTGGAGTCATGTGACCAAAATGATGGAATGATGGGAACAGTGATATAATCAGATATCATCAGTGATGTAATCAGTGATAAGATCAGATGGAATCAGATGGTCATGTGACCCAATCACCAGAGAGTGATCAAGTCCAAAACCCATCCTCAACATGAACACCGGATGCCTTCAGTCCGTGTCCGGCAAATCCAGCTTCCATGCAGCCGCTCCAACCTTCTCCAATATCTTGTATGGCCCCAGTCTCTTGTCGCTCATCTTCTTTGATGGTCTATCCGTCTTGATATTTTCCCCTTCTATGTACACCTGTTGATAAAATGGCTGAACCAGGAATTGAACCTGGGACCTCTGACTTGGATCGTCCAGTGCTCTAACCACTGAGCTATTCTGCCTTGGTGCTGGGATTCCCAACTCCAACACTCCCCCGGTATCACAGCACCATTGGCACTGTGCCTGTCAAGGACGGGGTGGCACCATTTATCATTAGGCACTCATCAGACTGCAGTGGTCCACGCCAGTGTGTTCCAGGCCGACTTATGTCTGTGAGTTGCTGCTACCATGTTGATAAAATGGCTGAACCAGGAATTGAACCTGGGACCTCTGACTTGGATCGTCCAGTGCTCTAACCACTAAGCTATTCTGCCTTGGTGCTGGGATTCCCAACTCCAACAACACCTTCATCCCAACCTTCAACTCCGGAACTTCTTTTCTTTGTTTATCGTAGTATTTTTTCATTTTTTCATTTGCTTTTTCCAATGCTGCTTTTGCTTTGTCTTGTATTTCTTTGATTCTTTTTACAAACTCTTCCGCCGACTCGTTCCTCGATTCCATCCGTTGCTCCACTCCCTTCCATGGGTGATATCCGTGATTCGCGTAGAACAGTGATATTTTCGTTGACGTGTTCATCTTGTCGTTATATGCAAACTCCGCCATTCCCAGCCACTCTGACCAGTCCGTATGATGGTAATTGACGTAGATGCGGAGATAGTGCCCGATTTCCTGATTCATACGCTCTGTTTGTCCATCCGTGATCAGGTGATAGGCGGTTCCCGGATTCATTTCCACACCTAACATCCGATTCGTCTCCTTCATGAAGCCCTTGATGTAGCGTGAGTCCCTGTCGGTGATGATCTTTTGAGTGATCCCGTGGTAGCGGAGGACTTGGTCCCTGGTTAATTGTGCGACTCCTTCACTGCTGATGTTAGTACTAATTGGTTCGACATGGATCATTTTGGTGAAGGTGTCACACCACACATGAATTGCGTCATGCCCATTACTGACTGGTAAGGGTCCAATTTGGTCCATTGAGATAATTTCCCACGGCACATTTGGGACTGCATGCGGGTGCAGAGTCCCCGTCCTTGCTCTTCTGGTCTTGGTCCGTTGGCACGCTTTGCACGTCTGGATGTATTTCCAAATTTGGTTTCCCATCCTTACCACCAGTAGTTTCTTTTCACCATCTCCTGTGTTCGGTTGATTCCAGCGTATCCGACCAAAGGTATGTCATGGTGTAGCCCGATGATCTTGTCTTGCAGTTCCTTGTCCCTCGATACGTAGAGCTTCCCATAGTACGTGATGAGCCTGTCTTCCTTTTTCCATCCAGCGAGTGACTTCTCCAAGGCTGCTTTGACGCTTCCATCAATTAATCGAGTGGCCTTGATCTCATCGATTAGCTGCTGATCCTGTCCCTCGAATGTGACTTCTTGTAATCGGAGTAACTCGGTCTTCAGTAGCGTGACGTCCTTGTTGTTGTTCTTGCCTTGGTCATGATCCGCTCGTCGAGACAAGAGATCCGCCTTGCGGTTGAGTGCGCCGGGCCGGTGTCGTAACGTGAAATCAAACTCCGCCAACTCTGTGATCCATCGTGCTTGCCGTCAATTAAGCTTCTGTGGCTTCCGAAAGTATTCAAGATTCTAATGATTGGTGAAGATCTCGAACGTTTCCGTGGCTCCCAGTAGTAACTGCCTCCATTTGTTCAATGATAGCATGATTGCAAGCATCTCCTTGTCGTAGATCTTGTAATTTTGCTCGGTTTCAGTTAATGCGTGCGAAATAAATGCGATTGGGCACCAAATGCCGTCTTGGTTTTGGCTCAAAATGGAGCCTGTTGCCCCTTCCAAAGCATCGGCTTCCAGACGATATTGGCCAGTGTCATTTGGCAGTGCTAAGACCGCATCCTCTGCAATTCTCTTCTTCAACCCATCAAATGCTGCACGCTCATCCGTACCCCATGACCATCCTGCCTTCCCTGTCAGTCGTGTCAATGGCTTGGCAACCTCCGCGTATCCCCGGACAAAGCGCCAATAGAAGTTTGTGAATCCGAGGAAGGCTTGGACCTGTTTGACGCTCTTTGGTTCTGGCCATTCCATCACGCCCTTGATCTTGACTGGGTCCATCCACATCGAATTGTGTCCAATAATTACACCCAAATATTCGATTTCCGTGCGTTTGAACTTGCACTTTTTGGGTTTCAGGTACAACTTGTGTTTTTGGAGCAATTCGAGTACTTGCTTCGTGATCCGCCGATGTTCGTTCAAGGTTTCTGTGAAGATCAATATATCATCAAGATAAACTACCACGTGGCCCTCATTGATCAGTTCTCGGAGTATGTCGTTCATCATATTTTGAAAGGTTACCAGCGAATTTGTGAGACCAAAGAACATGACCAAGGGCTCATACAGCCCACGGTTTGTGCGGAACGCAGCCTTCCATTCGTCGCCCTCTTTGATCCGTACGTTGTTGTATCCCCACCGGATGTCAAGCTTTGTGAAGAACTTGGCGCCGCATAGATTATGGACCAGTTCGGAGATCAGCGGCAGCGGGTATCGATTTCGGATCGTCATCTCGTTCAACTTCCAATAATCTTGAATGGGGCGTAGGGAGCCATCCTTTTTCTTGACAAAGAAGAATGCTGATGCCATGGGAGATTTTGATGGCCTGATCCGTCTGCTGGCCAGGTTCTCTTGTAAGAACTCATTGAGTTTGACCTGTTCGTTTTGTGATAACGGGTACACCTTGCAGTCCACTGCTTTGGAGCCTGGTTTGAGTTCGATTGTGTGGTCCCAGGTTCGTCGGTCCGGTAGTGAGTCGAATGATTTCTTGGCAAATACTTTGACGAATTCCCGGTATTGATCCGGAATCTTCCCCTCGGTCATCCTCTCCTTCTCTTTTCCGCTTCTTCTGCAAATTTCTGCGCCGGTGTTTCCTTCAGTTGTAGATCCACCTCCTTTCCAAAGTCGATCAACAGGATCAATTCTCTCTCTTCCAGATCCGGTGTGCCCGTGTCCAGGTCAATTGCATCCATGTCAATCATTGCTTGGTGCTCCTCGTGACCCCTCATGTGACACCGCTCTGGGCATCGGCTGAATCTCATCGTCTGCTCCTGCCAATCTACCTCCGGGTTGTGTTCCATCAGCCAATCAAGTCCAATGAAGATCCGGGCCTTTCCTAGGCACGTCAGAAGGAATGTGCGTGTCTTCACATGAGGACCGATTCTCATCCTTAGGTCGACATAATGCGTGATCCGACCGCTGATGTTCTTGGTGTTGTCGGCGTTGCAAGCCACGATGGGTTGCGGAAGCTCTTGGATATCCAGCTTCTCTGCCTGCGCGTAGTCGGTATCGATGCAGCAGGTACTGCAGCCACTATCGAGCAGCGCCTTGACTCTGCACGTTTTCCCTGAGTCCAGACCCGTGATCTGAACATATACGTCCATCGAATGCCTCTTTCTTTCGGCCTGGTAACTGCGCAATTCCTGCGCCAACCTGCTGGGCTGGGGGCCCTTCTGTTTCTTGGTGTAAGGGCAACCTCGAGCGGGGGTTCCCCTGACACTCGGCCGCCAATTTCCTCTGGACAGCATCTGGCACCCTGGTGCGTTTGGGTGCTTCTGGAGCCTTGATTTCGGCGGATCCCTTAGGTGCTTCCTCCTTTTCCAAGGATTGAGCCTCCAGAGCGATGCTCCCCTTTTCGGTCTTTGTTGATGTGGTTCCTTCTCCACGAGCCATAAATACGTAGGAGTCCAAAACTAATTTATCTGCAGCTTTCTGATCCTTTTTACTCTGTAAATACTCTCTATTTAAAGCTATTTTTCTTTGGCGTTCTTTTTCCATATCGGCAATGAGAAAATCGTGAATATTGGTACGTAGTGAGTCCGAGATTGTGTATGTATGTGCAGAATCGTTCATGTCTTTAATCGAAACAAGTACAGAAAATCGTCCATAGTCCGGATGCTCCACCTCCTTGGCTAGAGGAGTGGAGCGCTTCAAAAACCCTTCTTGCCAGCTTCTCGGCAATCTCCTTGAGGAACTTGTTGTCCTTGTCCCCGTTCTCGATCTCTTCAAGCATCGTGGCCCGATTGAAGAATGTGTGCTTCTTCCTTGGTTCTGGGCAGTTCCGCGCAATGTGCCCAGGCTGCTGACAGTTGTAGCAGATGATATTGCGGCCGCGGGGGTGGGTGCAATCAATTTCCATCGGAACCGGTTCGTTGGCAGTGGGTCGGGCCGGGGCGGGTGCAGGTGTCATTGGGGCTACCTGCAGGCGGAATTGGGGAGGCGGTCGTGGTGCAGAGTGCGCATGCGATGCTTTGCACAGCTGATCGCGTAGAGCGTTCGCCTCGATGTTGACACACCAGTCCTTGAGTTGTAGAGGCGACTTGCAATATTGCTGCTCAGTCCACGCTCGAGGAATTTGATGAGGATGTGTTGAAGTGTGGAAAGGATGTCTTGCTTGGTTCAGACAAAAGAGTGTTACTTAGCTATGTGACCATCAGTACATAGCCCTAGATCAATGTGACAGACTGGGCTTTTCGCCTCTCATCTGTGCCCCTAGCCTCCTGCGGCTCCCATCTGTGTTTTCTGAGTTCAACAGGATGTTGTCCTGATCCCCCTTCTTGTACTCACCCTTGCTGTCGGTGGAGGTGACCACGTTGTACCCCGCGTCCGCAGCCAGCATTTCGAAGTCGGAGATATAATCTGCAAAGGATCGTCTATTCTGGCGCAGGGCCATGAGCCGAGCAGCGGCAACTTGCTCTGCATTGGAGTCCCCAAAAGCCCTTTGAAGCTCCTTCAAGAAGGTCGCCGAGGTGACCCCAGCCTTTAATCCATTAAGGCTCTCGAAGTTGCGCTGCTTCCAGTTCATCGCCCATCTTGAGGCGGCGCAGCTTGTGCCAGCCTTGTTGCGGAGGTATGAGAGGATGAAGAGGATTTTTGTTTCATCCTGTGAGAATTCCGACCGATAGGCACCGATATAGGTGGTGCACGAGTCCACAAAGCCCATATATTTGGACTTGTCCCCATTGAAGTAGGGGGGGTTGGCGGCAAGAGTGATGCGGTGGTGTCCTGACATGGTAGGAGCAGGCGTGGTAGGTGGGGGCAAGGGTGGTTGTTCGGAGGGTAACTCGTCAAGGTTGGGGATCTTGTCTTCAGGCGGTGGGAGGGCGAGGTAAGGAGTAGAGGGCCCGGGTTGGTTTTGGTACGCCAGATCGGGCAACGAGGGTTTGATGGGGGGAGGAGACGGGCTCCCAGACAATGATGGGAATCGGTACAAAATGGTGGATCTGTGTGCTGTACAAGCACTCGAGGGAGGGTTCTTTTGCTAGCAAAAAGATCCCAGGCCTAGCTCTTCATGTGCCCAATGATCCCGAGGTGTGTTTTCCCAAAGGTCTCCACAGCACTCCTTGTAGCTACCATAAGGCTTGGGTCAGGCTCAACGTTACCCGTGGCCTGGTGCTGTTTGCTTGATATGAACCCTTCACTGCGATCGCAGAGAACGACTAGATGATTTGGTAAAAGGGTAAGTTTGGTTAATAAGGGTTAAGAGGATATAGCAGGCATAGCGGTGTGGAATGCAGGGTAGGAGGTATGAGGTAGGAGGGTATGAGAGCAGTCTTCGAATTATGTGACAATCAACCCAAAAATAAAGTCGAAAAGAGAAGTGAATTCAAAGACTGAAGAATACAACCAAGTAGCTACAGTATTTATACCCAAATCCAGTCTGAGTCATATCTACAACTAATGAGTCATAGGGCTATGTACCGCATGGAGCACTGGTCATGGGTTATAGTAGAACCTTCTGGAGCATATGTCGCGCAGCCTTGAATCAATAAGGATAACCCCTGGAACCCCTAGCCTGGACCGTCTAATGCCGTGATCCGTGATAAGATGAGATCGTCGAAGATAAGGTGAAAAAGGGGTCGAATTATGACACTCTCTCAGCCACTCTCCCTGCCCCCCACTCCTCCCTCCTCTCCTGATTTTAATGGATTCCGCTCTGTGCTACTGCCCCTTGCACACACCAGTCCCCACCACCCTACCCTGTCTTGTAAAGGCCGAAAATCGCATTGGATCTCCTTGGATCTTGTTGAATCTCCCTGGATCTCCCTGGATCTCTGCTGGATCTCTGCAGATTGACTTGGATGCTGAAGAAGACTCGAATTGGGTGCAGGGGCTGTCTTGATTTTCGAGGATCTGGTGGATTTCAATTGGGTGGGAGTAGGATTGTCTCAGTTGGGTGGGAGTAGCTGGGTTTTTGGATTGCTTTGTCCTCCCAAGGGTGGGAGTGTTGATGTGTGGATTTTGTGTATGCTTGGTTCGGACAAAGGGTGTGACATTACTCCGTGATGCATAGTATATAGCATCAGATCAATGTGACCTACTGGGCTTTTCGTCTCCCATCTGTGTGTTGAGGATGGGTTTTGGACTTGATCACTCTCTGGTGATTGGGTCACATGATTAACTGATTCCATCTGATCCTATCACTGATCACATCACTGATGATATCTGATTCCATCACTGTTCCCATCATTCCATCATTCTGGTCACATGACTCCAAGTCACATGATTCCTATACAGTCACATGCTCTATCCACATAAATAGTTCCTCCCTCCCTGGAGTTCTTCAGCTTCTTACTGTTGACTCCAGGTCTGTAGATTCTTTTCTTGTCTTGTCTTGCAATGCAGAGCTTCTTACTGTTGACTCCAGTCCTCTCTGCATTTCCTGCTTCAACAGGTTATGGGCCCCTGCCTCTAGAGTGCCTCTGAGTCATCTATTCTGAGATTTTCGAGTTTTTTCCATTCTCTGATTTTCTCTGCCTGCTGCTGCCTGCTTGCCCCAGTCCTGCTACTGTAGTTGACATCTCTGCTGCCTGTTCTGTTCTCTTTTTCCTCTGCTCTTATAGTGTCTGTGGTTCAGGCACTAGTAGTTGGGACTCTATCCTTAAGTGGGTGTGCTCTTTGGTCCATCAGGAAACACCAGGTAGTCATTCCTGTGATCCTGAGGTTGAGACAGCTAGGTGCCTGAGATCAACACACTCCTGAGAGCCTGTACCTACCTACATACATCCCCTACATCATTCTGGGCGCATTTTTGAGCACAGCATGGCATCAGATTCCCACACTCTTCTCCCAGTTCTCCATAAGGAAACTGTCTTCTCTGATTGGCAGAGTGATGCCAAGGCCTATCTCAGAGGCAAAGAGGTGTTTGTGTACTGCACTGCCACCTTTGATGCAGCCAAGCATGAGGAAGTCAAGAAGGACAAGTGTGCTGGCATCTTGTGGAGCATGCTCTCCCCTGATGTTAGGTCCCTAGTGCGTCAGCATGAGGATGATCCCAAGGCCTTATGGGCTGCATTGCCTTCAATCTTTGCACCCAAGCAGGCTGGGCAGCGCTTCAATGCCTATAAAAACCTTACCTCCATCAGACTCAAGGAGGGTGAGGGCTTGCTAAGCCTTGTGGGTCGTGTATCTGAGGCTGTGCGCTTCCTCAAAAGCTCTAGGCCTGATTCCTTCACACTGGATAAGGCTGATGAAGAGCTGCATGCTGTGGTTCTCCTCATGGCCTTGCCTGATTCTGAGCCTGCTTATGCAACTCTGAAGGCTCCCTTTGAGCAATCCCATGATGCTCTCAAGGTGGCTGCCATTGAACAGGCCTTTACCTCATGGTCTGCTTTCAGGGCAGCAGGCAATGCAGGAGACTCTGGGCAGAGCAATCCTCTGTCTGGAGCTGCAATGATCACTTCTGCCAATCCTCCTTCTGCTGCACTGGAGGCTGCATCTGGTCCCTCCCAGCCTTGGTGTGCTGCGTGTCAAAAGCGTGGTCACACTATTTTGAAGTGTCCAGAGTTCCTTGCACTTCTCAAGGGCAATACTCCCAGGGCTGGGAATGGAAAAGGAGCAGCCAAGTCCGAAGTGGCCACCAATGCAAGTCTTCTCTCTCACACAACTTCCAGTACTGATTTGCGATGGATAGCAGACTCAGGCGCCACATCGCACATGACGCATTGTGTGCACCTGCTGCAAAATACACGCCCTCATAGGGCGCCCATCAAAGTCGCAAATGGAGTTGTTGTTTATTCCGAACTTGTGGGGGAGATAGTACTTAGGCTACTTATCCATGGACAGTCCAGTAGCCAGTCTGTTATTCTCACGAATGTCTTGTTTGTTCCTGCTTTGTCTCACAATCTGATCTCCACTACATACCTGTCAGTTCACCATGACTACACTGTGCTCATGAAGGAAAACTACATCCTGTTCAAGCGCAATGGTGAAGTGTAATTTGTGGCAGACATCTCAGAGCAGGGTCAGGCATTTGTGAGAGAGACTGGTTTCCCTTCTGCTGGTTCAGCACTGGTCTCTACAGCTGGGACTCTTCCCATTGACCTCAGCCTGATGCACAGGCGGCTTGGACACCACAGTGATACCAAGCTAGTCATGGATAAAGAGCTAGTTACTGGTGTGAGGCTTGCCTCTGCTAGGAAGCCAGACCCCATCTGTGAGCCATGCCTCTTTGGCAAGCTGAATGCTGGCCTGTTTCCTTCAACTGGTCATCGTTCTGGAGCGCCTCTTGATCTTATTCACTCTGATCTAAAGAGCTACTCTGTGCCTACCCGTGAGGGCTGGAAACACAGGGTGACTTTTGTTGATGATCACACTGGCTTCAAGGTAGCATACCACATGAAGAACAAGAGTGAGACCTTTGCAGCCCTTAAGATGTTTCAAGCGTATGCTGAGACTCACTGGGGGCTGAAGATCAAAGCATTTCAGGACGATAAAGGGGGAGAGTACATGTCTAATGAGTTCAGAGCACATCTGGACAAGTGTGGCATTGTGCACCGCCATTCAGTCAGGGCACGGCCTCAGCAGAATGGGACAGCAGAGCGGTCTAACCGCACCGTTGATGAGCACTCCACTGCCATGTTACACGAAGCCAATCTGCCCCCTGCATTCAGGGCACTGGCGGTGTCTGCATACATCCATGTGTGCAACATGCACCCCACAGCTCGAGACCCCACCAGGACTCCCCATGAGCTGTGGTTCAAGGCAAAGCCTGATGTGTCTCATCTTCGTGTTTGGGGATGCCTTGCCTATGTGCATGTGCAAAGAGACAAGAGAGGTCCTTCTGGGCATCATGTCCAGAAGTGTATCTTTGTAGGCTATCCTGCAGGGTACAAGGGATGGTTGTTCTTCAACCCAGAGACTCGGAAACTCGTGATCGCTGAGAGAGCAGTGTTTGATGAGCGCTACTTCCCAGGCAGTACCCCTCAAGCTATGAGGAGCTGTCCTGCTGCACCCCCCTCCTCCATGCTGGTGGATCCCCCTCGTGCTCCGGCACCGGTGTATGTCCCTGATGACGATGGTGATGATGAGCAGCAACAGCCGCCTGCTCGTCCTCTCCCTGCACCTCGAATTCCCTCTTCTGCAGCCAGCAGTGATGATGAAATCGACTTCTTGCGTCGAGCTCCACCACCTCCATCTCCACCACCAGCTGGGGATGCCCCGCTTCACCCTCTACCCTTGCCTCCTCCTCCCCAATCTCCAATTGGGGTGGCAGCTTGTCGTGCTGCTGCTGGCATCCATCGTGTCCCTGCACCACCCAGGAGGGCTCCAGCTCCGGCTGCAGCTCCTCCCAGGCGCACTATGGCAGAGATCTTTGAAGAGATCCCTGAAGACCTCAGTGACGATGAGCTGCTTCTGAACTCATCCTCTGCCCTTATTGTGGCTCGTGAGGGTGACCCCTCAGATCCTAAGCTGGCAGCAGCTCACGCTACTGCAGTGCAGTCTGTGTTGTCTGCTGTAGCCTCTGGGAACCCCAGGTCGTTCTTTGAAGCGTCCAAGCGGGAGGATGGTCCACTATGGCGCGCTGCAGCTGCTTCGGAGATTGACTCTCTGCTCAGCAACTGCACATGGGATGTGGTCGACTTGCCACAAGGGGTCAAGCCAATTCGCTCTCAATGGGTGTTTGTGATCAAACACAAGTCTGATGGCACTGTGGAACGCTACAAAGCCAGACTCGTGGCAGATGGTCGTGGCCAGCGCTATGGCATTGACTACCACGAGGTGTTTGCACCCACCTTTAGACCTGCTACTCTGCACGTCATCCTCGCTCTTGCTGCCCAGAACAACCTCAAACTGCGCTCCATCGACTTCTCTTCTGCCTATCTCAATGGGGACCTGGATGAAGATGTCTACATGACTCAACCAGAAGGGTTCCCCCAGGGAGAGAAGGGCCAGGTCCTGAAGCTGAACCGGTCTATCTATGGACTGAAGCAGGCTGGCCGCCAGTGGCGCATCAAGTTGGTTGCCAAGCTGACTGCCATGGGGTTCAAGTGCATCAAGTCTGACAGCTCCTGCCACATCTACTCTGATGGTGTTGTGCGCGTGATCCTGCCCATCTATGTTGATGATGGCACCATTGCTGCAAAGCATGATGCTGACATTGACAAGGTTATTGCCCAGCTGGGTACAGCTTTCAAGGTGCGGGATCTGGGTCCCACAGAGTGGCTTCTGGGGATCAAGATAGAGCGTGATGAGCACACTGGGGACATCAGCATCTCCCAGCGCCAGTATGCTGTCAACCTCCTGGAGCAGTATGGCATGGCTGACTGCAAGCCTGTGGACACCCCCATGCTACCTGGCCTGTCTCTGACCAAGGAGATGGGAGCCAAGACTGAGGAGGAGTCCAAGCAGTTCAAGGGCAACTATCTGTCTGCTGTTGGCTCTCTGATGTACCTGGCCTGTCAGACTCGACCTGACATCTCCTATGCTGTGGGGGTGCTAGCGCGCTTCAATAGCAATCCTGGTGAAGAGCACTGGAAGGCTGTCAAGCACCTGCTGCGATACATCCAGGGCACCCTTGACTTCCGCATCACCTACTCCAAATCCTCTCCCACCCTCTATGACCCAGCCACCCACATCCATTCTGATGACCTCTTCACCACCTTCACTGATGCTGATCATGCTGGAGACAAGGACTCCATGAAAAGCACTGGGGGGTATGTCATCATGATGGCTGGTGGACCAGTGAGCTGGAGGAGCAAGCTGCAGTCCACTATCTCTCTGTCCACTACTGAGGCAGAGTATGTGGCTGGTGTGGATGCTGGGAAGGAGATCAAGTGGATGCGGAATCTGCTGCACGAGCTGGAGCATGGTGTGTCTGGGGCTTCTCCCTTGATGATGGACAACCAGTCTGCCATTTCTGTGTCCAAGAATCCTGAACACCATGGGCGTATGAAGCATCTGGACCTTGCACACTACTGGCTCAGAGATGAAGTGGCCAGAGGGTTCATTGATGTGAAGTATGTGCCGACACAGGACCAGCTGGCTGACATCATGACCAAGGTGCTGCCTCGGCCTCAGGTGGCAAGGTTGCGCACACTAATGAGATTGCAGGGGAGAGGCTGAGAGACTGATCTCATCCCGGGGGAGTGTTGGTGATGGGTTTTGGACTTGATCACTCTCTGGTGATTGGGTCACATGATTAACTGATTCGATCTGATCCTATCACTGATCACATCACTGATGATATCTGTTCCCATCATTGTTCCCATCATTCCATCATTCTGGTCACATGACTCCAAGTCACATGATTCCTATACAGTCACATGCTCTATCCACATAAATAGTTCCTCCCTCCCTGGAGTTCTTCAGCTTCTTACTGTTGACTCCAGGTCTGTAGATTCTTTTCTTGTCTTGTCTTGCAATGCAGAGCTTCTTACTGTTGACTCCAGTCCTCTCTGCATTTCCTGCTTCAACACTGTGCCCCTAGCCTCCTGCGGCTCCCATCTGAGTTTTCTGTGTTCAATGGTATTACAGCAAGCTCTATGTACCAAGGGACAAGGAGTTGCAGGACAAAATCATTGGGCTACACCACAACACGCCTTTGGTCGGACGCTGTCAGGGGAACCCCTGCTTTCGTCCGATCATCATGGGATCTCGCATGTGACTGCGCACGTGCCATCTGTCAAGCGTCACATGCTTCGGTCCGGACTTCCCTGCCAAGCACGTCCCCATGACACTCCGGCCCGGACCCCCATTGTCCCGACGGTCCGGCTCCCATTGTTCTCCCCCGATCCGGCCCCTCATTGTTCCCTGGCCCTATTGTCTGGCGCTTCCATTGTGCTTGGTCATCCATTGTTCTGTAGGCTATATATAGTGGGCCCTGACAAGGAGAGTCCCCAACTCGGTTTCTCTTTGGACTCTCCCTTGTCAGGTTTGCCAGTCTCCTGTACTAGTCGATCCTCTTATCTGACGCTTTGGACTCTCCCTTGTCAGGACTCTGAGATCGGGCCTCGAGGTTGCCCTTACAGCAGAAACCGAGTTCCTAGGGATAACTGGACAAGCTTGTGAAGACCGCCGATAGCGTCATACGCCTCTCACTTCCAATCTTGTCCCCTCCTCCCCCTCTACGATCATCATGTCCTACATGGAAGAAGAAGACCACGGGTCCTCCCCTGAGCAGCGACTTGGTAATCTAGAGGAAGCCATGCAGCGAATAGAGGGACTCCTCAACAACTTCATAATCGAACAGCAACAGCCTGCCCCTGTCCCTGCCCCGTCTCCGGCAGCGGGTCCAGGTGTATTTACTGGCCAACAGGCCAGCTCGAGACCCCTCATCCGCCCCAATCCCCCATTCGCGTTTGACGGAGATCGCACCCAGGGCAAGACGTTTCTCCATTCCGTCAAGCAGTACTGGCGCCTCCTCCCTGAGGCCTTCCATGTGAACGGGGTAGTATCAGAAGAGCGGGTGGTACGTTTCGCCCTCTCCTACATGTCCAAGGACTCGGCGGCCTCCTGGTCAGAACGCATGTCAGAGCGCCTCGTCTTCCCATTTCCAACCTGGTCCTCCTTTGTGGCCGAGTTCAAGCTCCGGTTTGTCGAGGAGAACGAGCAAGACCACGCCCTGGCACGACTGGAGACCCACGCTTACTACATGGGATCCCGCGACGTGTTCAAATACACGGACGAGTTCGACGACCTTCTCGACTTGGCGGGTTACTCTGACAACTTGGTCAAGGTCACCAAGTACCGGGCGGGTCTGGACCCCAGAATCAATCAGGCGATCACGACCTCCGGTAACCCGCCTAGCCTCACAAACTACTCGGAGTGGCGTACCCGCGCATTCCGCCAGTACAACGCCGAGGTGGCTGCCCGAGCTGCACGAGGACAGGTGTTCTCTCCATCCCGCGCTCCGCCTCCTGCGGCCCCCCGCCCTCGCCCCATGGCTCCTCCGGTGGTCGCCCCACCCCCTGTTCCCCGACCAGCCCCGGTAGTCCTCCCACCGGGTATTCCCATGGATATCGACCGAACCCGAGCCCGCAGCAGTCTTCGTCGCACATGCTTCCGGTGCGGCAGCCCGGGACATCTGGCCCGAGACTGCCCGACCCCCGCGGATGTCCGGCACGCTGACGTCCTGGACGAAGTGATCAATCAGCTGGGAAGCGACCTGTTGGCGGAATTAGTGGCCCGGCTAGCAACTACAGCAGCTGTAGAAGATCACGAAGCGGAGATTGCCGACGAGTTGGAGCAGGGTTTTCTCCCCCGCGACGAGTGAATAGTACGCCCTCGATCGCCTCACGTAATCGTTTTGAATGTCTGTATGATGAATGCGACCTCATTTCCCCCACAAACGAAACGGTAGACGTACCTCTTGCCCCCCGCTCAGTCCCGCTGGTCCGCAAGGAAAAGTGGGAACGAAAACTCCCTCAGCGCTATGTAGTTGCGGCCTCCCCTGGTGCCAACTCCCTGCACCTCCCCCTGGAGATCCAGTCCACCGACAACGCAGTCCAGCTCTCTCTCAACGGACTGGTCGACTGCGGCGCCACGTCGGACTTCATTGACTCCACCTACGCCTCCGAAAACCGACTTCCGGTCCGGCAGCTCTCCCAGCCTATCCCAGTCTACAATGTGGACGGCACGCCAAACAAAGCTGGCTCCATTCGACAAGTCGCCGATGTGGTCCTGCGTTACCAAGGACACAGTGAGCGGGTCCAGCTTGCTGTCACTTGGCTCGGCAAGCAGAAGCTGATCCTCGGCTACTCTTGGCTTCGGAAGCACAACACGGAAATTAACTGGGACACGCAGGAAGTAAAGATGAGCCGCTGCCCGTCCGGCTGCTCCACCTGCACCGAGGAGTCTCGCCAAGAGAGACGGATAGCCCGAATCTCGGCCCGAGCACTCCGGTCGGCCCGACAAGGCCCCGCCCCCTCCATCTGCATTGTCGACATGGAAGACCGCGAAGACGAGGCTATGCCGCTACTCCAGGAAGACGACGGAGAAGATTCCGATGAAGAGGAAGACTGTCTGGAAACCGGTGACCGTATCTTCTACACCCGTTTCAACCCTTCTGAAAACATCCGAGCCACTAGCACCGTCTCCCAGCGTCTTGCAGAGGCGTTTGCCAAGAACTCCGCCCCCTCTCGAGATTCCATACCCGGGTGGGCGCGCGAGTTCGAGGATGTTTTCAGCAAGGAATCCTTCGACAATCTTCCGGAACGTCGCCCTTGGGACCACGCCATCGAACTGGTGCCCGATGCAAAGCCAACAAACTGCAAGGTCTACCCTATCTCCCCCTTGGAGCAGAAGCAGCTCGACGCTTTCATCGAAGAAGGCATGGCCACCGGCCGAATCCGACCCTCGAAGTCCCCCATGGCCTCCCCCGTCTTCTTTGTCAAGAAGAAGGATGGCAGCCTACGGTTTGTCCAGGATTACCGGGCACTGAATGCAATGACAGTGAAGAATCGGTACCCCCTCCCCTTGATCAACGACCTGATCAACAAGCTCAAGGGTGCCCGCTTCTTCACCAAACTCGATGTTCGATGGGGCTTCAACAACGTACGGATACGAGAAGGAGACGAGTGGAAGGCTGCGTTTCGGACCAACCGTGGGCTCTTCGAGCCACTGGTGATGTATTTCGGCCTTACCAACTCCCCTGCAACGTTCCAGACCATGATGAATGACATCCTCCAGGACCTCATCCTCTCGGGCGACGTCATGGTGTACCTGGACGATATCCTCATTGCGCACTCCGATCCTCACCTCCATCGTCGTATTGTGAACGAAGTCCTCCGGCGCCTCCGCGAAAACAAGTTGTACCTCCGAGCCGAGAAGTGCGAATTCGAGATGGAGTCCATCGAGTACCTCGGCGTGATCATCTCCCACAACCACGTCGAGATGGACCCCGTCAAAGTGGCAGGCGTAGCCGAATGGCCAGCCCCCTCTAACAAGAAGGAAGTGCAGCAGTTCCTTGGGTTCACTAACTTCTATCGGAGGTTTATCCGGGACTTCTCGCACGTTGCACGCCCGCTCTTTGACCTCACCAAGAAGGACGTACCATGGTCTTGGGGCGACAACGAGTCCACTTCGTTCCAGGCCTTGAAGGATGCAGTTACCTCTACGCCGGTTCTTCTCCTCCCAGACTCCTCCCGTCCTTATCGCCTAGAGGCTGACAGCTCCGATTTTGCCACAGGAGCCGTCATCTCGCAGCAGTCCCCCTCAGACAACAAGTGGCACCCAGTCGCCTTCTTCTCCAAAAGCCTTAACGACGTCCAGCGCAACTACGAGATCCACGACAAAGAGATGCTTGCAATTGTGCGAGCTCTAGAGGAGTGGCGGCACTTCTTGGAGGGCGCCGAGTACCCGGTGGAGATCTGGACCGATCACAAGAACCTGGAGTACTTCCGCAAGGCCCAGAACCTCAATCGCCGGCAAGCCCGATGGTCGCTCTACCTATCCCGCTTCGACTTCACGCTCCACCACCAACCCGGCCGGCTTATGGGACGACCAGACGCACTCTCCCGACGCCCGGACCACGGAGCCCCTTCGGACAACACGGACGTTACCCTGTTGAAACCGGAACTGTTCCATGTGCGAGCACTCGAAGGACTGTCCGTCTCTGGCCCGGAAGCCCCGCTTGTCCGTGACATTCGGGAATCGCTCTCCGGTGACCCTGACCTTGAGGAAGAACTTGCGCTTATAGCGCGACGGCTTCTGAAAGGGATGAAGGGGGCCCGCTCCGCTGTAGCAGCGGAATGGCGCATCCAGGACGGCCTCCTCTACTTCCGTGGGAAGCTAGTGGTCCCGCGCGACAGAGACCTACGGCGACGCATCCTTGAGCAACATCATGACACCCGCGTTGCGGGGCATGCTGGCCGCTTCAAGACGCTGGAGCTGGTCTCCCGGAACTACTGGTGGCCCCAGCTCTCACGACATGTTGGCCGGTACGTGGCCACCTGCGACCTGTGCTGATGACCGACGAAGGACTACCGCTCCCGACATCAAGGTTGGCAGCCGAGTCTGGCTCGACGCCTCGGACATCACGACGACGCGACCCTCCCGCGGCCTCTCCCACCGACGCCTGGGCCCCTTCAAAGTCACCCAAGTCGTAGGCCGGGGCGCATACAAACTCGCCCTCCCCACCAGCCTCTCTCGCCTCCACCCAGTCTTCCCTGTGGTCAAGCTCCAGTTGGCCGAAGACGACCCGTTCCCCACTCGCCCGCGTCACGAAGAACCACCCCCTGTCCTGGGACAAGGCGAAGGAGAGGAGTGGGAAGTGGAGGAGATCCTAGACGCAAAGATGCGCTACCAGAGTGTCTGGTTCCGAGTACGATGGAAGGGCTACGACCCGTCTCATGACCAGTGGGTCAAGCACTCAGATGTTTTTGCTGACGACGCAGTGGCAGCGTTCTACCGCAGATACCCGGGAAAGCCACGCGTCATTGCAGCAGCCGTATTCGACTCGCTACCCTTCAGGAACTCATCGGCCCCTAACCGTACCTTGCGTCGAGGCGCCGCAATCAAGAGGGGGGGTGATGTCAGGGGAACCCCTGCTTTCGTCCAATCATCATGGGATCTCGCATGTGACCACGCACGTGCCATCTGTCAAGTGTCACATGCTTCGGTCCGGACTTCCCTGCCAAGCACGTCCCCATGACACTCCGGCCCGGACCCCCATTGTCCCGACGGTCCGGCTCCCATTGTTCTCCCCCGATCCGGCCCCTCATTGTTCCCTGGCCCTATTGTCTGGCGCTTCCATTGTGCTTGGTCATCCATTGTTCTGTAGGCTATATATAGTGGGCCCTGACAAGGAGAGTCCCCAACTCGGTTTCTCTTTGGACTCTCCCTTGTCAGGTTTGCCAGTCTCCTGTACTAGTCGATCCTCTTATCTGACGCTTTGGACTCTCCCTTGTCAGGACTCTGAGATCGGGCCTCGAGGTTGCCCTTACAGACGCGCAGGGATCAACCAAACATAGGAGATGGTGGAAAGGAATTGCTGGTGGCCAAGGATGGGGAACCAAATTTGGAAATACATCTAGACGTGCGAGGCATGCCAAAGGACCAAGACCAGAAGAGCAAGGACGGGGACTCTGCACCTGCATGCAGTTCCAAGTGCGCCATGGGAAATCATCTCCATGGATCAAATCAGACCCTTGCTGGTCAGTAATGGGTACTGTACGTGAGTGTATGCAGACAACGGTAACGCTAACGGTCAGGTCCGTTGCGTAACACGAGGCATAAATGTAACGCATAACAGCGGTGCTGTCGCGTTGCCAGTTGCGTTACAAATTACATAATAAATTCAATATTTCTACCAAGTTTTCTACGGCTAATTTGACTGAGATTTGTCCTCCGTTGGGGGTCCCACTTCCGTCCACTTCACCCCTGCTTGGTTATATACCCAGATATCTTCCTCTTCAGCAGTGGCAGCTAAGGGGGGCACAGTCTGTGTGTCCGACTTCTCAGAGTCAATGGCACGTGCCGTCGCATAACAATGCGACGGTAACGGCTAACAGTGGTCCCGTCGCATGTTCCGGGCCGTCGCGTAACGTAACGGTGCCTAACCCCGTTGCCTGCATACACTCACGTACAGTATAACGCAATTCATGTGTGGTGTGACACCTTCACCAAAATGATTTATGTCAAACCAATTAGTACTGACATCAGCAGTGAAGGAGTAGCACGATTAACCAGGGACCAAGTCTTCCGCTATCACGGGATCCCTTGCAAGATTTTCACCGACAGGGACTCACATTACATCAAGGGCTTCATGAAGGAAACGAATTGCATGTTGAGAGTGGAGATGAATCCTAGGACCGCATATCTGTTGGTAAAATGGCTGAACTAGGAATTGAACCTGGGACCTCTGATAAGTGCAACCAGTGCTCTAACCAACTGAGCTATTCTGCCAATAGTGCTTGGGGCCCATACTCCAACAATATCACCTAATTACAAATGGGCAAATAGAGCGTATGAACCAAGAAATTGAGCACTATCTCTGGATCTATGTTAATTACCATCAGACAGACTGGTCGGAGTGGCTGGAAATGGCAGAGTTTGCATGTAATGATAAAATGAACATGTCTACCAAAGTATCACCATTCTAAGTATCACCATTCTATGCAAATCATGGATATCACCTATGAAAGGAAGTGGAGCAGCGAATGGAATTGAGAAATGAGTTGGCAGAGAAGTTTGCAAAAAGAGTCAAAGAAATACAAGATGAAGCAAAAGCAGCATTAGAAAAAGCAAATGAAAAAATGAAAAAATACTACGATAATCAAAGAAAAGAAGTTCCGGAGTTGAAGGTTGGGATGAAGGTGTATATGGAAGGGGACAATATCAAGACACATAGACCATCAAAGAAGATGAGCAACAAGAGACTGGGACCATACAAGATACTGGAGAAGGTTGGAGCAGCTGCATGGAAGCTGGATCTGCCGGATATAGACCAAAGACACCCAGTGTTCAACAAGTCACTGTTGACACCCTATCACAACCACCCCCTATTGCCAAGAGAAGAGACCTGTAGCCAAGATGATCAGAGGAGCAGAAGAATGGGAAGTTGAAGAAATTGTAAAGGAACAAAAAGTCGACCAAGGGAAGCAGTACTTGGTCAAATGGAAGGGATGGCCGCATAGCGAGAACACCTGGGAACCATCGCAACATCTTACCCATGCAAAGAAGGTCCTGAGAGATTGGCAGAGGAAACAATCCAACCCAGACACACACAATGCCTCCTGCCAACGCTTGAAGCTGGACATTGGGACTATCTTATCCATTGCTACAAACCCAAAGACGAGCGCCTCCCATATCCCCAACGACAACTCTTTGACCCTTACAAAAACATCTTCACACCCATTGGCCCAGTTGATGAGGACATCGACCCTAGAGAGGGGGTAATGTCATAATTTGGTCCTTTTTCATCTTATCATTGACAATCTTATCTTATCTTGGCACAGATTATCTTATCGCGGATCATAGCATCTGACGGTCCGGGCTAGGGGTCTGGGGATTATCTTTATTGATCCAAGGCTGCGCGGCATATGCTCCAGAAGGTTCTACTACAACCCATGACTAGTGCTCTATGCGGTACATAGCCTTATAACTCATTAGCGGTAGATATGACTCAGACTGGATTTGGGTATAAATACTGTAGCTACTTGGTTGTATTCTCCAGTCTTCGAATTCACTTCTCTTTTTGACATTATTTCTTGTTGATTGTCACACTACCACTACTACCACTACATCCTCAACTACTATGTACATCCAAATTTGCAATCTGAATATCTAGCTGTGAGAATGTGCGGCAGATGAGCATCAGATGATCAGCTGACAATCAGCAACAGATATAAACAGGATTGATATTGATGATGTAAAGTTATCCTTTTTTGGGACCTTTATATCAGTGAAATCTTTGCAGCTCATTTCAGTCTTTATTTGAGGAAAATCAAGCACAATAACAAGCTTACTGATTTTACATGTATAGAGCACCATATCTAACCTGTTTATATATTTTAAAAAAAGGTACATCATGTTGAGACTTTATATCTGTCTGATAAATTTACTTTCCACAAAAGTCAATTTCAGTTGTTTAGAGGTCAATATAGAGGATGTTTATTTTGTCAGAATGAAGTCCCATATTCACTTCGATTATTTTGAACTTTATATTTGCAGTTAAGATGAATCAGCTTTTTAAGTAGGATCCCAGGGTGTGAGTATCGCGCCCAATATCCCAACTATAAATGAAGCTTTATGGCTCCTGTTATTCGGCATCTGCCGGAGTGTCACATCCCCTAAAAACCCTTTACCTAAAGGTACAGGGAATTTTCGCGAGTCTCAAGGTTTTCGGGAGCCGCTGTAAGTGGAGCATTCTGTTCACACCGTGAAGCTAAAAAAACCAGGCTGAAATGATGAAACTCCAATCACTTGTTAGATTTCTTACTTTCCACAAAACCAAGGGGTTGGCTGACGGCAAGCGCTTATTCAGTGCATAAAAATTATGATAGATGCACAATATGAATATGCGAGCAAATTAAGAAACTAGAAGATGGCGCGCACCAGTCCACCGCCGATAGCAGCACCTACGGAAAGCCAGCATGAGAATTGATCTCCTGAAGAATCTTGGGTACCTACCGGCTCCGAACCCCACACCTCCAGCAGCCGAATGTGCCATCTTAGATCTCTTTGAATGATGACTCGGGAACTCGGGGAGAAACGACGCACTGTATTTCCGTACTTGCCGAACTTGCTCTTCTTCTTTTCCTGCTCGGGATCATCCTGCAGACCCAACGAGTTTGTGGTTGGACCAGGTACTGGAGCCGTCGGTTGAACTGGAGGTGGGACATCTCGGCCATGGTGGGCAGCTCCAAATGGGCGATAAGGTTTGGAGCTTGGTGCGCGAGTAGCCGGAGGAGGTGTTGTGCCCGCAATCTTTTCGACATAAGCAGCGGGGAACAAGGCTTGCCGGCCATTGAAACGGCCCATCCACCAATCGCCGTTCTCCTCCTTGACGATTTCAATGATGTCTCCCGCAGAAAAAGAGAGGTCGTCCGGATCCTGCACGGGTGTGATATGAGCAGATGGGTCAAGTTGTGTATAATGCCATACGGACAGCTCCGGTTTCATTGTAGGCCCACAACGCACGAGCTTGTAGAATCCCAGCCACAGGGGGAGAAATCAAGGAGCTGGAGATGGGTACGGAGGACTTGAACGAGTTTGGAGGAGACACGGAAGACCGCGGTGCGTCCGGGAGCTTGGAAAGGAAGGCGGAGGCATCGACTTGGGAGATATACTTCTGAGAGACAAGAAATTGGATATTGCTGAATTCTAATAAGACATTGAGAGGATGGCTCAACATGGGAGACCGACCTCTCTACTTGAGAGACGACGTGGGCAAGCAGAGCGGCTTCAGACATGGTAGTGACTGGCCAAGTGTTTCAATGACCGGAACTGAGTGCACTGCCCTTTGATGTAGTGATGGCGCGTTCGAGATGTGTTCAGTGACCAAGTTACGGCTTTCCTTGATTGTCTGTCTACTCGACTTTATAATCACAAACTCTGTCCAAGAGAAAACGCAGATCGACTGCCCCCAGGAGCCTTTCACGCATCCCCCCATCGAACATATTCCAGACGACATCCCTGAAGAGGGCGTAGTCGTCCGCCAACCGATCCTTCACGTGCTGCAATAAAACGCCGACAGTTCGGTCATCTTCGAGATACAGATTCAATCGTGCAGCAGCACTGCGTAGATCGCGTTCACAGGCAATGCGGAAATTATGCTCTAGTTCTTCCGCACTAGATTGCTGGAAGACCGTTTGAGCCGTCGACGATGGCTCTGAATTGTCGGGACGGAGAGCGGCAATTCGTGCGTTCAAGGCTCCGATTTTCGCCACCCATGCGACAATGGGAGAGGAGATCGGCATAGAACATTCAGCGATAACTTCTTCGCAGACGCGTTTGAGATCGTGGTCAATGCCCTGACCGATTCATCAGCCGATATCATTCATATCCATATGAAGATGATCTCACATGCTTGGCGACTTGAATACCTTCCTCGGTCCTCGGCATTCCAAGTGATGCGAAAAGCGCGTCGGGAAACAGCGATGTCGTGGTGTTCAGCATCGAAGCCAAGGTGTCTGCATAAGTCAGCCATATAGACAATGGCAAAGCGTTATCATCTCACCAGTAACACCGTACTGAAACTCGCTTGCATCTCGATGAGCAAGCTCGAGATGATCGGTCACCTCTTTCAAGATGAGAAGATGACGTGCGAGGAAAAGCTGGCCATCTAAAACGCTGGTAGACGAGCCTGTCCGCTGTTTTATCATGTCCGATGCAAGAATGAGTGACTGGCGACACAAAGTCACCGCTTCTTGGGCGATGTCCGCAAAGATCGCAGGCTGGAAATCATCGATACAGAGACAAAAAGAAGATACTATACACACATTTACAAACTCATGCAACTGTGACAGGACCCAGACGGTCTTTTGTAACGTGGGAAACCACGTCTCCTGTTTGTCGATTGTAGGAAGCCGAAACAGCTGACTGAAGCTTTCTTTCTCTGTGGCAGTAAGGACTTGCTGACCCCCGTGTGAATCGACACTAGCTGAAGAACTTGGAGGAACCCGAGAGTCCGCAGTATACCACTTACAAGCAAGTCTATCTGGGTAAGCCAGATCTTCCGGTTTAGGGGCATAGGACCGGATATCTGACTGGATAACCGATTGAGCCTTGAAAAAAAGCCTAGTCTGCGCATCCTGTAATATCATCTCGAGTAAATGACTGATATGCAAAGTGCCCAGGCTATGTTTCTTTTGATCCAAGTCCACAGACAGAGCAGGTTCGCAATCATCCTCAGGTATTGATGCCACATCGAGTACCATGAGGGCTTGAAGAACAGTGCAAACTTCGCAAAGAGCTGTCAGCCGTGGTTCATGGAGAATCCGAGGCCGTAGGTCATCGTAAAGATAGTCGCAGAGAGTCTCCAGATATTGGCTGTGCGATGTCAATACATACACGCAACAAAGGCAAAAGCACGCACTAGAGCTGTTCTTCGCCTGTAGTGAAGAACGATTGGTATAACTTGAATTCGTCCATGCACAGCTGCTTTAGATAGCTACAGCCGGCCCTTGTCTGAATCTGTGCTCAAGATCTTGCATTGAGTGGGAGAAGGAATACACACCAACTCCACTAACTCTGTCCGACCAGGATCTAATCCCCTGATTTCCTCCATCAGCCGACCGACCAACAGCGTTTTTCTGGTCGAAAAATAGGCCGTGTGACATTCCGCCAATAATGCGGATAATTCCGCTGGATGCGTCTGGGCTCGTCTTTCTAACTCACCTAACAGCGGAGCTAGCTGAGACGATACACTCTGAAATCTAGTGTAAAGAAGATGCATCTGAGCTGTACTTGATACGTCCTGCGTGAGTTTCAGTTCGCGCATCGATACTGTGAGATGCATGTGGTCCACTGGCCTTCTCTGACAGCTTTTTCAAGATATCAGCCGAAAGCGCCTTCAAGGAGCCCACAAAATACATTCGGATAAGAGTCATCGCGCGGGTCATGCATTGTTGAAAACGCAGCAGATAGACTTCCGCCTCTCGAAAGTATCGCTAATCCCCAGTCAGCTCCTTGAAAGAGGCGCGAAAGGACCCTCACGTGTGCTTTGAGGTAGTCGATGCATATGTCCACCCGTTCCACCATGTACAGAAAGTTCGCCTGCAGCACAAGAGATTCTCCCGGGCGATTCAGCATCCGCATCGCCTGCTCTAATTCCTGGAAATAGTCCAACCGTGCGCCGATCTCCTCCGTGAGATCTATCAGACGGGCCTGTTTCCACGAAATCATGACCACCTTCGACGAAGTAGCATAGGACATACCCTTTCTTCTAACAAGCGTTCACATGCTTCCTTCAGGCTTCTTCCACCCTCCTCAACACTTCTCCAGCCCTCAAGCATGCCCTCAACTTGTGCATCCACCTCACCGATCCGCTCCACCAACGCATCGCATGCATCCAAGTGCGCTGACACGCCCGCGACGTGGGCACGAAAATGAGCTTCCTGACTATGCGCCACAGAGCGATCCAACAGCGTGAACCAATCATAGAATTGTTCCGGCGTTATAATGGGTTGTTTAGGATGAAGGTTATGCGTCGCCGCAGGGCGCAGGCTCTGCGCAGATATATATCCGGACCCAGAAGCAGGGGTACTTGGTCGTGATGGGGTTGAGCTGATCCCACTGGGTCCAAGACGGGAGGAGTCATGACGCGCATGAGCGCGACCCAAGGGCGTGGTTGGACGCGAAGAGGAAGAAAGCTCATTCCCATCGAACTGTATGTCGGCACATTAGTGCAATCATTTCCGTTTTGCATGCATGACGAACCTTGTGCGGCAGAGGAGGCTTTTCGCAAGCCGCCTTCATGACACCAGCACTGTTGACTTCACGATTGCTGAGCGGAGCTTTGGCTTCCCATTGTTCAACGTTGAGCGTAGGTTTCAGAGAAGGAGAATTTACGGCCGTATGAAAGGTCCCTTTCTTTACGGCTGGTCGGACAGACATGCATATAGCGTTTCTGGATAACGATGTTTCGGCTGGCTCCGAAGTAGCACTGCCTCCAGGCCAGTCACGGACGCGTTGTTGCCATACTGTTATGCGTGACTTCGCGCAGACTCGCGACACCCATGGCCTTCGTGCCTTTGAGCCGGCCCTCGAAAGCTCAATCGAAATTCGACCATACTCCGATTCACCCTGAAGCTGAAGGGTTCAACGTACGGCTCATCTCCGCTTCCGCTCATCATCGGACTTATTTTGACAGTATCCCACTTTCCGTCTGCTCAACAAACAAAGTCGTGTTACTCTTTCTGCAGATTATCTCCTCCCTTCGATCTCCAGAAAAGTATTTGCGGTCTCAAACTCCCAAGGGGGATGGTTTGCCGCTGCCACATCCCATGGCAAGTTCTCTCTCTGCCCAGATATCTCTTATTGCTCAACGAAACAGGCCTCATCCTCTCTCCGCTCAGCCAACTCCGCGAATCCGTCAAGCTGGGAAGTGAAACCGTTTTTGTTCCCAAAATCACATTACCATGGGCTGCTATAAGTATCGCCTTTGGCTGCGCCGATTCTCGACTTTTTGCTGGAACTGAGCAAGGCCGAATCCTCGTATTCGACACCACCCATCTCTTTACATCTTCCACACCGGTTGATCCAATACACGTCTTGGACACTTCTACCAGTCCTCCTCTCCAAATCTTGCCCAACCCCAGCGGTGACCATGACCTGTCTCAGCTGTTAGCTATCGTCAGAGCGGACGGAACCGCGCAAGTCCTGAGTGCGCAGATGGAGCATCGAGCTGGATGGATGGGCTCGAATGCGGAAGACAGTCCTGTTGTTGGTATGTGAAGATCGCGAGGGTCATTGATTTCTCTCTAATCGCTGGCGCTGGAAAATGTAGCTGCATGGTCTCCCAAAGGCAAACAAATTGCTCTAGGGTTGAGGGCGGGTGACATCATGACCTTCGGATTGACGGGTGATCCATCCCCCCTCAAGCATATCCCCCCTACTGCTGACGGGCTATTGGTTTCGCTGCAATGGATCGGCCCCTTGCACACATTCCGAACCAGCTACGCGTCCGCCGGAAATCCTCCTGACCATATCGTTCACCTTGATTCACGGTCGAACACTGGTGGATTTGTTCAAATGACACATCCGTTCACCATGTCGGGTCGATCTCAGAATGCGCATGTACTGGTTCTTCCGAGATGGGATCAAGAGGCCACTGCAGAGCATAAGGTTCTGCTTATTGTTGGAGATACATCATCCACCGACCTTGAAGTAGTAGCGAACGTGGGTTCCCGTTGGTTTCAGCAATCGCAGGAGAACCCTCTCAACGTCCCCTTGGACAAAAACGACGAAGACACTTTCCTGCTCAGTCTTGATGTTGATCTCACCGATGAAGTGCCTGTGATGTATGCCTACTTGAACGATGGGACAGTTCAGGCTTGGTATATCTGTCATCCAGATGGGACACCCTACCCAGGGCTTATTTCCAGCACCGCCCCCGAGAAAGCTCTTAATCAACCCCCGGATGGCCTATCAATTTCAGAAAAACCGATGACCACTTCCCCCTTCGGACACATGAACTCTGGCAGTTTTTCTGCATTCTCGATTCAATCCAGTACATTCACTCCCCCGCCACCGATGTCCCACTCCCCCTCCATCTCAATGGAAGATAGCACCGGCTTTGGTGGCATGTCTCTGGGCAATTCAACTTCCGACAAGCCCAAGCCAAACAGTAACGTTTTCGGGCCACCTGCGCCTCTGCCATTGCCTCCTGACCATCCGGCGAATCATCCGACACCACCAAAAATGGCATCGTTCTCGGATCCGGTCTTGGTTAGGCCGGCGAGCGGATTCGGAGCATTTGGGGGTGGCCCGACCGGCGGGGCTTTTAGCAACCCCAAACCCATCACCTCATCTAGCGTCACGGCATTTGGTGCATCGCCAGATGTTGCAACTGCATTCGGCAGACCATCGCTGGGGGGCGCAACCTTTGGACAGTCGGGTTTTGGCCAGAGTCAGAGCTCTTTCGGCCAGACAGGATCGGCATCCACAGGCAATGCCAACTTTGGGTCCTCTACTTCTGCCGGCGGGGGGTTCACGGCTTTTGCATCTTCCGCCCCAAGTACGTTTGGTGTCCCGACCAAACTTCCGTCTCTTGGAGGATTCTCCAAGTTCGCGTCGTCTGGTGGCTCGAATGCATTTGTAGCAGCTGCTAACGGAACGAATTTATTCGCTCCTGCCAGCGAAACAGTGTCTGCCTCGTCGAACACGCCGTCGATGAACGTGTCTGACACCACGAGCGATCCCAGTCCCTTCGGCAAGAGCTCATCGTCAGCCGCTCCGTTTGGAAAACCCCAGTCCGGTGGATTCAGCTCGTTCGCATCGAATACATCATCTCCATTCAGTGCCGTTCCTATTAGCAGCTCAGCCCCGGTTGCGCATGCTTTCAGCAATCTGACTTCGTCCTCCACTCCGGTGTTCGGCCAAACTACTAACGCTTTTTCCCGCCAAGACCCGGACAAAGGCACATCGACCCCGGCCGGCGCATTTGCGAATATGAAAAATGCATCACCGACAAGTGTGTTCATCAAGCCCGCTTCGGGGGCTTTCACAGATGGCCAGTCAACCTCTCCTTTTCTGGGGTCGTCGAATCAAGCACAGCCTCAGCGAGTATCTGCATTCGGACCCTCAGCGGGATCGACATCGACAGCAAATCCAGCATTTAGCTCTCCGTCTGTGCTCAAATCTGCATTCGAGACACCGCCGAAAGCAAGCGGGAGTCCGTTCGGTGCCTTCCAAGGAACCCCAGTGAGCTTGAATTCTGTCCCTGTGTTCACACCACCTCCGGGGAAGGAGAAGGACACTGCCCCGCTGTCCCAAGCGAGTTCGTTTGTGGAGGTGGATAGAGAAGATCATGCACAGAGCGAAGGTGATCGGGAAGAAGCCCATCTTGGAGAGGGAGAACTTGAGGAGGGCGAACTCGAGTATGAAGGTGATATCGGCGACGAAGATGATCTCGCCGCATTTTTGTCAGAGGGTTCTGAACTGGGTCCTGAGGAAGACGAGGAAGAAGACTTCACACCGTCGCGTTCACCTTCGCCGACGCCTTCCGATGCATCTGAGGCATCCCGACTCTCCACAATCAGAGAGGAAAGCACAACTCCTCCCGGTAGCCCAGAAAAGAAAACCACGCCGTCAGTGCCCATTGCAGTTCCGTCTCCGACCGCAGCCGGCTCAGGCCCATCGCTGTTCGGAATAGGACTCGGCCGGCCAAGCACGAGGCCCACACGCAGCTCCCCTCTTGCTGGCCCCTCCACTTCGGCCGAGGAAATCAAACCTCCGCAAGAAGCAGCATGGAAACCACAGCCGCATGTGATTGCGAGCAATCCAGACGAGAGCAAACCACCACGGGCCAAGACGCCTCCACTTTCAGCATTGTCGTTCCCTAGTTCCAAACCCAGTCTCCCCGTCAAGACGCCGCTTTCAGGGAAGCTCTTCGGAAACGATTCACCGACTCCAATTGTCCCATCGAAGGGTCTTTTCGAGCCGGTGAGTCCCGTGGTCAAGCCAGTTGCTCCCATGGGCAAGCCGGTCATTCCCGTCGCCAACCCTGCCGTTCCAGTGGTCAGGCTCCCTGTGTCAGATACCCATGCAAGGCCAATTGCGGTGCCGCCGACCCCTAGTCCAGCTCCCCCGGCTGTGAAATCCGGACCTCCTCCCATGGAGGAAGGATTGCAGAAAGAATGTGCACTGCTGTTCCAGACCATGACCCGAGAATTGGACAATGTGGGTCGCTTTTGCAGTTTGACCGCTATATCGCTCATAACACCAGTTCCGCGTTCTTGCCCAAGCCGCTTCTCAAAAGCGAATGGAACTGGGCAGTTCTGCCGGCGGCTCCCGCCGGGCATCTGATCTGGGCAACCGCGCAAGATGGAATCTGTCGGATGCAGTGCAGTTTGGTTTAACACTGAGGTCGTACGAGAAGGACCTCGATGCGCTCAAAGAGAACAGAGCGACGTCACAAAAGTCCGTGCGGGAGTTACGGAGTAATTTGCTCAAAGGTGAGTTCGCTTATCTTCCGAATCTTCCAACCTCTGAAAATTTAAGCTGGAACCAAGCGCGAGGAGATCGGACGATTCATCAAGGCCCAACACGACCCTGAGTTCGCGAAGATGCTCAAATCCCGATCGCTTGGACCGGAACATCTGGAGACACAGAGTGTATTGAGACGTGGTATCCGGGTTCGTCTCCTTCATCATATTCATGCTGCATTATGTTCAACTGCCATCAGCAACTGCAGGACCGTGTTCAGAAATTGGAGGGTCACTTGGAGGAGTCTAAAAAACGGCTTAGCCGAGCTAACAGTGGGACTGCGGGTCTTCGCGCACCAACGTTGGACACACTCAATCGCACGTTCCGCAACATGGACATTGCTCTGGATAACCAAACGGACGATGTTGACCGCCTCACGACTCGTATCGCCAAACTAGAAGTCGCTGCCAGCAGCAGTACACCCACGAGAGACCCGCGACTACCTGGAATAGGACATCGCCCTCCAAAAGTCACGCCTCACGTTGCGGTCACAACTGCCGCTGCGCTCAATGCTGAGCGCACAGCGCAAAAGCTCAAGCGCGCACTATTGCTCGTACGTAAGGAACCATTGATGAACACCCAGGCTGCGCTGGCACCGGCCCCGCCGTCCGTGTTCAGCACACCGTTGCGGCCGGGTGCGGATCTGAGCACCCCAGTGAAAGGGATTTCGCTGGGACTGACTGCATTCGCACCACCTTCGACATTGCCTGCCTTCGATCCCAGCTCTTTTGACTTGCCAGCGGACAACTTCAATCCATCCCCGCCACCCGCGACGAGAAGAGGGGCAGGCACCAAAAGTCGGGTTTCAGGCTCCGTCCCACTCAAGAGAACTAGTCCCGCTCATCAGCCGTCATCGTTCGACTTTGGACCTCTTCCAACTCTGGGACATTCTCCGTCGCCATCACCGGCTCCTGTATTCGACTGGGGTCCGATTCCAGCATTCAATAAACCGTCGAGCACACTTCCAGGCTTCAATGTCAGGTAGAAAGTAGGTAGCCAGCACAGAAATATAATAGTTCTACAGTCCTTTTGCTCCCGATCCTCTTTGTTCGCGAGTTTTACCTCGATCGGCTCGTCCTATCACATTTGGGCGGCTTCGTATGCAATGCTCAACTTGCCCTCGTGTCTGAGCAGAGAAGAGTACCCTTCTCGCAGGGCCGGAACGCTCGGAAGTTGGAGTGTGGCTGATGCGCAGAGGACATCATGATATCATCTGGCTACACCTGACACTCATCTGATTGAGGATTGTTATATCCATGTTCAATACGGTTCAGTTCTGCAGGGACTGTGCAGTGACGCACCAGAGCTCATGAAGCTTCAGCGCAACAAAGCTGGCTAAGACACATGAGTGGAAGCAGCTCAAGCTCTGCTCCGGTGAAATGTCTGGTTTGAAACTCGGTGGAAGCTCGTCTCAATTGCAAAGTTGTGAATCAAGATCTAAAAGTACTGCTCGGAGCGCGACTAACAGAGGATATAATCATCCGAGTCGAAAGGCAAGCCCGATGTGATGACTCATCACATATTTCGAAGCTCCAGGCCGGTACAGCCCCGATAGCAACCCTTCAAAGCAGGCTCTCGCGTCCTCCAAGTCGTGAATGTCTGAACATGTTGACCGGGAACTGGGAATATGGAAAGCCCGAGGGGGCTCGATGAACGAACTTATCCCAAATGTTTGTCACTGCATGTGAAAATGGGATCGTTGTCTTGTCACTTGACTGACATTCGGCCGCCCCGTACTGGAGGCTTTACCGGTAGCCTCTTCGTAGCTTGCTCTCTTACTCGATGGAATACCCTGTTGGTCTGCCCGCGCAGTCTCCCCTGCTGACTATCACTCATCGTGAGCTTGCGGTCGGCTTCGGCGTGTGTTCTCGTTGCGCTGACGTGATACAGCCAAGGACACGCTTTGGGTTATTGAATTGCACAATGGGGCCGACAACCGCTTGACTCCCGACTTTGTGCAATTGGCCATCAAGCCTGCATTGGATGTTGTCGAACGTCATTGGCGGGAACAGTGGCGCGCCGTACCCAATGACGCCAAGGACAAATCGGGAGGGAATGGTGCACTTGTGATAGTCGGAGGCAGGAACCAGGACAAGTTCTTCAGTAACGGTGGGGGACTGCCGGACATCATCTCGTGCCATGCTCACGGACTAATCTGCAGGTCTGAATTTGTCCTTGGTGCCGCTCAACGGCATCTTTTTTTCAGGTGCGTCTTGTGTCTTGTTCGAAGGAGTAGGTTCAACCAGTAACCAGTCATTTTTAACCGCCTTCTTGATCGTATCATGCGATTCCCTAGTGAGCGTTCTATTTTGGGAGACGAAGGCCAGCAGATCGACGCGAAACGCGAGATTGCATGGTTACATCCCCGGTCGTCTGCCTTCCAACGAGATTGACCTGTTGCTATGCAGTTCCCACTATCGCAGCTATTAACGGACACTGCTTCGCTGGCGGATTCATGCTCAGCCTCGCTTGTGATTATCGCGTAATGACTGATGGGAGCCAACGGAATGCATGGGTGTGCATGAATGAGGTACTTTTACTTGAATGGTCCTTCTCTTGATGACTGAAGCCCACGGTTTTGGCAGGTCGACTTTGGTGCACCATGGCCTCACTCATTCGCAGGAGTGCTAAATGCCAAGATCTGTGACGGACCGACGAGGCGCAAGATTGCTCTGGAGGGCCATCGTTTCACTCCGCCTGAAGCGCTTAAAGCCGGCATCGTGGATCAAATCGTGACTGGCAACACTGCTGCGATCTTGGAAGCCGCGGAACAGCTGGGATTGAAGGTTGGCGTCAAAGCACAAGGTGAGCGGTAATGCTTATTATCCAAGTGAAGATCTGATCATCATCTTCCCTGGTCTCAGGCGGTGTGTGGGGATTGATCAAAGTAAGTCGGTGCGCTCGAGACAACGGCTTGCACTGATGTGCTTCCAAGAACGATATATACTACGATGCATTGGAAGGCTTGAAGAAAGATCCGAGAGAGATTAGTCCGTTGGTTGACGACCTTGCTGCAAAGGCGAGATTGTAGATCAGCGTCTTCAAAGAGATTACATAGACTTTGCCAGTCGATCTGTCTGTCCTTGACACGAAATCATACTTTCCGGAAACAAGACATGACGAGGGGCAAGATGGACACCCGATCTCGCTCACGAGTTCAGGCCCGCCAACGTTCTCTCTCGTGCCTAAAAACAGAACATCTAGAACCATCAACACAATGCCAAAGAACCATCTCTAAAACAAGGCTCTAGGGTTCTGGTTTATAAATGTAGATGGACAGGGTCACGCAAGTGGTAAGTCACAGGTGGCTCGACCGTAATAATACCACCCGATTGCGAGATTGTCAACCTCTCTCTCTCCAGAAACCAAGAAACTCAAGCATAGAGATGACGACGGTCACGCACCCTGTGTTACGTACCCGTCGCTCGGCCGATCCGAGTCGTTGGGTCGCCAAGCAGGCTTGAACGACTGCGCAAGATCGTGTTCTTCCATCAGATTTCCCTCACGACTGTCGACGGCAGCCGGATGCGGGTTCGGCTGCCGGCCATATATAAGACGGATCCTCAAACGTGGTACACACCCTTCTTCCACCCAAGGCCGGCCTTACCTTCCTCTCCTTCTCTTTGCTTTCATTCTCTAGGGTTGATCCTCCTCCATTCACGTTCGGCCATGCAACTCTCTATCTCTTTCTCTGCACTTCTGGCAGGCATGCTTGTCGCTCTCAGTGCCTCTGAGGTTCAGGCAGTGCCCGTTGCTCAAGCACCCAAGATGGTCACCCTCCCTATCAAGCGGATGGGTTCCCCAGCCAGTGACTTGCATCCGGAAATTGTGTGTTTCATCTTCAGACCACATGCTTCATTCTGACGCCCTCCCGTGGCATAGCTTCTGCAACAGAAGATCAACCATGCCAGCAAGCGCCTTGCTCTGATGTCTGGTCGTGAAGCCCCCACGGATGCTATGATGCAGGATGCTCTGCGCAAGCGTGTCCTGGCCATCGAGGGCGAGGAGGGTGTGGAGCGCCGCTTCAATCGCTGGCAGGTCCCTCCCAAATCCCAACAAGCTAAGCGCTTCAACCGCTGGAAAGTTCCCAACCAGCCCACCAAGCGTCGCGCCGGTGGAAACAAGGCCGCGTGAGTATCGACAATGTGATCACATTCCGCATACTGAGTCCTTGATTCAAGCGCTTCCCTCGCAGCTGCGGGTAGCGCCATTGGAGGTCCTGATTCCGCTGTTGGTGTACAGGTTGCCAACACCCCGACTACTGCCAACTCGCTGGCTTTGAACAACGAGTGCGTTCCAAAATTCGGAATACTGTCCGAGGCTAATGTTAGAATAGGACTCCCGACATCGGCTACCTCGCTACCGTGCAGATGGGAACTCCTCCCCAGAACTTCCTGATCCTCATGGATTCTGGCTCTGCGGACTTGTGGGTGGCCTCCGAGTCTTGCGTGTCGACTACCGGTGGCAACTGTGGTAAACATTTGACGTTGGGCGCCACTTCATCGACCAGCTTCGCGGCGTCGAACACTCCGTTCCAAGTCACTTACGGAACCGGTGCTGTGCAGGGTCTCCTCGTCCAAGATGATGTCTCCATCGCGGGGCTGACGCTGAAGGCTCATACCTTCGGTGCTACTCTGCAGGAGACCGTCCAATTCACCGACGACAGTGTTCCGTTTGACGGACTGATGGGTCTCGCGCAGTCAACTCTTTCTCAGCAGCAGACCTTGACCCCGGTTGAGGCGCTCGCCAAGCAGGGCTCTATCACCGAGGCCATCACGTCTTACAAGATCTCTCGGGCTGCCGACGGCCTGAACGACGGTGAAATCACCTTCGGTGGGCTGGACGCAACGAAGTTCAACAAGGCCACGTTGACCACTGTCCCCAATGTCAACACCCAGGGCTTCTGGGAGGCTGCCGTCGATTCGTTCACCGTGGATGGCAAAGATTCCGGTCTTGCTGGTCGCACTGCCATCCTCGACACTGGAACGACGCTCATCGTTGCGCCCGTCAGCGATGCCACCGCGATCCATGCTCTGATCCAAGGCTCGGCATCCACCGGAAACGGAGGATTCACCATCCCGTGCAACTTCAACCAGACCATTGCCTTGACTGTTGGGAAAACCTCCTTCGCGATCGATCCCCGTGACATGGTCGTTTCGCAGCCTAACGCTCAGGGTGTTTGCTCCAGCGGCATCAGCGGCGGTAGCTTCGGAACCAGCAACACCGAGTGGCTTGTTGGCGATGTGTTCCTCAAGAACGCTTACTACTCTACTGACGTTGGCAAGAACACCGTCTCCCTTGCAAAGCTTGTTTGAGCGCGATATTGGACTATCCAGGGACTTTAGATACTGATCTAGCATGTATTTACTAAATGGACACGAATGAAACGGGGATACAGGGCAGCTCGCGTCTGGGTGTATAACAGGCTCGTCATCAAGTTCGAGATGCAGTCCACAGGACAACCAACAAAGCCGCAATAGCCTTCAGCGTTATTACTAATTTTAATCATTGGCTTGATCTCGATCAACAATTGCTGTCGAGAACTGTTTCAGTGACACTTGGTATGTCAACGGCGCGCAGCCTTGCATTCAGAAGATAGTTATGGACGAATCAGTTAGACGATCATCTTGTTTCACCTTCATTCCGTTTTCAGCTTCGGATACTTGGAGCCCCAAACGATCTTGTCGACATCAGGCAGTTCCCCCGTCATCGCCAACTTCAATTGCTTGAAAACAGTGATCGGTGGACTGAACATCCCCACTCGAGCTTGGTATGCGGCATATCCTTTGTACTTGCCAGCGGTGATGGCCTCGGTGTACACAGTCGAACTGAAAAAGAGAATCGACAAAGCGACGGCTGGTGTGAGCGGGGCGAGCGGTCCAAGATGCTCCAACCAATCGGAAAATGGAGATTGAAACATGGCGGCCAAGTGTACAGTTGGCAGGTGCGGAAGAGATGCAAGATTCATGATCCACTGCAACAAATTAGATACCATGATACGTGTCGCGAGGAGAGCTCACCCAGAACGACTGTTCGCACATGAAGTTTGGATGGCGACACCAAGCCCATAATCCCCGAGTCAAGAAACCGCGATCGACATCTTCCTTTGTCCAGTCCAAGCGGGATCCCGGCCACTGTTGATGTTCATGATATCGTCTTGGCGTGTGCTTGTATGTCTGAAATGAATACTGCTGATTGTCTGCCGTGAATTCGAGCGCCAGAACAACCAAAGTCAGCGCTATAACGCCGTAATCGCGACCGTCTAGGGATTGTACAGGTTGTATTGCGGCGTAGTATGCTGGGACTCCCAAGAGCAAGAGTAGAACATTCTGTGTGAATGCTGTAGAAGAACTAAGTAGTGTCCGCACGAGGGGTAGAATTCACTGAACCGATGAACGTGAGGTTGACGATTTGAAAGAGGGCTGGGTGAAGTTGTGACCGCAGCACAGCCCAACGGTAGTCCTCGTCCTTCCTTCGAAAGGTCAGCTCGTGCATCCATGAGCACATAAGAAACGAACAGATTGAAGAGACCGCGTCGATATGTGTTGTAGCTGAGTCTGGTTCGAGTTAGAATGTCACCTTTGAGCTCTTTCAAGTACGGTTCACGCGCCTGCACATCCAAGTGGTAACTAAGCCAAGCAACATCAGCGCACGTGGGTTGTAGGCCTCAGCCGCTATCTCCAGAGCAGCGGGGGTGTATGGCGTCGGAACTGGATAGAAAGGTTGCGTCTTTGGCCAAAGAGGCAGTAGTGCGAAGTATGCTGTGTAGATGGTTGGTAGAAAAGTCCACACGCGGTCGACTTGAGAGACATTAGAGGTTATTATCGATGCAATGTAAGTCGTTGCAGTCGAGAATAGACAGAATTGTACAGGCCACGAGAAAGCTGGTGGAATGGACAGGTAGTTCATGGTCAAGAACAAGCGAGCACTGATGTCATCACACGTCATTCATTCTGCTCAGGGCCGTTTTGGCGCCATCTGGGTCCGTCAAGCCGTGCTGTTAAAGCAGCCCTTGTTTGCGCAAGTCGGGTTTTTCCGTTGACTTAATATCGGAGATTCTAAACACAGAGAATGCAACTCACCTTGGCCATACAATCATGTGATGCAAGTTCACGCCCGTCCTCGAAATACCAATAGTAATACGGATCGAACGATTGGTGGCATCTCAAAGACAGAACGCTCGTGATCGTGCATGCTATGGTCTGCTATGGCGCAATTCGAGTTCTTACAGGCACGCCATTATTATGAATGGTTCCGTCACTAGTGGGCGGTCGATTTAAATACTAGCTGACAGATTAGCGATCTTAAACCCTTTCCACGATGGCCACATTCCCCAAGCATGAGTACTCTCTCCGTCTCGGCAGCATTGCCCCTGACTTTGAGGCCGACACTACGATCGGACCCATCAAATTCCATGAATGGCTCGGAATTTCCTGGGTAGCGCACCGGTCACACCTGATGAAACTGGAAACTTATCGATCATCTTCCAGGGTATCTTGTTCTCTCATCCCGGAGGTATCTTGCCCTGTTCTCCATCCTCGTCCCATCTTGAACATTCGCTGGCTAGACTTCACCCCCGTCTGCACAACCGAACTTGGTGAAGTTGCGCGTCGTGCTGACGACTTTGCCAAGCGCAACATCAAAGTCATCGGCATCTCTGCAAACGGCCTAGAAGAGCACGACAAGTGGATCAAGGACATCAACGAATATGGTAGCAAGGTTGCGCCCACGGATGTCCAATTCCCCATCGTATGCACTCCTCCTGGCTGCGATATGTACAGTTCCTAATATGCATGGAACAGATCGCAGACCCCGATCGCAAGGTGTCCTACATCTATGACATGCTCGACTATCAGGATGCCACCAACAAAGACCTCAAGGGTCTACCTTTTACCGTGCGTTCACCTGGAATCTACCTGTTTCGGTCTTTTCATGGGTCACTAACTCGAGCTCAGATCCGCACTGTCTTCGTGATCGACCCGAAGAAAGTCATTCGCCTGACTCTCTCATATCCTGCCGTTGCTGGCCGCAATTTTGTGCGTGTTCCTTGTCTCTCGAAGACTTCCGCTTGACCTACGGTGTCTTAGGACGAAATTCTGCGCGCAGTCGATGCAATTCAGTTGGGCGATAAGCACCGCATAGCCACTCCCGTGAACTGGAAGCCTGGCCAGGATGTGATCATCCACGTCGGGGTCAACAACGAGGAGGCCAAGACCCTGTTCCCCGAGCATACAGTTCATCTTGTAAGCATCTTGCCAGATTATCTGTCGATCGCACACTGACAATCTTCCAGCCTTACTTGCGCACAACCCCGTTGTCGCCTTCAATCTGAAATAAATCTGGGGCAAAGCTTGGCAGATCACACCGGTGTTTCAATGTGTACTACCGAAGGTCGTGTCCTTACATTGAAAGTGAGAAGTGCTAGAATTACATGTCATTAAGTGGATACATAGTGTGCTTTAAGTGTACAACAGCGAGGAGCCTTGCATCGAAAGACGCGGAACTACTTGGTCGTGGTAGCCGAAGAGAATTTAGTGACAGATTTGGTCTGGCAAGAAGTCAGTTTTGAAAAGAATGCCAATGAAGAACGCACTCCTTCGCTGATAGCGTGCTTTGCAAGTTCACCGGGAAGAATCAAACGAACCGAGGTTTGGATTTCACGGGAAGAGATGGTGGATTTCTTAGAGTATTGAGCAAGCTCTATAAAACTGGATGAGAACGTGATATAGGAAGGACCATGAGCACGCACTGGATGCTTCCGACGCGATCCGTTCAAAAATGTCGTTGACGAATGAGTTCAGAATGGACATGGCCTTATTAGAGATACCGGTGTCCGGGTGGACCTGTCTCAAGACTAGTACAATTCATTCAGCACTCGATACGACTTCGGGCACATCCAACACACCCTTGTATATGTAGGAAGAGTAAGTCTCCTTCCTGACTTTCTTACGTTTCTTCTTCTCCCCGTCGGCGGGCGCTGACACCTTGGATGTCTTCTTGCCAGCCTTCTTCTCAGTGGATTTCGATGGGGCTTTGGAAGCGGTGGCAGCAGGAGCCTTTCCAGCGGTGGAGGCTGGAGCTTTGCCAGCGGTGGATGCAGGTTTGGGAGCCATCGGTGTCTGACGGTGGAGACTGTAGAAGTTGGGGACTAGAAACAGAATCTGTGTGTTGAATAACGTTTATAACAGACACGTCGATTTGCGGATCTTTGGTTCCTCTCAACAAACGCTCCATCAGCAAGTGCCATCAGTCACACTGTGACTTGACGCGTCAATATAAACTTGACCATCTTTGGCCAGGCCTGGTTTTCTCTTGCCTGCCACCATCTCACTTCTCACTCTACTTCATCCCACCTAATCAGTCCCCTATCGATATCGACATGTCTGGCAAAGTTAGTGGCAAATCCAAGTCTGGCAAGGCTGCCGGTGCCAGCAGCGACTCGAAAGCTCAGTCGCGCTCCTCCAAAGCCGGTCTTCAGTTTCCGGTCGGTCGTATCCATCGTTTACTGAAGAAGGGGAACTATGCTCAGCGTGTCGGTGCTGGCGCTCCTGGTTTGTCTTCACCGGATTGTTTTCATATCTTTGCTGTTGCTCACCTCTGTCCAGTTTACCTGGCCGCTGTCCTCGAATATCTTGCGGCTGAAATCCTGGAACTGGCTGGCAATGCCGCTCGTGATAACAAGAAGCATCGTATCGTGCCGCGTCACCTTCAGCTTGCTATTCGCAATGACGAGGAGCTGGGCAAAGTGCGCTGCCAGCTTACCATCGTTTACCTGGCTAATCACTGGAACAGCTCTTGGGCTCTGTAGTCATCTCGCAAGGAGGGGTGGTGCCCCATATCGATCCTTCTCTGCTGCCGACAGCGATAAAGAGTGTGTTCGCCTCTTGTTCCTTTTCGTCTCTTTCTAATCAGGTCTGCAGAAGGCAAAGGCGCTGCATCGCAGGAGATGTAGACCTAACTTCGAAGTTCCGTTTCTCCGTATCAGCATCTCTGTACACATTGTAGACCTACCATTACTATTTTACACACATCAGTACTTACAGAATTGTAGTTTGGTGCTTGCATCCTATGCCACATGCCGATTCCCACCTTGATAATCAGATTGTAATGACTTGCTGCTGCAGAATAAGTGTCGAATGCAACGAACACAGTGGTAGAGGCGGCTGAGTTGAGTTGAGTAGCCTGGTGACGACGTACTGTGACGCGTGATACTCCGAGATAGCGTAATTTCCTTTTCTGATCCGTGGATGTTCAGGATCGATCAAAAACCATTTTTCGTCTGCAGATATTGAGGGTATCCTGTTTCTATAAGGAGAGAAAATATTTCCTTCACATCTATCGTCACTTAGCCCGTTACATGCGGATCTCATCGATTACCTAATATGTTGCTGCACAAGATTTCATTCTCGGAGTCCCTCAGAGTCTAATATGTACGTATGCTGTATTCTGTAAAGATATTAATATCCTTCCCATGATTTTCGATCTTAACAAGTTTTTACACGCAAGCATAGACTCATGCATGTCCCCTTTTGACTCGTATGTAACGTTCACGCTCAGTCGCAGGTTAAACAAATCAGTCCCTCCATTTCGGGTGCAGTCTGGCACACTCAGGGGCGGGATAAACCATGCGCTTCGGTATCACACGAATATATAGTCAATCGTGCAAGGATTCAGCTCCTGTGTACAGCTGCTCCCCTTTGACCTCTCGTTGACCATTCTCTGAACTCTCCCTTTGCCCGTCACTCGTTTGAAACGTCTGCATTCACGTTCGCAATCCGACATCCCACATGCATCAACAGGAGATTGAGCAAAGGTCCCATGCCGTAATCTCGGCAAACCCAGTGTGTCTCCTAGACTATGAACCATCCACTGCGGCACTCACTCCATGCACCCAGCCATTCCCAGCTGTATTTCGCGGTGTCCTCTTCCCCGCAGGATCGAATGGGCAGCCTGTCGTGGTCCCTGTTCCGCTCGACTATGGTCTGGGGTCTTATATGTTCCCGGAGGATCTACGGACGCAGTCGTGGACTGTCACACAATTCAAGAATTCATGGCGAATGGACGCAGGTCACGGCGTCATCTATCTGGCATATGCATACGCACAACGCATCTCAAAAGCTACCGGTGCTCTTGTGAATAGCTCTCTGAGTGACTCCAAGCGAGTTGTGTATGGGGATGTTCTGGTCCTAAAAGAGAGCCAATTGCGTGAATGCATCGTTGACCTGGACGAGGCGGATTTCAAACATGTCGTCGACAGGTTCACCCGGCAAGTCCTGATTTTCGACCCCCTCAGTATCTCTTACCTCGAAACAGATGGTGGGCAATACACGGTTCAGATCCGGACCAGTTGATCAGCTAGTTGCAACTGCAATCCATTCTTTTAAGGAGATCTGAGCGAGTGAAGAATGTATAACTCAAACATGTTTTACTCGCCTGACAATCTGGAGATATGATATACCCTGGCCGCTTTCAAAGCGTGGGTTTTTAACAATGAATTGTTGACCGCTAGGCAGCGGGATTTTCTTCATCGCTTACACCGGGTTCACTCCCATGAGTGCTTCCATTCACTGGCCATTCGATGATTGACTCGAGGTGTTCCAACGCAGCCTGTCAAGACTAGTATGGCGCGAACCGGTTATCGTTGATGAAATCGCTGCGCACCCTTCCAACCTCGCTGAGCTCCTGGTTTTCATCACCAGCGAACACCTCAAAGTCACCGCCGTTGGAGTCCAAGAAAGCATCCATATCTTCTTCGTCGGAGCCCGTGGCGGGATCGGGATGCAGCGCAGCGCACCGAGACAACGCTTCGAAGATGGGTTCCACTTCAAATCGGTTACGAGACGAACAGGATGCATAAGTAAAACCACTTACGCGATGAAGCGTCTTGAGGGATGATGGAGAGCTCGCGCATCTCAGACACCTCGTCATTAATCGCTGCGGATTCAGGTTCCCCAGCATGTTCATCCAGTTGACAGTAGATCGATGGGCCAGACTCTGCCCGAGACACAGCGTGAAGTGTAATTGCTGGATACTCGACCTGAAAGCCGCTTCCCTGATTAGGCATGAACACTAATACGCTACAGCAAGGTTCAGGGAAAGAAACGTGTGTGTCAAGATCGCAGAGTACCTTTCAATCACATACAAAGTGCCCTGTGCATTGCTTTGTGCGAAACCGTCTAATGGCGGATCAAGAGTGACTGAGACGTTCTGTTCGATGTGGCAGACGACGGGTGGAATGTCGTTAAAGGATGAGGGCGTCTGAGATACCAGAGCGGTATGATTCTCGCGAGAGATAAAATTCGGCAATGACTGGATTAGTGTCGCAGCGGGCATTTGAGATTACGGACAAAGCAAAGCTGCAGAGCGTTGGGCGTGTTGATAATGCTCGCGTGTTTACTCGTGTTGTCTTTAGGTGCTTCTCTGCTAATTCAAATTGTGCTTGGGCGATGGCAGATCCACCCTCGACCGGACTACTTTCCGGCGTCTTCACCTTCGTGGCGAGAGAATTAGAATCTTTCATTGTGAATGCCACTGGAGGGACCATCGAAGAGGTTTTATTGTCCTTCCTCAAGTTTTCAAACTCACTTATCATCCGCTTGCAGGATGAGACCTACTCGCCCGAAAACTCTCCGGAACCCCCGGAGCCATCCTCTTCAACGCGACTACATGATAGCTTGATGGGCGCTCATGACTCGAAGCATCTGAGACAGCATCCCACGAGTCCTGCGCAGCGACGATCACGACCTTCTCCACCTCGACGGCGACGGCATGACTCACCCGCCGAACAAATGCCCTCCACACGCTCCTCCCCTCCAGTTGACGCGTACAGACGCGTCGTTTCTGACCCAGATACAGGTCAATTGTATATTTCATGGCGTTCCTACCGTTTCTCACTCACACTGTGCAGATATCCCGTCGAGTGAACGCAATCCATTCTCTCCTCCTCCTCTCCCCTGCATCCTCAAGCGCAGAAAGTCTTTAACAATGCCGGGGTCACTTTTTCCGCGTTCGCCGTCTCTGGAGCCAGGGTCACACCACGAACAAGAGATGCGCCAGGTTCGATTTCTGCCCAGCATCATCAGCCCACCTACTCGCAGCCGCACTGAACCCATTCCTTCCGAATCAATACGGTTTACACTGAACGCGGATGCCGTGGCGGAACATGAATCTCCACCTCGCCTTCGTTACACCGCGCAAGAGAAGGGTAAGGCTCGTGCAAGTGGTGATGCTGACAGCATTCCGATAGAATTGCGCGGGATGACACGTGAATTATCAGCCGCATGTGACGAACTAGCGGCTCATCGACAGAGCAGAGAGGAGGTCGAAGAGGATACCGAACTACAGCGAGAGCGGGAATTGGACAAGGAGCGCATCCGACACCTGGAAGCAGAAGTGCATCGTTTGAAGCAGGAGGTGCATCTGTTTAAACCGATTGTGGCGAAACTAGCTAACGCTCACTGAAGTTATCTGACCGTTCACATATCACGTCTCCTCCTCCGCCACCCGCCCCACCACCTCCGCCCCCGCCTGGTCCTGCCAAGCGCATCCCTACATCCATTCTGCCCAAAGTTCCCACGTTCTCGAATCTGCCAACGCAAGAGACCGCTCTGGGCGGCAGTCGTCGTTCTGGTCAACCGACGATTGGCGTACCTCCCGACAAAATGGCTGATTTCCTAGCTGAAATGAAGACCGTCCGTTTGAAAAAGACATTGTCCGCAACCAATAGTCGAGATGAAGACACGTCTTATGTCGAGAGCAGTTTCGTCGTCGGAGGGCGCATGTCCTCCCGTAACGCTGCTATACTCAAGAAGCTTGGAGATTCAATCTCACGCTCACAGCCATCAACGACAGGCGTCGGAGACCGTAGCTGGAATGGAACGCGCAGCACGCCTTGGCTTGAGGACCGGTCTTTCGACTCTGCTGTTGTTGGCGGGAAACGTAAGCGTGCCGAAGTAGACCCTAGCGAAGATCAAGGTGTGTCGAATACTTCTGGGGCGTGCTTGTTGTTGAGGCGGACATCCAGACCAAGCACCAAAACGCCGCTTCTCGGCTTCGTCGTCGTTCCCGGCTGCCGGGTTTCCGAAAGCTGCTGCGTATCGAGATAGCAGTACAATCACACCGTCTCTCTCCTCCGATCGAGGAAACGACGACTCAGACGAACGTTCACTTTCCACGCCACCGGCGCCAGCATTCACGATCCTCGACCCGCCTGCTGCGACGTGGATGCCCATCCGCAAGATCTTTGTTCCTCCACCACGAAGAGCGCCTCCCGCCGACGGACGCATCTCAGCCACTCCACCTCGACAGCGAGTGCCCAGTGCGTCTGAACAGCTCGACAAACGACCGCCCTCGTCTCCGATTGCTGTGCAGTCTCCGAGAAAGCCTCGTCCGCCAGGCAGGTTACACAAGGCAGCCCGAGTTGTCCACAACGAGGAGTCCGACGATGAGCTCAGCCTCAGTTACGATGCTCCGGTCCATAGCCCACCACACAAGACTGCTCAGAATATGACCCTGGACCAGGAGCTGGTCGCTGCTCGATCACGTGCTTATACCCGTGTGCGACCAGGTTCCCAGTCTGATCCAGATAGCGGGCTATTCGTGGGCCTGGGCTCCCGCGCAAAGAACAGAGGATTTCTTGCTCGTGGCGGTGCTGGTGGATCTCCTGTCTTCATGGGCGTAGGATATGTTCAGGGTGTGGACAATGACGATGAATCTCGGTCTCCAGGCATCAACCCCCGGAGGGGCAAGAGAATTTGATCTCTTTCTTGCCTTTGACCCGTGTCTGTTTCTTGTTTTGTAATCTATAGATATGTATCTCATTCCGTATGGTGTAACAACAACTGTCTGTTCAAAATATAGCATGAACGATGTCTCCTCCGATTGCACTACCAGCACCAAAACCAAGGCCGCCCACTGCCGAATTCGCAAGCTGTGCTGACTTCAGAAGAATATCTACAGGATATACAGTACGCACCGTGGCTCCAAGCCCTCCGAATTTGCTTTGCTTCGGTGGAAGTTCCGGTGGGGCAGAGGCTGGTGGAATAGGTGCAGGAGGAATAGGTGCAGGCGCCCCATAGGGCATGTACGGAGCAGGAGGTTGACCTGCTTGGTATCCGGGTCCATATCCTCCCGGATATCCGTTGTTCGCTGGACCGGGAGGTGGAGGTGGTTGATAGATTGGCATGTTCGAGTATCCGTCTCGACCCTGAGGAGGATAAGTGCCGCCGCCGCCTGGTCGCTTTTCCACGTAGTTCGACGGGAACAACCCTTGTCTGCCATTGTGACGGCCAGTCCACCTGTTCAGTCAGTGAAGTCAATTGCTGGGCCCCGTAAAAGCAGCGAACCAGTCTGGATTATTCTCCGACAGGATTTCAATCTCATCTCCGGCACGAAACGCTAGGTCATTCGGATTCTAGAGTGTGAGTAGGTGCCCACGTCCAATTGTGGCGAAGACAGCAGCAGCAGACCTGCGAGTTCTCATTGTATCCCCAGAGTGCTCTGCCTCGGACCAGCTGTCCTCCTGGAGGAGGTGAAGTAATGAAGGTTCTGTTCGCATTCTGTGTGTTGGGAAGTCTGGCAAGTATTTCTCGGCCTTCAGAAGGACTGATATGATTCTGCGACATAAGAAATTCGACATTTTGGCGCGTCTGAGTGATGATATGAGAGACGAGCGCAGAAACATCCATGTGCGAGGAAGCGGAAGTCGAGTTATGTGTGCTAATGGTACATCATCTCGCTTATGTCACTATCGATTCAATCTCGAGGTCGTTCTAGAGCCATTTGAACAACCAACGCTTGCTCTTGGCCGCGGAAGTGGCAGGTGTTTCAGAGGGGCCCGAATCAGTCTTGACAGTCTCGCGATCTTTTGCTGCAAAGCGTCGCTTGTACTCCGCAGGGCTTTCAGCGGGGATGCCGTTTACCCACATTCCACGACGAGCCGCTCTGCATATTCCATTTTTTTGAGGATATGGAGTACTCGTGAGGAAGATGATGCACCTCGCTTCAGCTTCCACTCGTAAGAACTCTTCCTTTCCCCATTTGCCGTATTCAGCGCCAGCCTGCAGCATTGAGCTCATGTGCACTTTCCGTCACGGGCACACCGACCTGTTCGTATGTCGTTACCCAGCCTGCCTTGAGCATCTCTAAGGAGAGACTTTTCCCGAGGAGCCTACTCCCGGCCAAAAATCGCGGCGGAAGCACAACAAGAGCCACCTGATCTCTATTGCCATTCAGTGACTAGGATATGGCAGTGTGCACGCACGACACGAGAATACTGATCTCTCCGTAGCAGTTGGCAATACACGGTCCTTCCCAGCACAGCATGTCGCAACCAAGCAAGGCTTTCTTCAAAGAACGGTTGAGATGGTCGACCGAAATGAGCCCCCTTCAGGTAGTGAGTGGGGGTGGTCAAATAGGCGATGGAGGTAGACCTCTGGAGCGTCCACTCCAGCAATACGGATGTGCAGCGTCTTGTCCTTCAAGCCTAAATGGCATTGAAATTCATGCGACATATGTGGGCGACGGGAGCTAACCTTTCGCCGTTGATGGAACGGTCCTAAACTTAAATGGCCAACTCCATCCAAATGCGGGTGTGTGATACAAACGGAAGTTATCTGAGTCCCCGACGCTGGTGACGGTACCTCGTACCCATCTCTTCTTAGCGAAGATGTCTGGTGTGATCCAGTCACTGTTGGGAATGCGGCGAAGGTAGCGATTATACGCAAAAGCACCGCAGATTGTAGTGAGAGAGCCGACAGAGAAAGCGCACAACAATAATACAGGTCGCGAGATGCAATCGAGCTGCGCCCTGGTTTGAGAGCGGATAGTATCTAGCTCTTTCGATATTTCCTTGTCCCAAGGGAGTGCAGGCATGGTGGGAGACTTGATAGAGATCGAAGAGTAATGTCTGGATTCGATGTAAACCTGGAGAACGCAGGGAGAGGCAGGACGCGTCCGTCTCCTTGTCACGTGAGACGAGCATGTGATTGATTGACCGAGCTCGTCACGATCCCATAGTCTAGCGCTGCAAGGCGCTGCATGCCAACTCAGACGGCGAGACGGAAGATTGCGCAATTAGTCATGGGCAGTACGGTATACAAGTTCTGCTACAATACAAGTTTCAGCAAGAATATCATTCAAGAAAGTATGCGATCCGCTACGAGACAACATCGTAGCTCCCTAGAAGAATTTTAGGCACGGATGTGTCAAAAGGGGTTACTTACAGATGCGAGCATGCCAGTCGCCGCTGCCCGTGGCAAGAACGTTGCCCGCCGGACTCAAATCAATCGAAATGACTAGCAAAAGTCAGTATTTGACGGCACGTTGCAGAGCGGCCGCACCCGAGTTCTTGTGACCCTAGCACAAACTGTCAACACTTGATTGATATCTGCACATGGACACACACCTGCAGCATACACTGAACCACACCGGTTTTGGCATCCCAAAATTGAACACCTCGGTCCTTGGATCCCGAGACAATCCATTCCCCATCATGAGAGACGGCGACGGAGAGGACATAGTCCTGCAAGCTCAGCGATCGCGCTTTTTCCGGTCCTAGACCCAAAAATACAAACACTACACACCTTGTGCCCGATGAATGTTGTGGTGCACCGTCCCTCGCTTACTTCTCCCGTCCCTTCTTTCCATCCTTTGAGCACAGAACTCGACCTCGATGATGGACGTCCATCTTCCTTCCAGCCTTGAGGACTGGGCCCCAGACCAAGGTCCCATCCTTTGACTGTTCGGTCCAACCCGCCGCTGATCAGTCCAATCCCCTTGGCAGACGATACAGTTCCTTCTGGAACGAAAGCGACACTGTAGACGCTATCGCCATGGCCTCGAAGCCGACGCACGAGCGCACCCGACTTGACATCCCAAACTCTCACTAATGCATCCAAAGATCCCGCAGCAACACGGGATCCATTGGCTGAGATCGCTACACTTGTCACTCCGCCATCGGGAGTCGGACCGGGTGAAGAACGAGCTGTCGACGGCGGTGGGGCCGAGTCCGTAATGTTGAGCACTGTGCAAGAAACAGTCTGCTGCGGATTCGCCGGGAGTACAGTGCGCATATCCCAAATTCGCACGGTCTTGTCGCCAGAACCAGAGACAACGAATCGCCCGTCTGTCGAAAAATCAAGTGCGTATATCTCCTGCTGGTGTCCAGAAAGAACTGCGATAATGCGCTTTTTCACAATATCCCATATCTTGATCGAATGAGCACACCACACATATGCCTGTGAGCGTGCTTACTCGGATCTGAGCATCCTCTGCGCCGGTAGCCAGCAGTGCTCCATCGGGCGAGAAACAGACGCTGCGAATGTATAAATCGCCTCCTTTGGGCACAGACGGGTCCATTAGCGAGCTTAAATGAACCTCACTCTCAACACTTTCCATCCGAACCGGACCAGACGCACCAAACTTTCGTCCCTGTTCGAGCATCGAACACTTGTGCCGTACGATTGCACCCCGTTGCTAGAAATCGCCCGTCCTTGGAGAAGCGAACGCAGCAAACCACGCTATCGATAATGAGAGGATTCAAAATCAAACATAAGCACACGGGACACGTACGATTCGTGTAGCAATGTGTGAAGCAGCGACACGTCACCTATCTTCTTCTGCTTCACCGCCGGATTCCATATTGCAAACCACTCTGGCCGTCCGGGTGATGATGCGGTCGCCGCCGACTCCTTCTTCAGATGAGACGGAAAGGAGGCGAGGTCTGCGTCAAGAAATGAAAGCGTGGATGAGGGGTGAGGGGACAGTCGATGTACTTCGATGGGCGTCACCGGCGCTGGACCGGGACGACCCACTCGTTCTGTTGTCTTTGTTCGCTTGACGTTCGGTTCTCGAGCGTCGCGATCGCTGCGCTCTGAGACAATGACGTTTGTGCTCGTCCCACGCTCTCGGTCCCGTTCTCGTTCCGGGTGCCGGTCCGTTATCGACTGTGTAGAAGAGGAAGGGTGCAGCGGAGGCCGATGAGAGTGGTGATGATAGGCGAGCGATGATTGAGGTGGAGGTTGATGGCCATGCCTCAGCATGTGCAATTCCTCTCGAAGACGAGCCAACTCCTGTTCATATTTCGCTCGCACTTTGCTGTGTTGCGTTTCCAGCTCGTACAAGGATTGTCGGATGATATTGAGCTCGTTGACTTGGGCAGTCACTGCAGGCACGATTCAGGAACCGAAAATGAGACCATTCCGCCGATGCGGGCGTGAAAACGCGCATATAGGCACAGAAAGTTGTGGACGGACGCACGCGTGGCTTCGCAGTCCTCTCTTTCCCTGCGTACAAGCGCGACTTCGCTCGTGAGATGGTCGAATTCCGCTTTGACCACGTCCAATGCCTCTGTTATCAAGGCTGCTCCCGTGGCCCCAGAAACCAGATTGGGGACCCCGGCACGCAGTGCAGCCATTTCGAGGACCAGAAGAACAGACGCGGAAAGAAAGGAGCGAAGGGCACGGTGGAGAAAAGAAGGATATATGGTTTCGACAGTGACCGCGGGACAGGCCGCCTGCACTTAGTCAAGGTTTGCGTAAGGCGCTGAAAGCCAGGATGTCAGTCGAATCACAAGGCACGGACAACCGAGTAGAGGTGGCAAGGAGTAGAAGACACCGGTGAACCAAGCTGCAGACGGTCAATCCAAGCGCGGATATCGATGCGGGTAAAATGGAAATGGTGTAGGACCTGTCGATTCGGGACGCCGCGCCGCGGAGGGTCGGCGATTCAGCTAGCTGCCTTTCGGGCACGTAGAGCTTAACCATAACACACGCGAGTCAAGTTGAATGCCGGATTCTAGAGGCCGGGCACGACAGCACAGCTGCTTGCAAGACTGGAAATTCTCTCGGAAAGCTATCCGGCACATCGGCCCGGAAATTGATTCGGCAATTTGTTCGTCTCATACTCATGTCCGAACCACTACCTAGAGACATCTTGATCCTATACGCAACTGAAACCGGAACAGCACAAGATGCAGCTGAGAAAGTGGCTCGCCATTGTCGTCGAATCCACTTCACTTGCCGTGTTCTGAGCACAGATGAATATTCTCTGGTATACTGCCATCTCGATCGTGATTTCAAATCTGAATTGCTGAACAGTCAGATCTTGTATCCGAACCTCTCGTGTTGTTCATTGTCGCCACAACTGGCTCGGGTGTGGAGCCACGGTCTATGGCCACGATGTGGAGAACTCTCCTTCGCTCTGACCTGCCGTCCGATCTCTTCGACGAGCTTGCATTCGCTGTCTTTGGTCTTGGTGACTCTTCTTACGAAAAGTTCTGCTGGGCAGCGAAGAAGCTATCAAGGCGAATGGCGAGTCTAGGGGCTCTGGAGATCTGTGAACGGGGAGAGGGCGACGATCAAGATTCTCGCGGGTAGATATGCAGTGCGAACTTCAATATGCGCCCGGCTAAGACCAGAAAGGATTGATGGAAGCCTCGACCTCTGGATTAAAAAAGTGTTGGAGGTGTTGCTGGAGCGGTTCCCATTGCCAGACCATTTGACGATTGTCCCAGCTGACCGGGTTCCACCTCCCAGAGCCAAAGTGGACCGAGGCGCACACTGGTCCCTGCAGAAATCCGATTCACTTGATAATATGACAGGATACCACACTGCTACACTGAAATCCAATACTCGAATAACTGCTCCGGATTGGAATCAAGATGTTCGTCATTTCGAATTTTTATTTCAAGATCAGATACAGTGAGTGACCTGCTCATCTCGACTCCTATATTCAACTGTATCTTCACCAGATACTCTCCGGGAGATGTTGCAGTGATCCGTCCAGCTGCGTTTCCGGATGAGGTTGAAGCATTCTTGGAATGCCTTGGCTGGCTAGATATTGCAGATGCTCCCTTCCATGTCGAATCAAATCTGTCAGTTTCCTATTTCTTCTTGTTGGTTGCATGCTGAGGTAGACCGAAAGGATGGACCAGAAGCTACCTGAGCATTTACCCGACGTTGTCACTCCCCGAATGCTTTTCACGGATTACCTCGACTTCAATGCAGTTCCGCGACGGACCTTTTTTGAGTATCTCTCATTCTTCACCAAGAATGAATTGGAGCTGGAACGACTCCAAGAGCTTTTATCTTACGAAAACGCGGTATCGCTGTTTCCATCTCGAGTCTTTCTTGTCTCACTGGTGCGCTAGGATGAGCTCTATGACTACTGTTTCCGAGTTCGAAGAACGATTTTCGAGGTACTCTCAGAATTCCGCAACGTCGAAATACCACTGCAATATGTTTTCGATGTATTTCCCACCATGCGGCCGCGCCATTTTTCGATCGCAAGCTCGGCCAAAGTACGAACATCAAGCTCTTCGTCCGCTGACAGTTTTTCACCATTTGCACAGAAGTTTCCCCAGGAAGTGCAGCTCTGCGTCGCTATTGTGAAATATAGGACCAAGTTGAAGGTCCCGCGGCGAGGAGTCTGCACGAGCTACCTGGCATCCTTGAAGCCTGGACAAAATGTTCAAGTTCGTCTGCAACGGGGTTTTATCGACATGCCGAAGGATCCCCGTACGCCAATTATCTGCATCGGGCCGGGAACGGGTATTGCCCCGATGCGCGCAATCATTCAAGAGCGCAATGAAATCCATGCCTTTGGTGCGTATGTCAGGCCGCATCTCTTCTCGCCACTGATCGCCGCAGCAAACACTCTTTACTTCGGGTGTCGGTCCTCTGACAAGGACGAACATTACGGAGGCGAATGGCGCCAACTTTGCCAAGATTCCCAAATGGCTTATCGCGTAGCGTTTTCACGAGACGGTGCCCCAGGGCAACCTCGAGTCTACGTGCAAGATCTCATGCGACAGGACGCCAGGCGCATTTGGTCGCTGCTCGAGGCGGGTGCGATCGTCTTCATTTCAGGGTGAGTCGACTACAACTACCGCTCGAGTCTCACTTGCAGAGCCACGCAGATCTTCCAATAAAATGCCTGCCGCAGTGAAAAGTGCACTGGCTTACGCTGCCGAGACGCACGGCGGACTCGAATTGAAGCAAACGGCCGACTGGATTACATCACTGGAGAATGCAGGCCGACTGTTTGAAGAATGCTGGAGTTGAAACTGGATATACGAGATACAAATCCGACGGCCATGCACGCAACGTGCTTTTGTAAATTCTGACTACGATGCAAATTGATTTATTCGGGCTTGTGGTCCGGACGCAGGGAGCGGACCACTTTTCCAGCACGCCATATCTCTTGGTTGTCAATCTCAGCAAGTTCCCGAGCGAGATCTTCACGGTAAGTGGACCGGCCGTTGTACTCGAGCGACTTGCGGGTCTCAGTGCCGTTGCGAACACTCTCGTACAGCTGCTCGAAAATCGGAACGTTGGCCTTCTCGAAGATTGGTGCCCAATCCAAAGCACCGCGACGAGCCGTTGTCGAGCAAGCGTTGTACATATAGTCCATGCTACAAGTGAAATCAGGCTATGCTCGCAGCTCAGTTCGCGATTACTTACCCGTACTGTCCAATCAAGGGGTAGAGCGATTGGGTTGCCTCCTCGACAGTCTCGTTGAAGGCTTCGGACGGGGTGTGTCCGTTTTTACGCAGGACCTGGTACTGAGCAAGGAAGAGTCCCTCTGATGATAGACGTCAGTCACCAATTTAAAAGCAATAAATATACGCACGGATTGCTCCCATGAGCTAGCAACGAGACGCGTCAGCAATAGGATCGAGACCGCGTCGAAAAAAAACCCACCACACCACGCTCACCATACAGGTCTGAGTACACTTCCTTTTCGAAAGTGGTATCATACATGTAGCCAGAACCAATACCAACGCCAAGAGCAATGGCCTTCTCCTTCGCCGTGCCAGTCACGTCCTGGAAGACTGCCACGCTGGAGTTGATGCCGCGTCCCTCCTTGAAAAGAGTGCGGACAGTGCGGCCCGAACCCTTGGGGGCAACAAGAATGACGTCCACATCAGCGGGAGGAATGACACCGGTGTCCTGCTTGTAGACGACGGAGAATCCGTGAGAGAAATAGAGGGTCTTGCCCTTGGTGATCAACGGGGCAATGGTGGGCCATGTCTGAGACTGAGCAGCGTCTGAGAGCAGGTTCATGATGATCGTTCCACGGTCAATGGCCTCCTCGATGGGAAACAGAGTCTCCCCAGGAACCTATTGCAAAATTCATGGATTGAATCAAGGGACAGCGTCAGCAACTCACCCAGCCATCTTCCATAGCTTGCTTCCAGCTCTCCCCGTCCTTGCGCACACCAACGATGACGTTCAAGCCATTGTCGCGGGCGTTCAAACCCTGGCCATGGCCTTGCGACCCATACCCAATCAAGGCAAGAGTGTCATTCTTGAAGTAGTCTTGCAGTTTGGCGAGGGGCCAGTCCGCGCGCTCGTAGACAGTCTCCTCAGTGCCAGCAAAGTTCAGAGTTTTGATACCCCGAGCAGCCTAGTATACGTTAGTAAGTGAATGAAGTCTAAGGGAAGCAGACTTACGACAGGAGTACTGCCTGCGACCTTAGCAGCAACGGCGCGAGCCAACAGCGAGTAAGAGGCCGTTTGCGCAGGTTTCAGAGCAGCGCCGGAGAGGCCACGCGGTGCGCGACGAGAAGCTGCACGGATAGCGTTTGAAGTGGCACGAGCGAGAGTGGACATGGAAGAAGGAAAGAAAGAGTTGACTTTTTTCTAGCCTGCACTGTCAGAGTCATACTACCCCATGTGTCCGATGCGGCCGATCGGCCGAAGCATGAATTTTCTGATTCTTTACATAAAAAATGGCAGTCAAGAAGCTGGTCGCTCGAGCCTGGAGCCGTTCGACCCCGTCGGCTGTAACGCAATGGTGCTACGACGCAGTAGTCTACACGCGAGGACGACTGTAATCCACAGAAGCCCCAAGTCACAGTGCTTGCGCTCTGCTGCCTGCGCGACGTTTGGTGTCTCTTCTCCCTAGAGACTATGCTAAGACCTGACGCAAGTCTTGAGGCTTCATTCCGGAAGCTGCATGCCTGAAAGAGGGCAAAGCGTAGTACATACTACAAGTGGTTTCAACTTGCGAATGAGATCGAGACAGAGGGCTCTCATTGGCGCAAAAGCTCCTTAGCGTGCGTGATTCAGCAACTTATGAGTATCGTGTTACTTGGACCCATCTCCGGAGCTTGGGCGCATGGTATTTCCGCTATGGGATAGCGGATAGAAATCTAATAGTAACACGGAGAAGAGAATGCATGTTCTTGAAATAACACACAAACCACCTTCGCCCTCGTTCCTTCTCCTCGCGGCGCCGTTCATTGGAGTCATGTGAAAGAGCGGCCGGATAAAGAGTAAAAATACCCCCCAGCTCAGAAATTCGATGACCACAGACCATGCACAGATCGCAGGAATAGATAGGCTGTATTACATGGACAGATTCAAGCACGCAGTTGGTTTCGAAGGTTAGTCTCCAGGTTGCCCTTCGGTCTGATAAACTGCACATATGCACCGTCCCTGGAACCCATCAGCAAAAGGTACAACGACAGAGTGCATGCAACACTTACTGCAACACCTTCTTTTCCTCCTTCAATTTGATGTAGTCGGCCTTGTTCACGTTGGTGAAACCCCACTTCTTCGACACGATGATCTTTTGGCGCCCGGGGAACTTGTAACGAGCACGGCGAAGAGCTTCCATGACGATCGGTGCATTCGCTTCTTTGCATCGGATAGAAAGCAGGACTTGTCCAATGTTGACACGGGCGACACTACCGTAGGGCTTGCCCCAAGCACCACGCATCCCTTGTTGCAGACGATCGGCACCAGCACAGGACAACATTTTATTGATCCGGATAACGTGGAAAGGGTGGACGCGGACGCGAAGATGGAAGGAATCCTTGCCGGAAGTCTTCGTCACGTACTGGGAGCAGGTACATTGACCGCCACGATCACGGACAACGAAAGCGCACCTTGTTGGCGCAGATGCGAGCAGCTTCAAGAGCCTCGGAGCTGAGCTGCTCATACTCGTCGGACACAAGATGGCAGCAGAAGGGAAATTCGTCAACGGAGGCCCGCTTGCGGCCAAGATCGAAGATTCGAATCTAAGAGATATTAAGCGAAGAAAAGCGTTGATGCCTTCCGGCAGACCTTGGGGTCGGGAACACCGCGATTGTACCTGCTCTTTGGGTAGGGTTTGTTCTTGCAGTAACGGTAACAGCGAGCTGGACGGCGACCCATGGTTGTGAAGGTGAGTGTTATGCAAGACTGGTGTTGATAAGCTTGATCTACGTATGTCCCAGACGAGCCTAGCGACACCGCCTGCTTTGATTTGTCATCACTGGGTCATGGCGCTGGTGGGAGTCTACGTTTCACCATGAGGATGAGTCAGCCGGCTATTACATGACCGCTCACGAAGAAGTTTGTAGAGAGCCAATGAACAATCTTATGTGTAATGGATATGCGTTGGAACGTCTAAAATCCAATCAAAGCTGTTTAGAGCGTGGCGTTATGCTGTTCTATTTAGTGTACATTCAGCTAGGTGTTGATTTCTGCGACCCTTATGCGGACAGCTTCTTGCGCAGCAACGTCTTCAGAGTCTCACCATCCTCGGCGAACTTCTTGATGCCTTCGTGCAATTTGTCGAAGGCCATCTGGTCCTGGAGCAAGGACCAGCGGAACTCAGGCTCATTGTCGATGAACGAGACCTTGGCAATAGGGTCGGCTTGGGCAGCTGGGTACATCATTAGCGCGACTGCATGGTCGGATCGGTCTCAACGTACCAGCGACAGAGTCGAGCTTCTTTGGGACGGGATCGGTGGATGACTTGAGCTCCTCGAGCAGAGTAGGAGCAATAGTCAGGAAATCAACACCGGCGAGCGATTTGATTTCGCCGATCTGACTGTTGTCAATAGCTTGCATATACGCAGTGATTGCGACGCACATTGCGGAACGAAGCACCCATCACGATGGTCTTGTAGCCGTGCTGCTTGTAGTAGTTGAAGATACGTTTGACAGACACAACACCAGGATCCTCGTCACCCTCGTACGTCTTGCCGGTCGATTTCTTGTACCAGTCCAGGATACGGCCGACAAAGGGGGAAATCAGAGTGACACCGGCCTCCGCACAAGCTACAGCCTGGCCGAAACCGAACAGGAGGGTCAAGTTGCAGTGAATGTTGTCATCGCGCTCCAGCTCGCGAGCAGCTTGAATTCCTTCCCACGTTGATGCGATCTTGATCAAGATGCGATCCTTCTCGACACCGACAGATTTGTACAGTGCAATGAGCTCCTTGGCCTGGACATCGGGCGTCACAAACAGCGGTGTTTCCTGTAATGGACGAACATGCCTTGGCTTTGGTTGCCTCCTTGTCGAAGGACAAACGCGCGTCGACTTCAGTGGAAACACGACCCGGAATGATTTTGAGAATCGCCGAACCGAACTCGACGAGCTACATACAGGGAATGAGTCAAAAATTCAAGGGGCGTGTAAAAAAACAAACCAGACGGTCAGTGGCCACGCCGACTTGCTCGTCAAGGCTGCCGCCCTTAGATTTCGCGTACGCCACGGCGTTATCGATGAGCTTGGCATATGCAGGCTTGCCAGCAGCAGCCAAGATCAGAGAGGGGTTCGTCGTAGCATCCTGTGATTCATATGAGCTAGGTTCCAATATACATGTAGCGTCACAGACCTGGGGCTTGTAAACATCGATAGCTTGAGAGCGATTAATCTCGGGTAGATAGGGTTGCACAGAGTTGACGGAGGCGTACTTTCAAAATCCCCGGAGTCGGAGACGACAACGGTGCCGCTTTGTTTCAGTAGATCAAGAGAGGTGGTCATGGTAGTGCGCAAGAAAGAGTGGAATAGTCGTGACAAAAGAGTGACGACGATATAAGTGCAATCATTAATGACCGAGATTCACCGGACGGACCGGACCGGTGCTCACTGCAACTCCGACCGTGTCCGACAACCCGACGCCTTGCTAATGGATGGCTGTACTGACTAAATCTGCACAGTAATATCAGATATCAGCCCCAGACCCACTCGCTCGATTTCCTTGAGCACACCGCTCTCATTCAGCACGACTGAGCTCTTGTTCTTGGGCTCGTCCTGTGGGAACGTTACCATCGTGTCGTTCTCTGGATTGCACCGGAACATACGGTCTGTATCACCGGCATGGCTGAGAAGCCTGCCAGTACCCGGAATGGCCGGGGTTGTCTGAGAGTCGGTACCCAGACAATGCCAAACCGGTCGCCCCCCAATGGATCGTAGAAAAGCTTGAGAGTGTCAGCGTAGACACGCTGGAAGACATTGAGTACGAGAGAAAGCGCCAGCTGGGCACCGACCTGTATGTCATTGAAAAGGTCGCGGATCGGGTCAAACCCAGGGCGCAGAGAGCCGACCTCGTCCGCTCGTGGGGGATTGGTGTACTGGGCAGCCAAAGCGGCCTCGATGTTTTGCGCATGCCGAGGGATGCGTGATGGGTTCAGGCGCACAATGACGTCATAGTCATTTGTCGGATGGACGAAGAGAGACTAAGGAGGATTAGTTAGCAGCCTTCTGGAAAAACAGACACAGACTTTGACATCGAGATGACCATTTTCCATTTGAAGCAGACAGTCCCAAGTGGCCTTGGCCAACGCGCGGATACGTTGTGCGACAATCACATCTGGACCCTGTCGTGTCCAAACAGAACCGACAGGATCCAACTCGGTCATCAATCTCCAAACGCTTTGCACTGCTACAGGAGACACAGACGGGGCCGTGACGTCGCCATACAATGGCACATGCAGCCCGTCTTCCCATTGCCAGTCTTTGAGAAACCGGACGACACAAGCGAACCCGCGCTCCTTGCTGCCAGGAACGCTGGCGCGCTCGGCGTTTCTCGTCTCGGAGTCGAGAGCCAGTTCTCTGCCGTCCCCAACAAAGAAAGCAGCGCACAGCAGCTCGACCGCCTCCTCGGATAGATGAGCCTGTAAGACCCAATGACTGGCAAGCCAGCGCTTGACGAGGCGAACAGTAGGTGCATACGCGGGGAACACGTGATTAAGGCCTGCAATGGCTCGATGGTGGCGGGGTGCATGTATAAATCGTCGAAGATAGATGTCTTTGGCCTCAGAGGCTGCTTGGCGGCCGGGGTCTTTCTTGGCTTCGCTCTTGATATGTGAGAGCAGTCCCTTCCCAGAGATGATTCTGTCGAGCAGAGTGGCCTCGCGATCGTGCCAAATGCGGGCGACGAACGCCCAGCCGTCTGCAGTGACGATCTGCAGACAGGCCGTGTCTTCGATTGACGTGTTATCTGATGCAACGACGGCTGCAGTGAGACCGGGGACTGCTGAAACTAGACCGCGGGCGATACGCTCGAAGAAAGCAAGCTTGATCTTCTGGATGGCACGCAACTCGTCTGGCCATTGGGCCGACTTTTCGAATTGGATGACCATCTCGATCGCCGGCTGAAACCGGGCGTTTTCGGGCAAAGCACCGGCCGTTGCGGCCGATAGCGGGACTGGCGCAAATACACTCGTGTAGCGCAAATATTCGGATGCGGCACTCACCAATGCCACACTGAGCGGCAGCTGGTCGTTCAGCGCCTTGATCTGCTTGACCACTCCGTCAAATGCATCCATAGCGCCTTTGGAGCCCAAGACAGCCCCTGAACTGGTATGGACCCTGGAGATATTCTCGGGCAGCTTGAGCACCGGGTCGAAACCCTGCTGCGAGGCTTGGACAACATCATCGCCGAGCCCAAAATGGCGCTGGAGGATGTGGCTAGCGACCATGATGGGCACCCGAGACCGTTGATCCGCCGATTGGACATCCCACACCACGCTCTCAACGATTCGGCCATCTTTGAACCGCCGCAGTTCGGCCTTGTCCCCCCAAAACTCGCGGAACCGTTCGGCAACGGCAGGATCTGGCTCATCCGCAGAGGGCCCGTGATCGACCAGTCTGAAAGCGTGGCGGGGATCAAAAATGAGCCCGATGAACAGCACATTGGGATCAGTGGGGAGTGCCTGGGAAAGCGGTCGGGTGCAGGTAGTTGTGTGGAGAATGGCCACTGCTTTTGTTCGATCCCCGAGCCCATGACGGAGAGCTTGAGAAATGGCGTCGATCAATCCATCGACAGCGGACGCTCTGTCAAGTATAACGTGGCGCGACTCCGTTCTAGGCTTGGCGGACGAGATGTCGACTCTGTCCGAACATGAATAAGGGATAAAGGGGTCGAAAAGCTAGATACCGGAGCAGCGCATCGAAACGAGAGGGTAGATCGCGGTGATCTTTGAGGAAAATCTCCGGGAAAGGATCGCCGGCCGTAGAAGTCATGTTGAGCCTTTCCAATGTACTTTGCGCATCAATTTGGAGCTGGGAACGAGCTCAGATCGAGTCCCACAAAAAATGTAAAGAGCAACGCACCAACTGCAATGAGCCGAGAGGAACACCTGCAAGCATATTGACGAGGGAAGTCGATTCGACAAACACAGTCTCGTGATGAGCCTCGTATTCATCGGAAGGATACTGTGAGATGAGTACAGGACTGCCACACGATGGATGCAGTCACTTACTCTGTCCCCTTCACTGGTCTTGAGATAGACGGGATCCTGCGAAAAATCGTGTTTGGCTGCTGGGTGTGAATATTCCGATAAGTACAGGTGGAGAGATGAGGTGACCCACCAAGAAAGTCTAGGGCTGCTTTGAACAATTGATATGAACTCAAGCCCTTCCCTAACGGCTTTCTCCTTCCTTTTCTTTGCGGACTCTCCCCAGATACAAGCAAGGTCAACAACGCAGCCCACCAAGACCCAAGCGAGTCGAAACCTCGAACGCCGAGGCGGGTACCCTGTCCGTAACCTCGTTGATTCGCCCACACACGCAGCAGCGCAAGGGCTTGCGGAAAGCAAGGCGTGTGCTCTTTCACGGCATATGCTGCCAAGAGCTGTGGCTTTGGCAGCAGCGATGTCAAAAGCCGTGCGTTGTATATCGGACTTGGCAAGGGAGCTTGGGTCTCACTATCACTCGCGACTCGCAGATTTGAATGAGCCGGCGATAGTCGATGCAACGGGATGGGACATTCCGCGAGCGACAACACAGGGATAATGCAGACTCGAGCGTTTAGTTTTGAAAAGTCGTAGGGCGAGGTATCTGCAGGCAAGAATCAACGGGGTATATCGCTTCGGTACGTAAATCTACCTTTTCGAGGCTCCAACACGAGTTTGGTCAATCGAGGATCGTTGAATGCTGATTCATACGACACGTCGATATTGAGATCCTTCGAGTGTTTTAGGTGCGCGGCCACAGTTGCAAGATAAAAGGCCCGCTTATGGAAGAATCGACCGTTCAGGTAATCCTTCTCTTGAAAGAGGTGCTACCCCATGGATTGAAGGAGACCGCTTGACACAAATCCCGACAGACGTACCGAGGGCATTTCCACAGCTACGTCTACCCCAAATTTGGATCCGTCCTTCCCCTTCACGCTGATTTTGTTCGCCCAGCTCCCGACCACAGTGATATCGCTCGGCGGCTGGAATGCGACTTTCCAGTTGGTGTCTTCGGTAGGACGCGGGATAGCGTAAGATACAGCGACTCCTTTTTTGAGCAGTTTCCTTGCGGCTTCGAGCGGATGTTGCGGGGAGACGGCAGGGATGCCAGAGATAGTTCCATGTAGAGAGACGAGAAACCGATCCAAAGGCGAAATGTGAGATTCTTTCGGTTGGACATTGGGAAGAAGAGCGTCGATCTATTGTTGTTAGAGGCTTGGTCTCCAGCCGAACAGATTCGAGTACCTGCAACTTGAAAGTATTGGACTTGTACAAGTCTTTTGCGTCACTGATAGCCCGGAGCTCCTCTCCAGTGGGAGGAAGGTTCAATTTCTTGGACGGGTTCTTGACATGGATGTCCACTGCTGGCGGCGGCTGTTCCATCTGAATCCCGCCCCACTCCTCGCTACTCTCCTCAGAATATTCATCAGATCCTGACTGCGGGCCTTCTTCGCCGCGAAGTTTCGAGCCCTATCTGAGTTCATTCATGGAAGGTTAGTGAGTCGTGTGAGGCCGACCTTGCGAGGAACATCGTTCTCGACGCGTTTACGCTTCAAGTTCAAAGCCATCCCGAAAATTATACACAGCCACATCACAATCCTCGATTGATCTCCGGTTGATTGCCGAATGCCGATCTAATGATCATGATACATAGCATCCAGCGAGAGAGGTCGGCTCGGCGGACTTTGGTAGTATTGCTTCATGCGCTAGGTTGCGGGCCCGTCAACTATGCAGTGCTACAACTGAGCTCCGTATACACCTTCTACCGTACTTCATGCAAAGACAGACTTTCTGTGGGAGATTTAGGATTTATATTACTTTCATGCTTATGTATGCCTGTGCAATGTGCAGTATGTCCACGATTCAAAACACAAGACTCTCTGGATTCTCTTGACCGCAGATGAAAGTCCACGAATGGGGATTTTAGGCACTGCTTGCTCACAAGAAGATGGGTGAAGAACTGAGTGCGTGCTGTGATTTACATCATGTTCGAGCTTCAATGTGCAATAACCGATGCGATCACAGACTCAACTGTGTCGACCTGTTATGATATAATATGCAAGCTACAATTAGCAAAAACTGTTTGCGCTGCGGTTTGTACAGCTATGCCCACAAGGATATATTCAGATACAACAACTCAGCACTGATGACAGCCTTTGAAATGGGTAAGAATGGTTCCGAGGGAGCCAAATCTTGGGCAGAGGAGTTGCACAGTAGTACTAGCAAGAGGCAGTCAAGTTAGGAGGATCAATCTGTTGTGACGTGGGCAGTATGAGGTAAGAACGCATTGCGTGAGCGTGAGAAAGATCAACGTCCTCCCAATCTACATTGCAGTCCATGAAATAATGGCCATCTCTCCTGCCCAGAAAGCAGCAGTCGAAGAAGTGCTCAATGCAATAACTTCAGCGACAGGTCCTCCTCGCAAGCGCCAGCTCGCCTCTATGTTCATGGATTTGGTGGACAGGGAAGACTGGGCAGAGTACTACGAGGTCATACCCGAACCGCGCTGCCTCAGAGACATTGCCGCGTCTCTGGAGAAGAACCGCTATAAGGACGCGTTGACTGTTTACACAGATCTCTCCCTTGTCTTTCTAAACGCGTTGTTCTATAATGAACCCGATAGCCAGATCGCCGCAGACGCACAAAAGCTTAAGGTACGCCAGTTGTGAGTGATTCGGTTTTTCCCACCAGACGTAAATATTCTAGGCACTACTGGAATCCGAGTGGAAAGCAAAATCTCCTCTCTTGCCTCAACCGTCTACGCCAGTCGCGCCGCAAACAAGAGCAGCGCCGCCTGTGTCGCACGTACTATCCGGATTGAAACCTTCACCTGGCGCACCTGCACCGACGGCTGCTACTTTGAGCCACACGACCGACATAGAAATGTCAGCAGCAATCAGCGCGGCTCCCGCATCCTCAGCTCCGGTCTCTCAGGACCCTGAATCTGAGTCCGAGTCCGAAGAAGATGAAATCCATGAACTGTGGACTGTTCCTCCTGACATTGAAATCGTTCACCAGCTCGAACTGGGAATCCCCCAGTACGAGCTCTTGGTCGGTGAAGATGGCGGTTGGATGGCGGACGTCAAGCATGAAAGACATCTAGAGATTGTGCAGGCAGTGAAAGCGTACCGAGACGCTGCGTGAGTGTCAACCTACTTCCACACGTGCGTTCTCCGCTCATCGTTTTCTTTCTAGCGGGGTCAAGCTCTCCACCGCGTTGGATGGTGTACCGGACGACAAGGTAGGCAATCTATCTATCTGGACGACCCCTCTCAATGTTGACCAGAACCCCATCACGTTTCGCCTCCTGGATGTGCGTTTAGCGACTGACTCCAGCGTGACTGTCCTGACATTTCAGTGCAGAGCCGTTCCCGTAGCAAAACGTTTTACACATCTTCGCACGCCTTCGATGCAGACCTTGCTCGGATGTTCGAGAGTGGCCGGCGCTATTACCTTGATCGAGCGGGAGTCATTACTGGCGCCAAGGGAGAGGAATGGGAGCGTGTTATAGCGCTTCAGGTATGGGATTTAGTTTCCTTTGTCAAATTGATGTGAATGGTTCTAGCGCGTGGCCAACGCTTTGACATCCAGCGAGCCTCCTCCTCTTCCCCCTGTCCAGCCTCTGTCCTGTCCGCCTGCCCACTACGGCCCGGATGCCGTGGAATGTGACACCGTCAACCATAAGGGATACGCCTTGCAAGCCGGTCAGTATGTGCATATTGTTGCAGGACAGGACCATCAGAACAATATGCAAATCGGGGTCCTCGGTCGCTCGGGCGGTCCGCTGGTCGGTCGAATCACAAAATGTTGGAGAAACAGCGTGGGCAATGAGGGAGTCAGTGTCCAATGGTATCTGCGAGCGGACCAGGAAAGTCGCCATTCAACGGTATAATTGTCTGATTGCTTGACCATGTGCAGATCTCCTCTGCACTCTTGCCAAACCGTCAACGAGGGGGCGCTGAAGGTGAAGTCGTTGAAACCGGTGCGCGAAGAGGAATCTGGGTTGGCTCTGATTCTGACTAGATCATCCATCCAGACCAAACAACCCATCATCTGCTTGCAGACGTGATAGAAAGAGTAACATGCCAGCACGTGTCTACCGCAGGCCGGGGACGATTGCGTGCTCCGTTCTGGTATCCGGGATGGCCGGTGTATGTCTGTGGATATCGATATGATGCCGTCCAGGGTCGGCTCCGTCATATTTCGCCGTCAACCTGGCGCGCACGGAACACCCCAGGAGGATTTATCGAGGACATGTATCTGTTCGAACGGCCACTGCGTCTAGGCAAGCGCGATGAAAAGCCTTCAGCCTCGACAAGCGATCGCTCTGTTGTCACAGCCGGAGGGGCAGCTGTCAGCACGGTTGAAAAGCTATCCACGGAAACAAGTATGTACCTCCCCTCCTAAATCTTTCTTGTTCTCATCTTGGGTCAGCGCGTCATTTTGAGCGGGATCCCTTGAGTGGAGAGATGTTCTGGTTCCCGGGACCTCCGCTGCCCATGACCAAGCCCCAGGCCCCACGGCACAGACTGGAATATCTGCATTTCTTGGCCAAGAAGTGCGACAGTGAGAAGGGTGCTCTGGAGAATGAGGACGGGCGAGCCGCGAAGAGAACGAGGTTGAGTGCATCAGAAAGGCTTGAAGAAGCATTACAGGTGATACAGGGCGAAGAGTAGCCTATGCATGTCACACAACTAATCTCGCTGCACCATAATCCATGAGATGATACAACAACACCTTTCCCCTTGTGTTGCCGATGACAAGATACTCGCTCTGCGCAGAAAAATCTACCGCAGTCACGTGTCCTAGTGGGGTGCTGGACGTAGGCCAGTTTGAAAACGCAGTCAAACTGGGCAGGTGGATCTACAGCACATCAGTGAAGCATTTCATATCAGACTGACGATCATACCACACGCAGAGCGTCTTTTTTGTCTCGACTGGCCAGAGCCATCAATTGAGAGTCGTGGTTGAATCGTAGGGTCGATATAGCAGTGGTCAGGTTCCCGATCGTTTTCACTGCCTTGGGCTGCGCTGAGAATGTGGTCCCTTCGCTGTGCCGGAACGAATCAGCTCCATATACGTTCACTAGCCCAGTGTTCGATCTAGCCATCGGTCAGCGAATAGTGCGCGATCTAAGAAGGGCCCACCAACCCAATTGCAAGCCAACCTTGGCGCGCTCCAGCCATAGCACGCCCAGCTCCTCGGAAACCGCCCTCGTCTTTCCAGCGTCTCACACAGCGTCTCTGGCCCACATCCCACAGGTAAACTTCAGAGTCGTTCGTGAGCGCAGCGAGTGTATCATCCTGGCCAGTCCACCAAAGAGACTTGATGCTTGCGCCGCACTTCAAGCTGCCCACGACTTGACCGGCCGCGCTTTTCCAATCGACTAGATGCACATTCCCTCCTTGACCGGCGACTGCTAGCATGCTGCCAGAGTCGTTGAAAGCCGTCACTTCCATTCCTGCCGCACCTCCACCAGATGTAGAGTCCCGCTCGGAGCCACCTCTGCGTGGTCGCTTTCGTCGTGGCTGTGCAAGCATCGTGGAGGAATCGAAAGAACCCCACAGGCCACGGCCAGTTTTGTGAATCATCTCGCCCCGGTGGAGGTCATACACAAAATAGAATGGGCGATTTCCAGTCAGTAGCAAGGAAGAGCCCGATGGGTGGAAATTGGCCGAGGATTGAGAGAGAGGAAGTGTCGGTATGTGCAATGTTTGCAGCAAGGGAGACGTATGGCCATCAATCTAATCTAGTCACAAATCCATGGAAAGGGCCTCAAAGAATAAACGCACATTGAAAAGCCTTATTCTCCGATCCGCACTTCCTACGCACAACAGTGGAATTTTTGCACTCGGGTGAAACGAAAGAGTTTTGATTTCTCCAGAGTCTGAACCAGCTTGATTGGCATCGCGCAACCGTTCAATAGACAGCATGCCTGTCGCCAGCGTTCCCTTTTTCGTTCGAGACGCGAGAATGCCGACAGTGGAAGAGAAAAGTTCATTGATCCCAGCTTCATCCATCTCCTGGAGCCGATCCTTAGCAGCTTTAGCCCATGCTGGCTGAGGGTTGATGGTTTCATATTGTCTGCGAAGACGAGACTCATATTGCCGTCCAGTCAGTGTGGTTTCCGATGCGTCGTTGCGAAGTTTACGAAGCTTCCCAGACTGTATTGACACGGACGGAGGGTCCGATGGGTCCTCCCAGGCAGGTTTACGGCTCGACTGAGTCCATGTCGGTGGATGCTCTGACTCAGGGTGAGAATCCGACGATCCGTCGTCGTCATCTTCGTCGGATCCTCCGCTGTCGCCCTCTTCCTCCTGATCACTGAATTCGACATCGTCAAGAACAGATGTAGGTTGAGCGTCGTCAACGTAGAAAAGCTATGATAAATCAGACCGAGCATTGAAAGTCAGACCACAACGAACATCCATGTCCGCCAGATTTTTCATTTCCCCGCTCTCCACAACAGAACCAGTGGTGGCCATTGCAGGCACATACTTAGTGCCGAAGAGGACGTTTTCCAGTCGGCGTTCTTCGTCATCTTTCTGAGAGTCATCGAGAAGCTCCAGCTCCAGAGACGCATCGACTGTCTTTTGGCGCTTGCGAGGGTGTTTGGGCATGGTGCTATGCGCTCGCTAAGGGAGGGAACAAAACTGTGTTTGGCGGACCGTCTTGCCGAGCAGTCACTTGATCACACATGACCATGAACTTTTTTCGGTGCCAACAGATCGCACCCAGATATCCCTTGTTTCCGTCCGATTTCGTTCGGTCTTTCTCCTCATCCTCTCCGCGACTTGTCAAGAAGAGAATGCCCCCCAAGAAAGCGGCCGTGCCTGAGAAGAAAACCCTTCTTGGGCGACCAGGGAACAATCTTAAAATCGGCATCGTAGGTACGCTCCACAGACATCGATATTCTCTAGACATTTATACCTTGCACAGGTGTTCCAAACGTCGGGAAGTCATCCTTTTTCAATGCGCTGTCCCAAACCGGTATGAAAGACTGGTCTACTTTGCTTGCACGCTGGCTGAACTATCGCAAGATCTGGGCAAGGCCGCAAACTTTCCTTACGCTACCATAAAGTGAGGCTCGTCGCGACATCTTACTTTGTCATTGCTCATTTATTCTCTAGTCCTGAGGTACATTACTGTGGCCACGTCACACCTGTTCATCTTTCCAATACTGTGTAGGAAGCTCGCATCCCCGTTCCCGACACACGGTTCGACTGGCTTTGTGATTTATACAAGCCCGCTTCTCGTGTCCCCGCTTTTTTAACTATCATCGACATTGCTGGACTCACCGCGGTACGCTGTGGATAACCTCTGGGTGATGGCTCATCTAAAAGACGTAGGGTGCTTCCACGGGGGCCGGACTGGGCAACGCCTTCCTGTCTCATGTTCGGGCCGTAGATGGCATCTTCCAGATGGTCCGGGCATTCGACGATGCCGAGGTCATACACGTTGAAGGAGACGTTGACCCCATTCGCGACATCACAATCATACAGACGGAACTGAGACTGAAGGACATCGAATGGGTAGAGAAAGCTCTAGATGCTCTAAAGAAAACCGGTCGCAGTCTCGGGAATAGCAGTCTCGCGGACAAGGCTAGGAAGGAAGAGATTGTGCGCCGTTCGCTCCATGACGTCCCCCTAGCTAACTTACCTGGTTCAGGCGACAACAGAGAAGATCTTGAAGCACATCAAGGAAGATAAGAAAGATGTTCGCAAGGGCGATTGGAGCAATAAAGAGGTTAGTCTTTGTAAACAAACCCTCGCGTGACGAGAAAGCGATATGCTCGAAACCCAGCTCTTTGAGACGGGAGTAACGCCCCAGTCTCTGAAAACAACATCTATCTGACTCCTTCGACTTGTTTGAAATTGCATCCAGCGTTTACTCATCTCTTTCAGGTGATTATTCTTGACTAGTCAAGACGCTTTTGTGATGACAAAGAGCGACATGCTCGATAACCCAGCTCTTCGAGGCAGGAGTAACGCCCTTAGCCATGAGAACTTATCCATTCTGATCTGTTCACCGTTTTCTGGAACTCGTTGCTGACATGTCTACTCAGATCGATGTTGTCAACGGCCTGCAACTTTTGACGGCAAAGCCCGTGACTTATCTTGTCAATCTGAGCGAGAAGGACTTCGCTCGTAAGAAAAACAAGTGGTCTGTCCGAGTCGCTGCCCAGTTGTCGAGTCCCTGACATGGCTACAGGCTAGCGAAGATCAAAGCGTGGATAGATGAGAACAATCCTGGAGATAATCTGATTCCCTTTTCGGTCGCGTTGGAGGAACGTTTGGCCCCCATGTCGGCCGAAGAAATGGAGGCAGCTCAGAAAGAGATTGGCGCCACCAGTTCTCTTGGAAAAATTACCCAAGCTGGATATGCCAGCCTCGATCTCATTCGATACTTCACGTGTGGGCCTGATGAAGTCCGTGCTTGGACTATTCGCAAAGGCACCAAGGCTCCTCAGGCTGCCGGCGTCATCCAGTTCGTATCTTGCCGGTGCTCCAGTCCTCTCATTGATTTTCTTTCAGCTCTGATTTTGAGAACAAATTCGTTTGCGGAGAAATCATGGCTTTCGACGATCTGAAGGAGCTTGGATCCGAGGCTGCCGTGAAAGCTGGTGGGAAGGTCAGACAACAGGGCAAGCCCTATGAGAGTGGGTGTTCTGTTCTGTGTATCGATAATCGCCTTACGTGTTCTAGTGATCGATGGTGACATTGCCTACTGGAAGGCTGGCGGATAAGCCTCTGGATTAACCTGTACATTCTTGCCGCAAATCAAATGTATCCTTTACGTGACTAGAGTTATTCGGTGTCCAAGATTGAATGTAGTGTACAGATGCTCGGTTTATGACCAAACAGGATCGAGCTTTCAGACGGTTGAAGAAGTGCCCGGCCAATTGCCCAAAAATTCGTAGCCATGCTCGGTCGGAGGCGTCAACTTGGACAGCTTGCCCAATTGTTCGTCTGCAATCTCGTGAAGACGCGTCGCACCGTTCAAAAGTTGACCTACAAATAGGGTCGCTTTCAATCAAAGAGAAATGCTTCAGGGGCCACGTTGTGCCTTTGGCCTCTTCATCTTTGCGACGCTGTCTCATATCGTTCTGGAACAACTCAGACGTGTGTGTTTTTATGGATCTGCCAGACTCACCTCGATTCGACTCTTCTCCGTGCTTGCAAGGTCAAAATCGCCTTCTCTGATGCCCTTGGCAACGAGCGACCAGAGCTTGCGTGTCTCCATCGGTCCCATTTCTCCATTGGGCTCGCCCCCGATGGCCTTGACTTCCTCTTTGGGAGTGGAGACGTCATGGAAGGTCCCTCCCCCACCGCGCGTGTACTTGCTACTCTCGCTCCACACGCCTTCGATGACGATGTCACCGGATCCACTGCCCATGCCTGGTAATGCGGCAAGTGTTGCCTTGAACGAATGCGATTTGCCAGAGAAATACCCTTTGCCCTTGTACTCGATGGCGCAGTCGTAACCTCCGCCGATGATGTGGGAGGTGTCCGCGAGTTCGACATAAGGGTTTGCGTAGATCAACCCTGTATAGCTCAGCCAAAGAGAAAACGAATGGTAGACCGCAGCACACCTTCGATCCTAAGGCGAGGCAACGTCAAGAGATAATCGACCGATCCAGAGGGTGTTTTGACGGTCAGTACAGCATGTCCAATCTGCTTGACGATGATGGATCCACCGCTGAAGCTCGTCTTTTGTCCGTTGTGTCCGACAAGTTTCAGACCTTTGGCTTCATTTTGGATAACGTAGGCCGTGATCGGCGGATGATGCGAAACCTGCTCGACGAGGAGATCAGTCCGTCCGCGCCCATCCTTGTCGGGCCAGGATCCGTAAAATAGTCTGAAGAACTGCATCAATATACAGATCCAGACGGTGTAAAACCATACGCACTCTCCGAGAGCAGGATTGAGCGGTCTTGATTCCAAAATTATCAACAGCGATCATGACGTCTTGAATCAGGAACCCACTTCTTCTCTGAACCCATGGTTTCGTTTCGCGATGTGTACTGACTTTTCAAGGTACTCTATGGGGAGGTGAGAAAACTTCGGAGACACAGAGAGAGAAACTCACGATGAACCATTTCAGCACGGCCAACGCTCTCTCTTCCGGTGTTTTGGCATCTGCGATTTGGGCAAAGAGTTCTGGTCGTTCACACCAATACGCTGATCGTTCAAAGAATCAGCGAACTAGAGGGCCTGAATGCGTTTGATTTACCAGGAAACTCTGTGAGAGACACGGGCTGCAAGATTCATTGTTTGATAGGAAGTAAATAGTCTAAATAGGAGACTTGCTGAAAGAATGAAAGGCGGGGCCGTCTCGAGATCGAGTTAACACGAGAAAGCGCGAAATATCTGGTTTGGCGCACTAGCGATGACAGATCTCCAGAGAAGGAGGCGATTCTAGATGCTGTGATCAGGCTAATGTCGTGTCGCGCGACCCGAGGACATACGATTTGAGGAATGAGGTCCAGCTGCTCTTTTGAGCAGGATGCACAGTCTGTGGATGAGAAAGCGTTAACTATACACACATCATATCATCGGAAATCGATACTTCTGCGGCTTCTGTCATGTTTATCGAGGCAAGTGGTAGTAGAAGGCGTGAGCGGAGAGGTGTTGTTGTGGCTGTACAGATCGTGACGTCATAAGTAGTCGAATAGATGGCAGTGCATAATTAATCGTGCCAGTCATTACATACGTATGGTTTGTGAGTGGATTCAGACAGAGTACCACGCAGTCAATTTAGTTGTCCCACCCAGCTCTATTCCAGAGTGTATCCCTCCCAAACGAAGACTTCTAATGGCCCCGGTTTTGACGACTTGTGCTTGAATCACCCAGAGTGTCGTTCAGACACGTGAACTGTGGATGAAGCCCATTTCTTCCAAACTAAAGAAAGTGTCGCCCATTCTGGCCTAAACGCGTCGGAAACATCATCGTTCGTGGCAACAGAAGCGCTGGGAAGCCCTGAGGCCAGAGCGGCAAAGCGTAGATCGCGCATGGTAATGCCTTTCATTTGTCGAGCTTGGGGGGTATCGCTTGGATGCCATGGTGGACGAAGTGCCGAATTTGTTACTGTTATTAGGAAGACGCGATTTCCGACGTCGGTATGCTCCACGCTCAACAGGACGGGATGGTGCTAAGAAACCAGATCATCTTCTCTTAGCAATTCATCAGAAACATTGCACACACCTTTTCTGCCCTACACAATGTAAAGATGTCGTGGACAAAGGGTACAGCATCGTCGTAGCGCTCGAATTTGAACTGACAGCTCAATGTAGCCGCCTTATCCCGTTGTTGAATAAACCAGCCACGAGAGTAGAGCGGCAATAGATATTGCGAGGTGTCGGTTTCTGTGATCCACGGTGTTGGCCAGCCTTTGACTTTCGCAGGGACGAGAATTGGGTTGGAATTCGCCAAATATCGTCTCGGTGGGATTCGGACGGGGGGCCTGAAGATAAGCCCGTTCGTCGAATATTTTACGAGCATGGTGGTGAGTGGACTGTAGCGGTCACATGCCTAACGAATCAGAGTCTTTTGCTATTACTGTTACTTTGGAACTTGACAGTCCAAGGACAATAGCCTCAAAAGATTAGACGGTGGTGTGTATGAATGCGGAATATACAGAGGAATAATGATAAAACTGGAGAACAAAGGAGTGTGGATAATCACCAAAACGGTTGATAGAGAGCAGATAAATGAGCGTGGGCGCGCATGATGGCGCAAGTAAAAGGTCTGATGTCATATATGGGGTGGGCCAACCTATTCGGCCTTGAATCGCTCGCCCCCTGAGCCTCCGCGCATGATGGCCTTCATGAACTCGAAGAACCGTTCGGAATACTCTGTGGGTTCAACTGGGCTGATTTTGTGCTGCAGGGATGCGTGAGATCAGTAATCGTAGCATCTAGGGGAGAAGAGGCCAGACTGACTCGATCCGCACGGAGGCCCTTCCAAAAGTGTTCCAACTTCTTCGCCATGCTGTAAGGCGTCAGGATGTCGATAACGCCCAGGTAATAAATCGTTTCCGTGGGATCGTTGGCTTCGTCGGTAGCCCTCAATCCGCCTTCATCTCGGTAGAATAAAAAGTCTCTTCGATCGCCAGTGTCCTCCTCAGGCAAACGAAGCGTGCCTCGGCCATGGCCGAGACGCTTAGGATCTGACTCCCGCATCGCACGGCGCATCGCAATGGCCTCCGGCGAAGAGACCCTCGCCGACCCTTTGATTGCGGTGCTGGTGACTCGCCGTGACATTCCGGGAGGGAGATCTGGAGAAAAGACCTTAAGCGTGTTGCGCCGCACATTATCCCGATTCCCGCGCTCCATGTTGTGGATCCCGACCAGCAGCGAATAGTCCATCACGTGGATGGTTCGGAGAAGCTCCGCATCCCGCCTCAATTGTTCTGTGAGGAGAGCACGCTTCTCAGGTCCCAGTTCCAACATCTTTCCACGGTTGATCCAATTGAGATCCTTGAGCACCGCACGTGGGTTTTCTGCCGCCTTTGCTTCAGAGTACTCACGACCGACAGTGCTTCCCTTGAGATCGAACGTTTCGTGAATATCTCGGTGTGGAGGGAACAGATTGTTCATGATGACGAAATGGATTTTGTGGCCCCGGGGGAGCTTGACACGATGCAGTCCATAAAACCGCGAGAGGAGCGTGTGTGGGTTGTTCTTCACGTGGGTATGATACTGTTTGAGCACGGACAGCAGGAACTTGTGCTCTGAATGTCGAATCGTCTTTATGATGAACCGATAGTCCCGTGAAAAGTAGAAGAAGGAGCCCGATTTTCCCGGAGAACCCAGTTCTGAAAGGATGTACTTCGCGGTAAGCGACAGAAGATAGTCGGCTGGGTCAAGATGGAAATAATCTTCGCGGAGTTCCCTGAAAACGAGTGGGGCGTAGTCTTTGAACTTGAAATCGTATTTGGCGGATGGTGTTAATTCGTTGCCGACGCTAGCTAATGTCAGGCAAGGTTTGTATACGAAATGTCACACTCACATGTCGAAGGAATATTTGTGCCTCGCAGAGAAATCTTCTTCGGTCAACGGGCGTTTGATTTTGGCCTGGCATCGGGAGACACCAATCCGAATGCCCGTTAGCATGTTGTACATGAGCACATAGTTGACATGGTCTTCTCCGATCAAATTTCCAACGAGTACGACGTCATCTCGAGTGTTGGCGCTATCTCGTTTGGGTGCACTGCGCGTCAGCGCGGCTTCAGCTTCCTGCTGCTGTTTTGCACGTTTAGACATGCGTTCCCTCCGGATCTGGTCTGCATGTTGTTGGATGTCAGAGGCAAGTCCAACCTCCAATTCCTCCCCATCAAACACATGGGGTTGTGAGCCGTGTTGAGTATGCAACGACGTCCTGAGCGGATTGACTCCCGTCGAACCAATGGTATTGCGCCTCGTCGGTCGTGAAGCTGCGGGTGGCTGAAGATAGTCAGAAGGTAGTGCTGTGGAGGCGGTTTGGATGGATAATTCGGTATGTGCACTGGTGGATGTGTCCAGCGGTCCTGCAGCCGGTAATTGATGAGTGGGAGAGTATGAACGGGTAGCAACGTCGCTCAAGGATCGCAGAGTTGCATGAGGGCGACGTTCAGAATCCTCGCGTTGTTCGCCTGTTGGGACAACGGTTTGTTCAGTAACAGCTGATTCGCGAAGTTGTTCCGGTTCCTCATAAAGAACACTACGACCAATGTCGAGTGTAGGAGGTGGGTCAACTATATCATCACCCGGATCTACGCTCGCAGGAGGGCTCGGCGGAGGTGGTCCCACCCTATCTTGTCCGTGAGGTGTTGAATCGAGATGGGGTAGGAAGTAGGAGTCCTGGTCACCGGTGACCTTGACAATATGAACTTCATGGGGATGTGACGGTGGGCGGGACAGTGCATGCGAGCGTTGTTCAGACTGTGACTGCTGCAACGAAGACGATGAGCGAGAGGATGGGGCAGTTCGATAGGATGCAGTGGAGGAGGATTGTTGCCGAGCGGAAGGGTTATGATATGCCCCGGCTGCAGCCAAGTTGTCCATAGGCTCGGGTGCTCGCGGTGTCGACACTGGATGCACTGCGACCGACATGGTCGAGAAGTGAAGCTTTGTATGTGTATGTTGTGTCAGTGATCACACTCTCTGTCTCCGCAACGACTTGGCACCGCAACGATGATGTTCGAACCGATACGTGGGGGGACGCGTGGAGGACAAGGAGAATTCAAGTGGTCTGACGTCTCGGCGGACAAAGACAGAGAGGTTAGTCCACCCTCCCTCTTCCTATTTGCAACAATTGAACGAATAACTACAGAATTATCTTGGACATAGTATCAATGCCCCTACAGGTCGCTGGCAGAAGAACAAAGACGTTCACTGGTACAGTCGCGAAAACAACGACTCAGAGGAAGCTCGAGCCGAGGAAATCCGTCGAATTAAGGAAACAGAGGCAGAAGCTCTCTCCTTGGCATTGGGGTTCGCCCCAGAGAAACGGGCAAATAACAGCGGCACCGAAGCTACGGGATCGAACGCCATACCTGCTCCAGGGACACAGGACGTCGAAGAACACGAGAAGCACTCGAGCAAATCGGAGCGGAAGGAAGAGAAACGGATGCGAAAGGAACATCGTCGAGCGGCCCGCGAGGAACGACGCAAACATCGAGACAGAAATCCTAGTCGCGACCGTTCAGCTTCTCCGCGGCGCAAGCGTCACGTTGATGCCAATGAGCGGTACTATCGAAGAAGAGATTCTCGTTCCCCACGACGTAGTATCTCGCCGCTCCCGGCTCACATCAGAGTCGAATCGCCGCTTCGAGACTCTTCGAGACCTTCTGAGAAATATACTGCCGCACACAGAGAACGTGAACGTGAGCAGGACCGTCGGCGGTGGGAGAGTAGTGCATACAGAAATGTACCTGGCGCTGGGACTCGGAGATAACAACTTGAGTCTTCGACTATCTGCGACAAGCTAGCATTTTCGATCATTTCAGTAGTACTGTACACTCGCGAGCGTTTGCTTGGATGTTCCCAATGGAGAGCACTCTTCTGAAGTCTCAGTATACCAGTCTCAGCTGAAATAATCGGGTTGCCTTGCTTGTCAAGGCTTCTCCAGACCCTAAATTGTTGCACACAAATCAGATGTAATGTTCCTGCATCTGATCCGATCAACTCGTCTTTACCGTTGTATGTACGCACGCGTCTCTTGTGCTCTTGTGCTCTCATTTGCGCAGTGCGCTTTCCGCCGTGGTTTTCACCCGAGTGCGCTGTAAACAAATGTATTGTAACAAATGTACCGAGTGACTCGTATTGATGTATGTATTGTGTTTGTGAATGATGCGCGAGCAAGCAAGGCAGTTGCTGGCGGAGGCGGCGCTCTAGTCAGCAAAACTACAGGTTCTGATGTTGATGCTATCATATCATCATCAGCCGTGATAGCATCAGTGCTTGACTGGCCACTCGTGACTACCTGTGTAGCTGCTTACCAAAAGATTATTCGCAGTTTTCGACCGACAACCACTCCAAGATGGCGAGCTTTCCTTGTCTCAGTGTTGCTGCACAGCTGACATCCGCCGTTCTTGGAACACTTAGACCAAGCGCACCAAGAAAGTTGGCATTACCGGAAAGTACGGTACCCGTTATGGTGCTTCCCTGCGAAAGCAGGTCAAAAGGATGGAAATCTCCCAACACGCCCGCTATACTTGCACTTTCTGTGGCAAGGTGCGTCGTGCTGATGTAGTTCGTGGACGTGCATTGATCTGACTTTTCGACCAGGACACCGTGAAGCGCACCGCTGTAGGGATCTGGAACTGCAGCTCGTGCAGGAAAGTTATCGCAGGGGGTGCTTGGACCGTCACAACTACAGCTGCATCGACCGTTCGGAGGTGTGCTCTGTTCTTTCTTGGGGTCTGATGTATTCTAATGCGTTGTTTTAGCACTGTGCGTCGGCTGCGTGACCTCACTGAGGCATAGAGCACGTCCCCATGATTTCTCCTCTCTCTCATCCTGCTCTGCACTCTGTATGTTCGTATGCCATATGAATCAGAACACAAAACTCGAACTGCTCTGGAATTGGATGGGACACGATGGAATGGAAATTCTGAGCACTGTGTATAGAACGAATATAGCCGGTAATCTCTGTGTATCACTCCCTCAGCCATTCATATCCATCTCGCCCTCTGCGTCGCCGTCCATATCCATCTCTTCTTTGCCGGCATTGGCTAGTTGCCTCAGGAAATATTCCGGCTCCTGGACTTCGGCAAGCAGATCTTGACGTTCCCCTACTTCATCTTCGCCCATTGCGACATGTGTCATCCGAATCACTTCCCATTTATCGGCGTACGAGTCATAAGGCTGTGATGATAAGTGAGATCAAGAACCACACCGACGAAACAGAACACCAGACGTTGACGCGTTTTTTCTTCAAGACCATCTTCCGCTCGATTCCTTTGAAGTAAGCACCGGGCTGTCGATGATTGGCAGAGATGCCGTCCGAGATGTCATTTTCGCCCCCATCCTCGAGAACAAGCAGGAATTCGTTTGGAACCTCCTGTTCGACTTTCACAGTCTCATAGTCGCGCACAAATGAGAAGATTGTTTCCTGGATTTGGGGTTGAATTCGTCACGATGCCTGCATCAGCAGTTTCGAGACGCACTTGACCGTCCGCAGGGACTTCATAAGGCTCATGCGTCCGTCTGGTCTCTTTGAGCCTCTCCGCCATTTCATCGTCCTGCGTGAGATAATAAGCGAGGAACGAGTCGTGTTCCGTCTTCATCGGTCGTAAGATCGCACAGTCTAGACGCGGGTCATCCACGTCTGACGGCCTTTCTCCTGGACGTTCAGAAAACCTGAAAAGATCATATTGGTTTGCCCAAATGTCATCGTCTGGTAGGACTTCGTATGAAGCGACCGCCCGTACGCCTGGCTTGTTAGGATGAACAAGAGATTCCAGGTTGAACTGATTGTTGGCTGCTGCAAATGAGGCTTCGATGGTCCTGAGCTGGGCTTCGGGAGAAACATCTATCACGGCGACGGGAATAGCTTTTCTGGTTGATGGATGACTAGTGAGCAGGACAACATCGTGACTATGAACAACACGCACGGCTCAGTTAGGTTGACACGCGACGTGCTCTCTCTGGTGATGTATTCCGTCCGGCGAAGCCACGAAACATGAGCGGGAAGAGAATTCGATGGGCCTGCGGACGAGTGGGCACTCCCGAAGGAATGTGATGGCGCTATATCGGCGAGTAGAGCTGCGTCTTCAGGATCCAGAGAGGGAAGGTCATTCGGATCGGGATTGAGCTCTGAACTAATAAGGTCGAAGTATGTTGCGAATCTGGCCGACGCACCCGCGTTCAGCTTCACCCATGACCCTGGATCTCACTTTTGCTCTCTCCGTCCCTAGGTGGCTCTAGCCACAGGCTTTCCCACTTGCCGAGGTCCAGCGGCATCCCACACTCTGCATCAACAATCATTGGAAGCGGTATATCTTGAGCCAAAGCGTCAAGGAATTCAGGTCGAGAATATCGTGTGGGATTGGTCGGGATATCCAAAAGCTTTGGGGGACACGGAGGTGCTGGAAGGGGGTTGGCATAGCGAACCCGAACAAGAAGATCAAGTTTGCTACTGCAGAGAAATGAGAACCAGGGGGCAGGCCGAAGGCAAAAGCGCGTACTTCTTCTTGGAGGTCATGGTTCAGTCGAGACAGTTACACAGCCACAGCATGGCTTTCAGTCCGCGGGGTTCCGCACTGACGCCGAAGCGCCTTGCAATTACATTAAGCGTTGTGCGCAGTGCTGTCCAGTGGTATTACTCAAGAATGAACAACAGAGTCGAGCAACCCGAAAGGCGCGTGAAGATTGAAGATAATCATAGCTACTCGATATTACAACTCTTCACGATTCGCGGGCTTTGCCTTGCTTCCAATCCCATCAATTTCGACGGTGAATACAAAGAGCAGAGTTCGCAGGGATGACGGAGCCGAATCCACGAGAGCCTTTGGATTTCCGGTCAGCCTGGTCGCTGTCCAGATATCAGAGGGTTGCGCACCGTATGCCATGTCCGATGGAATAGTCCCGGTTCGCTTTTCAAACACATACCAACGAGACCCTCATCCCAGCCTTTGATGACCTGTGCCAACACCGACGGTGTACGACACGTGTAGAACGAGAGAAACACAAAGGTTTACAATAACGCACGAGTCAA